AATAAAAATTTCGGATTAAAACAAAATATTTTTCCTTTCAGTCTTGAATAGGAGGAGCATTTTTAATAAAAATTTTCTAGTTTTAAACAAAAACTGAATTCGTTCAAGACTGGGCTCCACATTTCTGTGTTTTTCAAATTCGCTATCGTAGATCTACTGGTAGAAAATAAAAATCATTTCTAAAAAACAATTTTTTTATTATTTATTAGAACCATATATATATTTATCTGTTTAGAATGTACCAATATTTTTTAAAAACACGCTAATTTATTATACAAATCTAATACTAATGTAATTACTATTTACATATAATACAAGTAAAAAATCACGTAAACTATATGAAAGCTATTTTAATAACAAAGATTCAACTAATGTAGTTGAGATAATAAAGGGTATAATCTTCCGAAAATTTGAAATATAAAACTCAGGTATCTAAATCGTATAGTTTCCGATATTCCAAATTCCCTCCGAATACCTGAATATTATATTTTTATAAATGGCAAAAGACTATATCCGATAGTAATAAAGTAATAAATTTTTTATTATTCATAAAAAAATCCCAATTTCTTATGAACAATGTTTGTTAAATATAAATAACCATAACATTTAGTTTGGTAACAAAGTTAAAAAGGATTGTACTAATTTTAATATATATCAATACCAAAATTATACATACCTATCTATCAATATAATAAAGAGTAGAAATATAAATAAAGAACAGTCAAGTGAAATATTTGAATACATTGTCTGAGTATTTCTATTCGATCAGATCTTATGGTGCAACATCACATCATTTATTCAAAGTTAGCTCTTAAAATCTCTAAAACATTCGTCGCTAAGGAATAATTTAAACGAAAAGTGAGTTTCGCCAAAAATCAATTCCTGAATTTATTAAACTTTTACTGTTGAGATAACAAGCGTTCTCACTTGCTCTTTTCTACTAACCCTTCGACACTTTCGCTACTTAACTGTAACTTTTGACAAGATATATTTGATTTTCAAGTTACCAAACCAAAATATAATCTTTACATACATATAGGGAACGATTTATAATTTCAATTACTGCAATAACACCGTATAAAAAAATATGAAAACAACACTATTAAATATCTGATAACTTTAATACCCCTAACTGATTCCAATTGTTACAATCATAAATTTCTTTTTGTCGCATATAATAGTCATCCACAACCTTACTTTCAACACTAGTATTAGTATACAATTGTTAATCCAGTAAATAGATAATAAAATATATATGTAAATTGTCATAAAAATAATTCTGTCGAACTCATGATAAAATGCAGGTCCACGTTATAATACGCAAACCGCAATTTTAATTTTTTAACTTGTGTCTCATAATTCTGATTAATTTCAGTTGTTAGGACCAAATATAAATGGAGGCTATAAAAATTTACTGAGGGAACAAATTTATACTTCCATTTTAATTGTTTTACTCCCATTATAATATACCCTTGGCATCAAAATTAATGCCCAATTTCAAAGTAAATTTTGTGGAAAACAGCTAGTCTGATTTCGATGAAAATTTAAATTTTTAGTACTTATATACAGAGTGCAAGTGAATACTTAAATGCCACTATAGTTCCTTTTTTCTGAATTACAGTTGACTCACATCATTATACAGGGTGTCCCAAATTAATGCAACAAAATTTGGTCAGATTCTTAAGACAAATTTATTTTTTATTTTTGCCAAGTGGGTCCCTCTTTTGGAGTTGCAGCCCCTTGAAATCCGCCCCTAAGAATAGCCTTTTTTTTAATATCTCAGAACCCTGTTGTATGAAAATCAATAAATTTGATAGACAGGGTTTTCATCACATGTGGCATCTGATAATGCTACGCTTTTTGGCGGGGAATCTCCTTAAGACAATTTTTCGTGGGTCCTCGTCTTTGGAGCAAAAAAAATTTGGTTGCATATTTAAATTTCTTACATTATTAGTCCACTAGAAAGCCATTAAATTTAGAAATTTTTTTGTCCCTTAATACCTTTTTTGTAAAACGCAATGTTTTTGAGAAATAAATATCAAGAGACAAAAAAGTTTCTGAATGCAACAATTCTCTAGTCTAATAAATTCAAATACGCGACCTGATTTTTTTGGTTCCGAAGACAAGGGGGCCCACCAAAAATTTCCTTAAGGGTGTTTCCCGCCAAAAAGCGTAGCACCACCAGATTCCACATGTCACAAAACCCCTGTGTACCAAATTTAGTGATACTCGTACAACAGGGTTCTGAGATATAAAAAAGACTATTCTTAAGAGCGGATTTCAGGGGGCTGCAACTCCGAAAGAGCGGGCCACTTGGCAAAAATAAAAAATACGGGTCCCCTAAATTTGTCTTAAGAATCTGTGACCAAATTTTGTTGCATTAACTTCGAGACACTGTATGAAATCACTTTTTCTTTTATTCACATCATTGTTTTTAATTGAAACACATTGTTAAATTAAATAGCAAATTTAAATGAAAATTTTAAAAATTATGAACAACAGCAATATGGGTAGACAATTTAATCAAGCTCTACTTGCCTCCCTCAACGATTTTGAAAACTTGCAGAAAAATATGGAAAAAACATAAAGTGTGATTTCAAGTAAGAATCGTAAGAATTAGAAGCACTGATTTTTTTTTCTTCTTATGACTGATTTTTTAAAAATTATTACTGTTACGTCTTAAGTTTTTAAATTTTTGCAATAAACTGGTATGCTTTAATTCAACTTTGTATCTCAATCAGTGATGGCTTGTAAAAATTAAAGTGGGACCCATAGTATTTTTTACAGGATGAGTTCCAAAGAACTTACATGATGAAAAAATTGTGAATTTGCAAAACAAGGAAATTAAATAGGATGGCCGACCCTGATGTCTCAAATTTATTTATTTATTTTTTTTCATAATCAACTGACGGATACAATCAGGTGTTTTTTATTCTCCTTTGCAAAATTAATTTTTCTTTAGTGATATCTAATTAAATTTTAATTTGATATTAACAATTCAATTTCCAAACTTAATTAAACTATGAGAAATTAAAATTTTGTGGAAAATAAGAAAACTCCTGTTTGAATCCAACAGTTAACTATGAAAAATATTTTGCAAATATACATGCAACCCTTTTCGAGATCTCTGGGTCAGCCACCCCTATTTTAATTTTTTATTCTGCAAATTTCATTGGAAATTTAGAAATCATCCACCCAAAAATAATATGGATTCCATGTTCATTATCAAAATGCATCACTATCATTTTCGAGATCTCGATAATGATCTGAACCGACAGAAAACGGCCCAAAAAATGTGAAAATATGTTTATCCTCAAATTATCAGCTCAAAAAAAAAATTTTTTAGAGGTCCCCCAATATTTTAAAAGATTTCCAGTCATCAAAAATTTAATTTTTTTTTTAAATTTTTTTTCTTGTTATTTTATCATCTAGGATGAAAAAAATTCAATTATGAAAATTTCAAATCCATATTTTCATTTGTAAAGGTCGCTCATAATTATTTTAACTTTCAAAGAAGTGTACCTAAAATGTTTTCGAGCGACTTAAAAATAAATATCAATGAAGTAATAATTTTTTTTATTGAATTTGATGAACAAAAGAATAGAAATAAATCATGGCACTTAAATTTAAAAAAATTAAAAAATTATAAATATTTGATACTCATAGTCCGGTAGTAAATTTTGTGTCAAGAAATTTTTTAAGAAAATGATAAAACAATAAAAATTCAATTTTTGACGATTTTGGAAATATTTAAAAATCTTGAGCGACCTCTAAAAAATTTTTTTTGAGCTAATTTTTTGAGGGGGCTCTTAAAACATGATAATCTAACATAGACACGAAAAAAAATATTCGTTTTTTTTGGGCCACCCTAATGACTACTTTGGTTGGAAAAACATATTCTATCACCCCTTGTATCTACAGAAAACTCAAATTTCAGTACCAAATTCTGTCTTAGCATCACTACTGATCCACAAACCGATAATTAGCAAAACAAACTGCCAAAATCGCATTAGTCATTTGCATTAATTTTGATTTTAAAGTGTACATATTTGATTAGTGTTAGGTCAAGCAAAATTGTGTCCCTATGGCCATTATTGAAACCATGTTTAATATTTACTGCTACGTAATATAAAATCTGTTAAACGAACCAAGTCAATTTAGGAATTTTACGACTTTGCACAAACAATAATTTCGGCATAATCTTTCCCACTGTTGTCAACTAGTGTGTTCCAAAGAGAATTTTTTTATCTTCCAGTTCATAAAAGAATTTTATATTCGGGTAATGACACCGAACGATTCACCTCAATAAAGAGATTTGGTAAAATTATTTTAATTTTAGTGGTCTTGTGTAATGAGGTGCGAAATTAGAATCGACCAACAGTCTCTGGGACAAATCTAAATAATAATAAAGATGAAACGCAAACAAAGTCGATTTTCTATTACAAACAAGACCTCTTGAAAATTTGATCTGTTACGGTATTGCTATCAGAAAAGTCGAACAAAGGTTGATGCCTGCCGTCAAATATCAATGTTTGTAGGCCGCCAGGAACCAAAGGGTGTTGTAATTGATGTCCTCAGATCTAATAAGTTATGCACTTACCATTATTATTTATTAAGTAACAAATTGACTCTTTTTGTGGCACATGTCCTTAGATCTGATGACATCGTCCCCGCTACCCTCCGGCCATCGACAGCCTAACTTCCCCTAAATTTGTAGGCAAAGTCAAGAATTACCGCTCGTTTTATATGAATCTTAAAAATTTATATTTTAGTCTTCTAGATAATAATTATTCTTTGGTAATATTTTCAATATATCATTCGCATACAAAAAAATATTGAACTAGACACTACTAGTGAAACTAGAACATTCTTAAATTCTTTTGTAACCGATCGAATGGGTTTTAGTTTTTATAGTATTTTCTCATATTTATTTATGATTACTGTAAATATGATCGTTAATATTAAAAATATTTTTGTATATCTGCACAACGCAGTTCGATATATTTTTTTTAAATATTCCTTATCTAATTTAAATGGTTTTTAAATAGTACCATTTTCAGGAAAAATATCAAAAAAGTTCCCTTGCTCAACTCGAAAGAATGACCATTTTCTCCATTTTTCAACGCCCTAAGTCTAACCGCCAAAGAATCCACCAATGTTGAATTGCACCACGCATTTCAGTTAAAAAAAACCTTATATTAGTTATCAGAGTTATGCCCTATTATCTTGAAGATTATCTTCTAATTTTCTAAAGCACGTATGTATGTGTATATAGAATTCAATAAATATTATACTTCAACTCCTAACACTCTATCTTTAACGTAATCATAGCGACTTGAAGAATCATTTTTACTATCCCCAATCTCACCGTTCTTGCCGACGTCCCTCTTCCTATTATCACTATTTGTACACTGATTTTTTTCCTCACTTAAGTGTTGTTGTGTGTCGTTTTCCGAATGGCACTCGTTGCTCGGCAAGAAAGGCACATTAGTGTTGACTCTAGTAAAGAAAGCCATCTTTTCCCTGTAAAGAAAGACCGAGACGGTTAGAAGTTTCATATATCCTAAAGGGAATAAAAAATGCTGTTTACCACTTCTGTTCTCAATGTATCCAAAATGCTCGCAAATCTCTATTACAACATATTCAGAAAAGTCTGTATTATTTGCAGATACGTTCTAATAAAAAGAAAATTAACAATTTTGACATTTTTGACTCACTAAATCACTAAATCAAAAATCTAGCTGTGCTTATAACATATGCACATTGGTTAAAGAGGATTTTTTGTTAATTGCCAGTGTTGCGAGAAACAACTACTGCAACAGCTAGGATCGTTCATCAGTTTTAACCCACCAGGCACAGATCGGTTTCGGGCTTATTAGTCCTCATCATGTCATAGGTGAGACAACCGAGGAACGATCCAGCCGTTATGCGGCCATATCCTCACGAAAAAGAGGTACATTGTACACGGAGCACAGTTAGGAGTCTGCACAACAGATGGAGCCATTTGGACTCCGCGTACAACGGTTAAAGAGGATGTTCCCAAAGTTGATGTTTTTTTTTACCAGGATGAGGAACTTGTAAAAAATATTTTTATTTGAATGAGCCATTTCTTTTTAATTTAAAATAAGCCTTTGACTACATTAAATACACTGAAAATCCTAAACTGTAATATTACAAAAAAAAATTGTGAGAATATTTCATTAGAAATTTGTTTTAGCGGGTTATTATCCCTTAAAAAATTTAAAGTCCCTATGCCAATGATTTTTGTGGACTTTCATAATTAGATATACAAAATTTAATTTCTAACAAAAAAATTGTATTTGTAGTTTTGTACAGTCTTTCCGATCTCAATTGAAGACCAAAGAGCTAGGAAGTATGTACCAGGTTTGGTCGCTATGCAGTAACTCGGCATTGAAATATTTGAAAAACTTGTTGCCATATTTATTTAGTCCATACCCATATACAGGTCTGGCCGAACTACACATGGAGGTGGCAGAAATGTATACGCCCAGTTGAAGAACGCGCGGGCGGGCAAATGGCGCACAAACACAGCCACACTTGGCGACTGGGCCATGATTTTCAGTTGTTGACAAATTGCCTAGCAGTGCGGTGCAGCAATGCGGAATTTGGTGTGATTCAGGAAATTTTAATTTATTATATGCACCTTCTATTAATCATTCATATTACAATTGCGAAAGAGAGAAATAAGAGGGATATTTTGTTTACTAATATTTTTACATGGCATTTTGGAGAGCTTTTGAAACAGAACAAAACGAAATACCGCCAGATAATATTGAATTAGTAGAATTGGTTGTAGATGAAACGGATTTAGAATATAAAAATAAAGATTTGCATGTTCAATGTCAGCTTCTCATTTTAAATATTTACGATTGTTTAAAAAAGGAAGAAAATGAAAAATCAGATGATGAAATTATGAATAAAATTCACATATTAACTAAAGTTTCAGTGTCCATAATTTTTTGTGTTATTAAACAAGGTAGATCATTGTGTAGAGGAAGCGACAACAAAAAATTTTAAATATCGATGACATGACGAGACGTAATTCGGCAGACAATTTACAATTTATATAAAGAAAATAAAATAGCAAGTTTAGAGATGATTAAAGATAAATTGTGTTCTTGCCGAGCAGTAATATATTTGAATGAAAATGTAAATGTTTTTTGATATGTCATAACCAAAATTTACTATAAATATAATAAAATTGTTTGAGAAAATAAATAATTAAAATGTGTTATTTTTTACCTTTAGCAGAAAACTTTTTTAGAGACGCCTATGAAACTCCAATTTTTTTTGCTAGGCGTTTTTATACATGTTCAACTGACTTCGGAAAGACTATAATAGTAGTAGTAGTAATTACTTTTGTATTTACTTTCAATTTATTGAACTATATCGGAGGATTATTTTAGATTAACAAAAAAAAATTACCCAAAACATTTTTAAAAAATTAAACAATTTTTCCTCGAAATACCAACCAAAATTGAGAGCGTTTATTTAATTTTCAAAAATATTCATACGCATCGAAATTCTAAGGTTCTTAGTGATGGTATCTCCCAGCATCTTTCTTTGCCAATACATGCCATGTCATACAAATTTATATTATCAACTCAGTAAATTTTTGCCCATAAGCCATTACCTCAAGTATTATTAACATATGTCAAACATTTTGAGATATGGAACCTTCATAAATGATTACAAGCTTCGTGACCGCCAATCTTAGACAACCAGCCATGGCTGGTACTGTCAACTAAATATCCCTAAATCTTAGCGTCACCAATATTAATTATTCGTTTACAATGAACAATGACGAACTGTTACATCTACGATTGAAATAATGCGACCGCCGATTGGTTGAATAAAATTTAAACCAATCACCAGCCGGTGAAGAAGAATGTTGTGTTTTAATGTAATCTTGATCTTATTGTTTTAATTTTACCGAAATTTTATTGCCAACGCGAAGAAAACAAAATTACTGAAACTTTACTATATTAAAAGTAAAAGAAATTATTTTGTTGGCAATTTGGGAATTATTTTCGTTCTCATGGCTAGGAAACATTCTCCAGAATACACAAACATTATCGGAGAATAAATAACAAGTTTTTCGAGCACAATCATACTTACTTAAACGAAATAATGTCAGGTTTCCCATTTCCTGCCTTGGATTTTCTTAATTTGTAGATCTCTTTGGAAACCTTCCTAAGCATTTTCTCCACTTTCCTTTCCTCCGGCGTTTTGACCGTCTTACAGTTCTCCGCTTGAGCTATCAAATTTTGGAATTGCTGGTCGTCTAATAGGTACGCCGCGAGTTCCGTATCGCCCTGTTCTTTGGCAGTCTCCAGTCTTTGTTTCAACTCTCTCAATCTTTGCAATTCCGAATTTAGCAACTCTAATCTGGTGTGCTGAGCTTGCAGATCTAATTCTAAGTCTATCGATGTCCTGGCCGTCGGGAATAAATGCGTCTGGGATTTGCTCGCGAGGTTCACCACCGAGCCAGACTGGCGTCTGAAACGTAGTGACCTCCTCTCGACGGCGTGACGTTCGAAGGGTTTACTGCCCCTTCTGTATAAGGGCATCGCACTGTCGCTGTCGCTTCTGTTTAGCTTGCATATGTACTTCGTTTTGGAGACGTGCGCGGTAGGCGAGAAAGTTTGGGATCTTTTAATGATACCCTGATGATCGTCCAGAGGGTTTGGAGCTTGTAACTTCATTTGTTTGGCATGCTCCGGGTAAAACGCGCATTCGGTGTTCGTTTGTTTATCGGAGAGGGAGAGCTCTTTGATGCATATCTCTGAAATAACGTCTAGTTTATCATTTGAGCTGTAGACGACGGTAATTCCCTGTTCTTCGCATTCCTCTGCCTCTTCCTCTGAATCCTCGCTGCTATACGCCTCCGTATTCTTTAAACAATTATACAATTCCTCGAAATTAAGGTTCGCCGGCGGTGAATATACGGTTTCCTGGTTTCTCGTTAACGTTGATGTTTGAGAAGATATAATTGTAGAGTCATCGGAACTCTCCTCTTTTCCCACTTGTTTGTATAAAATGTCACTTTCGCACTTCTCTCGGAGGGATAAATCGGACTCCTGTTTCGAATGTGCCGTGTTAAGTTGTACTTCTTCTTGTAGGCATAGAATATTGTACCATTTCTGCGAGAGACTGTGAATACTAAAGTCAGCCAAACTTACTTGTGTGCAACCCTAAAACAGAAGATTACATGAACATTTTTCTATAACCCAATTTTTAATTACACTTACCACACACTTTTCCCGCTGGTCTTCGCTTTTACACCAGACATTGACTTGTAACGTTTTCGTAAAGATTTTATTTGCAGGTACAGGAATAATAAAAATATCACCAAAAGTTGCCTTTTTAAAATCTTTTACCAATTTTGTACAGAACACAGAAGGAAATGCAGGATTTGCTGGCAATAATGCAGTTTTTATATATCTGAAAAGAAATACGGTATTAATCAAATAACGCTCAGGAACTAATTATTTGAAAAATATTCAAAAACTTTATCGATTCTTTATCTTTTTTTTTTCTCTAGAACAGTTTAATTTAAGATATATGGTACTTGAAACATAATAAGGGATTTCGTTGAGTTAGAAAGTTAAACCAAAAGTGGGAGTTTAAGTTTAAAAAAAAAATAGGTAGGACACTATCTTTTTTTGAGCCACCCTGTATATTTGAACATTAATTTGAAAATCAACAAGTAAAATTAAAGTAGACGGATCCGAGTATTTTTTGAAAGAAAAAAAATTTATATGTGCACTAGACGGCCAAAAAATCGACAATTTTTTTTTGAAAGATATATCGAGAATATCATTCAGAATAACGAGAAAAAAATATCGTGAGAGTTTGAGCTCTTAATAATAGTTTTAAGAGATCTATCATCGCTAGTTTTGATTTTTTATTCCTGATCCCATTTTTGCGTCGAAACTGCCAAACCATCGAGGTAAACAAATTTATCTACATATATTTTTGAAGGAAATTGAATGCCCTACAAAAAAGGTCATTCTGAAAATTTTCGGCAGACAAGCTGTTTCCATGTAATCGAACCTTGAAAATTGATGTTTTTTCGATTTGACTTTTTAACTTTGGAATTAATTTTGTAAATATCGAACAAAGTAACATCTGAAAAAGAACAATACAGATTTTTAAAGGAAATTTAATGCTCTATAAAAAGGTCTCTTAACATTTTTGCATACATTTCTCCTTCAAAAGTTATTCACGATTGAAGTTGAAGTAAAAATTAAATTTTTGTTTTTTTTTCACACCCAATTTTTTTCACTCAATAGAACAAATTGTTATTATACATCATCAACAATTATTATTCTATCAATATAATCACCAAAAATATCCAAAATTCATAATACATTCAAATTCATTCTCGCTCAATAACTATTTTTTCTACAAGAACATAGTTTTTCTGTTTCAAAATAATTTTAAAAATAACAATCATGTAGTTTTACTACTGAAGATTATTTATTAATAATATTATACTCATTAATATATATACAAATTCGCGTCTATCAATTTTCCTCCCTTACCCCTCTATTTGTTTCGCTTTTCCTCAACTTATTAAGCGCTATGACGGGTGAAAATGTGCCTCCTTCTCCTTAATAACCGCAACGTCTATTATGAATACCGACTGAGTGAAAATGACCTTGAATATGTTTATGAGCCATAATCTGATTTTTCTTTCATATAAATGTATACAATATTGTAAATAAATAATTCTCAATAGAAAAACCACATAATTGTTATTTTAAAAATTATTTTGAGACAGTAAAACTACGTTCTTGTAGAAAAAATAGCTATCGAGCAAGATATTGATAGAATAATAATTGTCGGTGACGTATAATATCAATTTGTTCCATTGAGTGAAAAAAATTGGGTCCAAAACGAAAAAAAACAAAAACTTAATTTTTACTTCAACTTCAATTGTGAATAATTTTTGAAGGAGTAAATTTATGTAAAAATGTTAAGAGACCTTTTTTGTAGAGCAGTAAATTTCCTTTGAAAATCTGTATTTTTCTTTTTCAGATATTAATTTGTTCATTATTTACAAAATTCCAAAGTTAAAAAGTCAAATCGAAAAAACATATTAATTTTCAAAGCTAGATTACATGGAAAAGGCTCGTCTGCCGAAAATTTTCCACCTGACTTTTTTTGTACAGCATTCAATTTCCTTCAAAAAAAAAATGTAGATAATTTTTTTTACCTCGATAGTTTGGCAATTTTGACGCAAAAATGGGATCAGGAAGAAAAAATCGAAACTAGCGATGATAGACCTCTTAAAACTAATATTAAGGGCTCAAACTCTCACGATATTGTTTTTCGTCATTCTGAATGATATTCTCGATATATCTTTCAAAAAAAAAATTGCCGATTTTTTTAGCCCAGTCTAAAGTGCACGTATTGTAGAAAAGTGTTACACCCCTCGATTTTTTTCTTAAAAAAAATCCCTAGCAGTATGTTTCTAAATTGTAAACAAAAAAAAAAATTATAAAATGTATAACATAGTTACTTACACATATGAATTTTCTGCAACAAGTAGCGCGCTTAAATTCCTTGCTTTCTCTATAGTTACATTGAGCACGTTTTCAGTCAGAACATATTTCAGTTTAATTTGTACTTGTGCTGTCTCCGAGTCCGAATCTGGAGAGAAAAGATTAGATAGCCTCTTTCTGTTCGAGGCCTCAAAAACGCCCGAGTCCCCAGCGACAGATTCGTCGCTGACGGCTGCCGAGATTGACCTCGTGTTCGTACCAGAGGAAGAAGTTCTCGACAGTGCCGTTCCTTGCAGCATCTCGTCGTGATCGATGGGCGGAGGAGTTTCCGATATAGGAGACAACGGAGGATCGCTGGCGCTTTCGTACGAATATCTACTCGGCCTTCCCAGACCGGACCCTTGCGACATATTACTGGCTTGCGCTTCGAACAGATCTGTCAAGGGAGACAAGCTTGGAATGGAGGTTCTCTGCGAGATGATATTGTGAACAGATTCGGTGCTTCCGCTATAAACAGAAAGGTTAGAAATTCTCGCATCTGCCAACCTATCTTCTATTTGTTTTTGATCAGACTGTAACATTCTATCTCTCTCTACTTGTTCGTATGTTGGAGGTGGTATCATACAGGGAAGATTTTCGTACATTGGGGAAACCGGTGGTGACACCGACGACAGAGAACTCCTTGGCGACAAAGAAGGTTGCGACCTGCCAGGAGACGGAATATGTGGAGTATTATCGTTGCTCTTCAACAATCTTTCGACCCTTCTGTGCAGATCAGCCATATCTATAGTTTTTTCCGCTGTTGGTACTCCACTGCACTGTGGTCCACCGTAAATGTCGGTAAAACTCAGTCCCGAACTCAACGATCCTTTGCTGCTAGTCGTGGATAAAGACCCGAGACTAGAACTGCTACTGACAGAGAGTGTGCTTGCAGATAACGTCTTTAACTGTGATTCCAACTGAGTCATTTGCCACAAAGCATCTTTTAACTGTTGAAGTAGCAGTTGCTTTTCTTCGTGTAACTTTAATCTGTCGGCGATGGCTCTATTCGACATTTCGAGAGCTTTGTTTAAGTCTTGTTCTAACCTCATGCATTCCATTTGTATGTCACTCATCTCCTCCTTTGACCTCATACGGGGTGTAATACTCCTTAATTCTCTCAGAAGTTGTTCTTTCTCTTGGAACAACAGAAGTCTATCTTTATCAGATTCTACTTGCCCGGGTTGCACCTTTTCTTCCAAATCAGCTAATTTTTGTTGAATGTGTTGAACTTTCTTCCTTGCTTCGTCATATTCCAACCTCATTTTAGCCATCTCCGCCAATTTAGTGCCTATGGGCACCAAATCACATGAGAGATCTGTCTGGGAAGCAGTACTCAACTTTTCTTGCGGTAGATTCAATGTTGAAACATCCGGTGAGCTTTCAGATAGCTGGAGCCTTGTCAAATCATCCTTTAGTTTCGCCAAAGATTGCATAAGTTCTGCCTTTTCCTTCTCTCCAGACGATAAAGACTTCTGTATATTCCTCAGTTCTGACATGATCGCCTGGGCTTCTGATATATTATAATACGTCTCTTCTTGCATACTCAATTTTTGCTCCACACTAAAATAAATTTAATAATAGTCATTATACACTTGTCTGACTTGTAGTAAAAGGAACTTACTTTGCTAACGTTTCAACCCCTCTCTCAGTGTAAGTCATTTCATTTCGTATTTGCTCCAGTTCTGATTTTAACCTGGAAACTCTATTCTTTGCCAAAGCTACATCAGACTTAAGAAGATCTGGGTCATACTTCGTACTAATACTACTACTTGAAGAACACACTGTAAAATAAATTTAAAATTATTTCCACGGTAAAATGAATAATCAAACACTTACAGCTGGTTCTGGATGTCGTGAGAGATGCTAAGGCATTATTCAAGTGGTTATACTCATCCTGGGCAAGTAATAATCTTTGAGATTTTATGTGATAAATATCTTTTTTTGCCTGTAATAAAAAAAAATGTAATAAACTAATAAAAAATTCAAAAACTGCTTTCCCAATTTCATATAGCTTTTAATGATGGATTTGCTGTATTAAAGGGAAATAATTAAAAAACGTATGTCAAGTGGAAATTATTTTTGCTGGGCGCCAAAAAGTCTAGACGATTTTAACCTGAAATCACAGCAGCTGCTCCGATTTCATATTATAATCTAAAGATCAGGAGCGAAAAGACTTGGATATAAACAACTGCTATATTTAATTTATTTTTCACACAAAAGTAGTTATCTATAATTTTATTTACTATGTTCCTATGATTACTACTTTTAATAACTATTATCTGTTTGTTTTTTTTTTAAGTATTTAATTTTAAAATATTAATTAAAGAGGATGGATACTTTTTATCACTTCTGTCATATATAAAGAGACAAAATAACTATTAGTAAATATTGGTAGGTATTCTGAACATTTCTGCATCGTAATGATTAATTAAATTTAAAATGGAAAGAGGAAGCCCTAGTATGCGCTTAATATAAACACTATTAACTCGAAGCTTGCAATTTGATATGATAAAACAGCAAAACACTGTTCTGGAATTGGTATGGTCACATTTCAAAGGCAATTCTAGACACACTGCATCTCATCAATGCATATCATCTACCCGTAATATTAATGAGTTTTTTAATATGCGGAAAGCAGCAAGTTTTATCAATATATATTCGCAAACAGCAATTAAAAAAAGTTGGTTGCATACCACTATGACGACAACTCGGATTAACAAAACAAAGCGTCTTAGCACATGGTTTCACGATAAATTTAATTTCGTTATAGCAAAGTTCAGAGAAATATGTAAATATAATTAATAGATTTAAAAAAACTTTAATCCCCTAGGTTTAAGGTAATAGACTTTTTAGTAGTGACGTCACATGCCAAATAATAGGCAACCCCATAGTGCACATTTGTCATGAGGAATTTCCCAATTTATTTATGTGCTTTGAATATAAGTGCCAATAAAATGTCTTTTTTGTCATGACCTTAAATAGCACGATAATCTGGCAATATTAGAAATATTTAAGAAGTTTCAAACCTCAAGTGACAAACTAATATAAGGATAGAATTTATATATCTTTTATAGAATAATATTGACTTTTATAGTAATTAATAAATTAAAAGAATATCCATGTTACTGAGCATGCGCATTAAAGATAATTTCATGTAAGCGAAGTAGCCTCGCAACAAGATATCATTCAAGAAAAGTTTGGTTATGGTTAAGAGTACATCTATAATAAACCACTTAAAGAAATAAACACTCGATAAACACACTGATACAACACAGCACCAAGAAAAACAATAAAAACACTTGGTAGAACTAGAAAATGCCCAAGATTAAACAAAAGAAGAGAAAATACGTTAATGATGACAGCCATAACATATCAATAAGATCTCACCTGCATATGAGGCTATTCTTCCGAGCATGCGCATCAGGAATATCACGACTATTGTTAAATTTTTACTTTATTTAAATTGAGAAACATTCTTTTATATCGTTTTTTGTAAGTTTTAAGCACATTAGTGCATCTATTTTAGCAAACACGCGTTGTTTGTTCTTAAATACTTCTAAATCCTTGTAAAAATAATTTAATTTGAAGTTGTGCATTTTTATAGTAGGTATGTATGCAAATAGTACACAAAGTAAACAAAAACAACTACATAATTACAAAAACAAAAATTATGTACAAAGAGAGAAATACGTTGTTTGCAAAATGACTGGAATTCGATGTAAGTATACGATAAAAATGTTATACGGAAACCGAAAACTGACCCAAATAAAATTAGCTTGTGAATATCAAAAATGTGTATAAAATATAAGATACTATTTGCAAAACTAGTATAAAATATGGGCAAATATTTATAAGTATAGAAAATAAATTTGTGAAAAACATCAATGACCCCCATTTTTAAAAAAAAATTGATTTGAGTAAAGTTGAAATCCAAAACAATAAATTAAAAATTTTAGTATCGATATCTATGACGCACGTTCTTTATCTCCAGACAATGCTCGTATTTATATGCTCATTTATCTTCTTCATATTAATCAACTACTATTCTTATAAATAACAGCGCCAGGAGAATGAATACAAAGAGGACAACGGGCTAGATCAGGCTTCCGACTTTTTTCTTCTTTTAGAACGTAAAAGTACAGGGGTAAACATTCTACCCCCTTATCTGTTGGTTTCCTAATTAGAAAAAAATATATATTTTGTATTGTAATTAGATTAAACAAATACGTATACAAAAAAGCGATAACCCCGCTAGTTTGGGATGACCCCGATTAAAATTTGGAAATTCATTTGTTTACCATTAAATTCGTAATATTCATTATTTATCTTGAAGGATTTCCAAGATATCTGGAAAAAAAAAACAACTTTCATAGGCTCACTTTAAGGGGCTACACCCCCTTCAAGAGGTATTTCTCCGCCTATGTTCGTATAAACTCTTTCTCTTATTTTCAGTCGTAGAACGCGCTGATAAAATACCGCGGGCCAATTTCGGAACACCCAATAGTCAATGATTTCTTCTCGTCCGGAATGACTAACTCGCAATTACTTTACATTTAAAAAATTTCACTTACAGGTATGTAACTACCGTGGCATGCCAGAGGGTACCTCTTCGAGTCGTTCAAAGCTCTATTTAAAGACCAGCCGATGAAATACGATGCCGGCATCGTCCGAAACGTCGGCCGTACGTGCAGCGAATAGACGTCTTGGTGCGGGGAAAAAAACGACGCAGGAAAGGTGTGCACATGACGAGCGGGAACGGGCACGTAGCACAAGGGCCACATCGTGACTGACAAAGTATTCCGACCGGTCCGAAATCGGCCTTGGATTGTCCTTCGCACCCTGCCAGGGCCACTATAATTTCCGCGTGGCGTGCATTCCACAGGTCATGCAGCCGTGCGGCCCCTGGCCCCAACAGTAGCGAGTTCACAGCATCACAGTCTGGAGCCTGCATTGTTTCGTCCCACGGACGTCCGCCCGGGGAGGCGAAAGGGGCGCGCCCGCCTACTTACGCTCGACGACCGTGGATGTTTTAAATCGCTTCTAGGGGGTGTCCCGGGCAGTGGCGGATACCAAAGATCGAAAGGGTGCAGAGTCTAATACCAACCTTAGAGGTAGAGGTAAACGCATAGCCACGAAAATACGCAAAATTTCTAAGTTAATAACTTTTCTTTTTAGAAATGCCAATTTAGGTATCCTTTACTGTATTTTATACGCTTGCAAGATACTCCAAATCGAAAACGCGCTTTTAAAAGTAACCGCCCTGTATATTGCGTATTAAGAGCTTCTCGACCTTCATTACTAGAAATTTTTTCTTTAAATCAACCGTTTTGGTTTAATAGATTAGAACTGGAACACCTTGTATACACAAAGTAAATGGTGTTTGCTTAAATAATAAAAACGTATCCACTTGCAATAAAAACACAAAGTTTTGAGCACCGATTAAAGCAAGTGAACTAGTCAGATGATGAGACTGAATTATATCTGTACGTCTCATGCTAGCGCGAGATGTAATGTTAAATAGTGAACTACTCAACTACGGTTACATAAACTTGATTCTCTTGCAATTTTAATTAGAGCACTTTTTATTTTTATCAGTCACTGATAGACCAGGGCGTATCTGTCTAAATATCCCACTCCTTGGATGTACGAGGGAGCAAGCTAATTTTTGATAGAATACCTTCAGTGCAACTCACATAATAAAAGTGTAGATCCCTAGATCTAGACGAGATCCGGAACATTTTCAAAATTGAAAAATGTTTAAAAAATTTAAAAAAATACCTATTTTATCTTAGTTTTTTTACTTATATCTTGGAATCTATGCATTTTGGAAGGATATTGAAGAGGAAAAAAGTTTTAGAATTGAATTTTGCACAATATACTGTAAGTTAAAAATGATTGTTGCACAGGCTCATATAAAGCATATAGATAATTGAATATTTTTTCACATAGAAATGACCACTCAACCTTTCAAATAGCTTTTGAAAAATTGAAATCGGTTGATTAGGACGGCCACAGTAAATTTTTAAAGTTAACACTCTTTTTTTTTATTTTTAAACAATTAGATTACATTTATCAATTTGCAATTTCGTTTTTTTCAAAAATTATAATTTTAAAGTACTCGGAAAGACGCTTCTTTAAAAGAAAAAGTTAAATTCCGTTTATTGGTTCTCGAGATATAAGCGTTCAAAGTTTATCGGTATTTACCGTTAATTTATAAACAATTTAGCAATCAAATTTGATCCAGTGGCTTCGTTTTTCCGAGTTATAAGCCGGAAAAAAAATTCGTATCCATAAGACATCGGCAACATAGATAAATCAGCGGAAAAGCTATCGCACGCACACGCGAAAAGTGACTCAAAACACGAAAAGTCGGGGGAGGGGGCCTTCGCTCCGAGACTGAATTCGGATGTTTAAAATGCGAAGGTACGAAAAAAATTGCATTATGTCGGCTTCTAATGGACCAATTTCGATCTTTTTTTAATCCGATGTCTCGCGAGCCAAGGAATATTCGAAATTTTTTCAAAATATTTTTCAAAACATTATTTTGCGAAAACTATCGAAACGATTTTAATGAAATTTAGTGTTTTTTTACCAAAATTAGAATGCCCTGAGAGCAATTAAAATATTTTTAAAAATTATCCGGAAAACTTGATTATTTTGTCTTTTTTTCACCAATTGTTATTCTGCAACATCGGTAATAAATTTAAACATTTTTAACTTCCAGTATATTGTGCAAAATTCAATTCTAAAATTTTTTTTCCATTTCAATATTCTTCCAAAACGCATAGGTTCCAAGATATAAGTAAAAAAACTCGATAAAATAGATATTTTTAAAAAATTTTTAAACATATTTGCAACTTTGAAAATGTTCCGGGCCTCGCCCAGATCTAGGGATCTACACATTCATTATGTGAGTTGTCCAGAAAAAATTTGCTTGCCCCCTCTCACATCCACCTCAAAACAGATCCGCCCTAGTCTATGACAAGTTTAAATAAATAAAACATTAAAATCAAAATAAATAAAACATTTTCTACAATATAAAAATTTTCACAGACGCCCATGGCTCGACCTCTTAGCTTAAATAGAACGCCAACCAAGTCCAAACATAAATAAAAGTTACGATTAAATCCAAAGAATTCATAATCATAAACTTGTAACAGCAGCGTATTACAAAGAAAATATAAATAACGAATGAGATAACTACATTTAATCCAAAAATACTGATCTCAAATGCACACGATTCTGTAACACAATATTTTTCTCCTTTAAAAACTGCCTTCCTCTTAAAAGTAAATAGATATTGTACAGATCCGTCGAAGGCACGGTGTGGAACGGAATGCAAAGAATTTTAATTTGGTGAATTATGGTCAGCGCTGCCACGTTCTATTGAGTATACATCGTTTTTTCTACAAATATTTTTAGAATATGGAAAAAATATTAAAATCGAAAATTCCTATTTACGATACAACAGTTTTATCGATCCAGTAAGCTTCGGACTATATCTATATCATTTTTTTAATATGCCTACATTTGGAGTCGTCTTAAAGTCAGCGATGCTGATAAATTGTGATCGAATGAGTAATACAGGATGAATACAAATCTATTGTTCTAAGGACAACGCTGTCTACAGCTGAATAATATCCTAACAATTTCGATTAGTTACGAAAAATAACATTTGATTATTATTAGTAAAAATATAAGAAAAAATCTGGAACTTAGATAAAAAATCATTTTGACAGGCCCCTAAATTGGTGTTTTCTTAAAGGTATTATATTTTAAATCGATTCTAGAAATGTGTTGAGCATAAAAAAAATTGAATGCATCAGACAGAGTTTTAGGCAATGTTTTCGTTTACTCAATTCAACTCAACTATTTGTCAGATAATGGCAATTTTGTTTATTGCTTTAACAAAGATAACATTATTTATTTTTTTAAATGGCATGATCCATCTGAAAATAACTGTAAATTGACACTTTTTCATTATTTTTACGTGATGCTAGAGACAGATCCAACAAACTTTATATCACTGTAATCATAAGCGTTGTATCCAAATAAGAAGGGTGTAAATAAAGACTCCTATCATATTTCCGAACAACAACAAAAAAATAGAATATTTACTTTTCTTTCCTATTCTAAAAAATTACCTTACCTCTAGCACGTCTTGAGCAGTTAGCAGGTATTCTCGTAACATAGCTTCTTGTATTGTGCGCCATTCTTGCCTTGGATCCTCTAGTTGTGTTGTTTCTGCAAGAATTAATTGAGGATCAACTAACGACCAACTAAACTGAATATTAATAGAAGACGATAATTTAACAGGTTTGGGAAATATTTGTTATAACAAGAATAAATTACGTATTTTGTGTCTCAAGGAAATAAAAATACCACGAGTCATAAAAAGGGGCCTCATGGTAAGTCGAAATAAGATTATCAGATAGATTCCATCGTATATTTTAATGAAGACATTTTTGAATGAGAACCAGTCGTGGTTTTGAAGAATAATAAATAATGCTATTTAAAATATTGGAATAGTAATGTATCTATTTATAATCAGTTACATAAAATGAATTTGTTGAATTAAAATTTCAGATTACTAGATTTGGAAGTGAATTCTTCATTTAGTGATAGAATAATAAACTAATTTAATACACTAATTTATTATTCACAAATCATTTGGGTTTAAACTATTCTAAACTTCGTGAACTTCTTTTAACCAAAACCAACTGTGCAACAAATAGAAAATTTTCTTGAATAATTTAAAAATTGTAATTTTTTTATTAAATAAAGTGAAAATAAAATTATAATTCTACTTTTCTAGTTCAAGTATCGCTCTTAAAAAAATTGCTAAGGTACAATTGGACCAATTTCACTTGAGACGGAGCAGCTAACCAATATGGGTTTCGCTCCCCATTGCACTACTTTGCCAGTGCGCATAATTAATTGCCCCATTTCACTACTACTTTGAGGAATTGCAATAAAGTAGGATAAACAAAAAAATTATTACTATTTTTACTCAGTTTCAAATGTACTATTACTAAAAATCACAAAATCATAAAACTGGTTTTCTATTTCGGTGTAGTTTTGTTTTGTCTCATAAATAGCTTTTTAAATGAACTTTCGGTATAATGAACTGCTATATTTAGTTCGCTTGAAACTAAAACTCGTTTAAGTTTTTTGTAATCCCCCATTTGGTTGGAATTTAAAAGTATGCAGAAAGCAGTTAACTTGGCATCGCATTATTTGAACTAGACATGGAAAAAATATTGATGACATTCTGCATCTCGACAATATGCAAATTATAAAGCCGCTGTCGACGACACATAGGCACTCCCTTCCTTTGTACATGGATATATGCTTAACTTTCCTCTGCTGAATTTAATAAAATCCTTATGCCGCGTAGAATACAGGAGTTGATTTTTCTAAGCCGTTGGATCCAGTTGTACAACCTGATTTGACCGCATTATATATAATTTGAGTTTGCTGTAACAGTAGCCCCTGTTTTGATTCTTTATTTTGCATTCAGCGCAGGACAGAAGTATTAAAATAAGAAAAAATATTTTTTGAGTATATTTTGTTATTCACTACTACCGAACACAACCGTTATTAAATAAACTACAACAGTTAAAGGCGATGCATACGCCTGGATTAGAATGTACATACAAATTCATGTTTTTGACCTTCGTTGAACACATGTAGGAATTTAAATTTAAATATTTTCAGTGAGGTGTTTTAATTGTGAAATATGCCATTGCTTAACGAAAATTTTTAAATTAGCACCTATCAGCAAATAATAATATTAAAGGATATGCCTTATTTGGAAGCAGAACAATAATTTTTCACCGTAATGGGGAAACATTCTTATTCGTATTTTATAATTATTTCAGTATTTTTCTATTTTTTACTCTGTTAGCTAATTCAAATAAATTCAGAAAACATATCCCCTCAAATGAAGTGTTCTTTGATACCAAAAAACTTGGTATCTAACCTCACCGATAATAATAAGTAGCCGTTTCCTGCAATATCAAAAGTTACGAACCTTATCTGTGAGGTTAGATATCTCTAGCATACCTAGGTTTTTGGTATCAATGAACTCTGTTTGACTTCATTTGTTCATGCGAAAGGAAAAATAGAAAAGTAGCTGATACTTATTAAAGTGAAATATTACTTAATTTCAATTATTATCTTACATTACTATTAAATGTCATGTCTGGTAAATTATGTTTAATTAATTTAATTAGTCATTTAATTGCATAATTGAAGACCTCCCTGGAATAACGTTGTGAGCAACAACTACTTAAGAGTTTTTGTTTTTAATAGTGGCAATATGTTTAAGTTCAACACGCGTTTAGTAAATTTTAAACTGATACTTGATACAATACCTAGATTACATTCATAAGAATTTCCAGTTTTATTACGTGTAAAGAATTACAACACGGAAAATCGTTGTAACTGAGTCACAACAATTTTCTGCAAATTATTAAGAAACTTATATCACCAATTGTCAATAATAAATCATTTCAAATTCGCCAGCTGGTAAAATCCTTTTTGCGTTGTTTAAGAAAATATGTTCCAATTTAATACTTTTAGGTTCGGCAATTTTTGTCTCTAACTACGAAATCATGCGTGTGTACCCCTAATTTATTAATGTGCTACAACAAAACCGACGATTTTAGTTACAATATTATTGACGGAAAACCTTCCACTAGGGGACGTGATACTTACGGTTTACGTGATTAATATAGTAGGGGCCTATTTGAGCATCAAATGCCTCTTCCCACCCTAAGGGCAACTCATCTCCTATGCAATCAGCAAATGTCTGTGGTTTGGTATATCTGAAACAAAATTAAATAAACGATAATAAACACCACAATATTTACCTATTTGTAAAAAATAATAACTGTTTGTAAAATAGTTAACATGTACATATTTCGTTTTGTCAAAAAATGAGGAATACTACTAAATTTTAATATTATTTTGAGAAATTCCAGTAAAACATGGTAACACTTATTTTATACGTATATATTTAACATTTAACGTTCTAATAGACCTTTTTAGTAGTAACGTCACATACGCCAAATAATAGGCAACCCCACAGTACACATTGTCATGAAGTATTTTTCGATTTTCGACCTTATGTACTGAGCATGCGCATTAAATATAATTTCATGTAAGCGAAGTAGCCTCGATACAGAGTATCATTCAAGAAAAATTTGGTTCTGGTTAAGAGTACGTCTATAATAAACCACTTGAAGAAATAAACACTCGATAAACATACTGACACAGTACAGCGCCAAGAAAAACAATAAAAATACTTAGTAGAACTAGAAATTGCCAAGATTAAACAAAAGAAGGGAAAATAGGCTATTGATGACAGCGATGGTATATCAACAAGGTCCCACCTGTGTATGAGGCTATTCTTCCCGAACATGCGCATTAGGAATAACACGACTAATGTTAAATTTTTACTTTATTTAAATTTAGGAATATCCTTTTATATCGTTTTTTTGTAAGTTTTAAGCACATTAGTGTACTACTATTTTAAAAACACGTGTCGGTTGTTAAATACTTCACAATCCTCGTAAAAATAAATTAATTTGAAGTATTTTAAATTGTACGCAAGAGTCAGATTCGGTCTGTACAATTTCAACTATGACAATTTGTTGCGGGTTGCCTAAATATGTGACATCACACTAAAAGAGTATATTGCAAATATTTGTAAGGGTGTTTTCTAAATCCATGCCATAACTTGGGATTGTCGTTCTTCGACTCATTTTAGATCTTTTTTTTTTTGGAATTCCACCATACCAATTCTTAACCCAAATGTGCTATAGCTACTAACTTGATCCCCAATTTGGCAAAACGAGAGAAAATTCCATTTCATTGACTAATTCGATGTTTTCGGTCGTTTTATTAAACAAGTCAGCAGAAATTAGTCGAATACCAACGGAAAAGAAGGGTGGGGCTAAATGTATTGCTACACAACAAGGCAGTATTGCTGCTAAGATTCCAGGTAAAAGCATTAATCATTTTCCTTTTTTACGGATGAAGTGGCTAGAAAATAAATAATTTAATACTTATTCAGTTATCTTTGAATACATTGAAGAAAAACAACAAAATAACTACTTAAACCTCATTAATAATCTATTGCTGAAAAAATCTTTTTACAGTTACAATTTCCTCATACGCAAGAAATTTTTTTGTAATGACGGTAACGGCATACTGAGCATACCATTGATCGTTGATTTGTTAGTGTCAACAACATTTGTAACATCCCCAAATGATTCATTCGTTCCAAGTACATACTTCATAATATCACCGCATTCCACAAATAAGATAAAAGATCTAATATATCGCAACTACAGCTCTTTCTATTTTTCCTCATTTATAAGTATTTCTATCTACCACTTAAATCGCATAAAAAGTGAAAATGAAGAAACTACCTAAATCAATTCAGAAAACCCTAAAATACAAAAAATTCATCAAAATGATATAATTACGAAAATACATATAATTATTGTAATATACGTAATGTAATGAACAATAATGCAAGTAGTTAACTGAAATTATGAACTGTTGTAAAAATTCAGATATTTAAATATTTTTTATAACCTTCAAAAAACGAAAATTAGTTATTCGTATAGCTCATTCCTTATCTCGGACACTGTTTTGATCATACTTCCTCTATTATTTCTTCAAATCCACTTTACTTTACTTTACTTTTACTTTATAAGTATGACTAAAAAATCCTCTCTCATTTGAAAATATTTCAGAAAATACCTATAATACCCTATTATAGGCATTAAAATAATTTTAATAAATCTTACAAAAATTGTATGCAATATGTGGTTAAGGTTGTACATACATGTGTGCAAAAACTTATCACGTGACGAAAAAATGCTAGATTCAAATGTAATTTGGTTGTCTTTCAAGAAACTATAAAATTAACAAATATTTTATAATTTTCCGCAGGAAATTCATTTTTCTATATAAAAAAAGAAAACAATCTAAAACCGCATTCCAGAGATATAGATACCACTTTTTTCAGGATAGTAGTGATATATTTATTGGATCTATGTGTAATAGTACGGGAGATGTGACCAAAAGAATGTGCAACGCCATACGCCCAATATCATTGTATCTGTAAAGCTCTACTATAATATACAAACCATATTACTCTAGTGTGGAGATATCGGATTTAATAATTATAAATTCAGTAGTTTTTAAAAATTTCAAAGAAGGGAGTTCTGGTGAAAATAGCAGCAGTTCTAAATTAATTCAATTTTATATCTCCACAACTAGAGCAGATAGAGCGGAATCCCGAGATTCTGGACTTTTTGTAGAGAACTGATCCCAAAATCCCGAAATAAAAGTATTTGCAGGAGTCTCTTTTATTTATTGCGTCAAACCAAGTGGTAAAAGTTCCCAAAGCAAAGATTTTTTCAGCGGAATCCATTGCAACTACAATAGAATCATGTTTAAGTGACAGTGGCGACAACACTTGGACGTGTTTATGATAAGAGTATTCTTTAGTACAGTATAATTACCGGATCACAATTTTTTATCTTGAAATCCCAGGCTTAATATTTGATCTCGAAAGTTGGATTTTCTAATCAATTTTTTAACACAATACGTTTATGGAAAATTTTTTTGACCTTATCTTCAGTATTATTAGATATGGATATAAGGTTTAGTAGACCTATATCACAGCAATCCTGAGAAGCCATTCTAATAACATCTGTATACAGCGTGTTTCATAATGCTACTCTGAAATGTAATGTTGACTTTTTTTATAAAAGAAATTCGTGAAAAATTCATCAATAGGTAAATCATATTTTTATGTTCGTAGACAACGAAATACAGTCGAATCTATTATATATATACAATTATTGTACATTACATTTGAGATTATTTAATCAAATAACCACTTTTGTGATGAAATAAAAAAACTGAAATGAAATTTAAAAATTCACGTTTATTTTTTGGGACAAAATGAAATAAAATATTATAAATTGGAGAAGCTCGTTTTCTAACGATGTCCAAAATATACACATTAGCATTAGAAAAATTAGATCTTTTTCAATAAGAGACAATTAGGCAGATCTCAAATTCCAGTTTACCTTTTAATATACCTATACTTAAATAATCACTTTTTCTGAATTAGCTTAATGAAGGCGACGCCACTTTTAACGTAATTTATTTCCTAGAATATATATAATATATATCCTAATGCGCGAAATTTTCAAAGTGGTACTTCACTATTTCACTAATTAGGTAATTTTATTAAAAAATGATAATAAACAAACTGATAATATATTAAAAACAAAGATAAGGATAACGGTATGATTATCAGACATAATCCAAAGGATTAAATAATCCTTTATACTTTGACCTATGACACTACCAAGGAAGGGGAGACCCTCGGGGAGACCGCATGAGGCATTTGGTGTACAAGCTGGAGTAATATTTAAATAACACTCAGTATTATTACATTATCCAGTTGTTGCACAAATAATAACGGATGCCTGTTCTCACATTTAATATTGAGTTAATTATTGAGAATTGTCGGTTTAAATTTCAGTGGGGTCTATTAAATGTAAAAAATCAGTTCCTATGGGGATAATACTAAACTAAACACTTTTAAAACAAAATTAGGTACCTATTTTAATAGTTAGTTATAGCTTGTTTATCTTATACTTCTATAATTTATTATTATCAATTATTATGATAATGTCATTTTTTTCTGACTAAAATGACTAGTTATAAACGATTACATTCATTCATATTTTTTAAACGTCAAATAACTAAAATATTCAAAGAAATATTTAAAAATACAAATTCCACAATTAGTGGCGTCGCCAACTATTTCAGTCATTTACAATGTCACTAATCGAAAACGGCGGTCGAAACTTCGACAAAAACATTATCTGGATGCCAATTGGCTAGAAATAATCGGAAATATTTAAATTTATTCTGGAGCTGTACATACGTTATAAATGGTCTATTACACAATTCAGAAAAAATAGGTACTTTGGTAGAAATAAACAGACACCTAAATTTCTGAACATGTAACTCATAATAGGTACAACAGTTAATTTCATAATTATAAAGTAATAAAATCTCAATTAGAAATTATTCTAACTTGATAAACGGGTACATAAAAAAGAAAATGAAAGGTAGGTAACAAATATATTAATTGACATTTTAAATGGTTAACTCTAAGTTTGAATGCTAGACAGCATGAAAATTGTAGGTACCTAACAATTTTTTAAGTTTGATATGGAAATGCGGGGAAATTATTCAAACTACAAATTAGAAAAGGAAATTGAAGCCTGACAAACCACATAAAAATGCATTTACTGTTATATACAAATGTTATTAGAACTTATTATTGGTCCAAATGCGTAGGCTTACTATCCACTTCATAAGGATTAATATATTATTGCAAAATATGATCTTGAAAAGGAGAGATAGAACGGTAACGTATGTAATGGGACTTTCTTGCATTACGACAAATGTTAAAGATAGATTTACCTAAAAGTGAGAGAATTAAAGTAATAAAATTATTTAGTTGATAAAACATTATAAAATCTGTATTTATGGAATGTCCAGCATTAAATAACAATGAATTTTTTAAGTAAAAATAATAGGTCTATTTTTAATTATACAGTTTAAATGTCACTATATTAACCAAGGTTAACATACCATTTTTTATTAAAATAGGTATGCATTCCGTTTCTCACGAAGTCTACCAGTAACAAATCGAGAATAGACTGCGAAATATTTAAAAAATTGAACATTTTTATCATGTTTCGAAAAAAGTATGGAAACCGTACTTATATTAAATAAGATCCTTATGCATATGTATATCCTAATCCTTTATAATCAGTATTCATATGTGGCACATATAGAAATATGTATTTTTTTAAATTATGTAATAAATCAGCTTAGTATTTATTCAGTTACAGTTTAATCACCTCTCTTGCCTACCTACTTCATTAGGTATCAGTAACTTTTAACAGTTACCTGTTCATAATTATGATTAGGTATTATTCTAACTGCAACTATATCTAATGTCTAACACCTATGTACAAGCTACAAAAATAATAAAAATGATAAAAAATTCAATTTAGGCGTTAAGAAAACTCCAGTAAGATACTTGTATTGCATTTAATTCACTGACGCAAAACGTATTCGCGGAAAGATTGTAAATATTTTTAGACACAACAATCTACTATTTATTCTACATTTACGCATATTTTCCTAACGAGGGCAGCACATTCACATAAATATGTTTTTTAAATGTGAAATTCCTAGCGAGCATATTTAAATCGACGTTCAATTTTCAATTCACTGTTATTTTTTCGTCACTAGTAGAATCACGTGTTAAGGGTGCGTACATTACTCTCTCTACAGAAAATTTGACAGCTTACCGAAAAAAAATAACAAATAAAACTAAAGATATGCTATTAAATTCCTCAAGTTAAATGAAAATATATGTACCAGAAAAGGAATGTATATCTACTATCCAGTTTTAATCTTTCGTATCATTAAAATGAATTTAAAATGTTAATGGGGGTTGTTAAAGTCCTAAAAATTATTACATCAAAAATATATGGCTGCTATATGACGCCACATTAGGATTTAATTAAAAATACACTTTTTTTACTTTTTATTGCAAACACGCATAGTTAAAAGAAGGTATGTGCTCAAACATACCTGTCTCTCGGATCTATCCACGTAGTTTTTTTAGAGATGTGGTCTATAAAATATATTTTCCCATCTTTGTCCCGTCCGAAATCCCATCCTTCAGGCAAGGGTATTTCACCATTCCGTTTTCGAGGCATTATTTCACTATTTAATCCATTAATGCACAGTAACTGACACACACAACACTACACGGCCATGTTGAATACCACATTATCAAGAGCGGTCTCAAGGATGACGTCACTAAGTTCCACCAATCCGCTGCGTTTAACCTCGAAAGAGGAATGCGACTAGCGTACTAACTTGGCGTACTAAACATATAAATTATAACATCATCGACCACGAACTAAGTGCAAATGCTTGAATTGGATAGCATCTTACGAATGCTTAGCCAAGTAGGTATCCCCAAGACGTGTGACCACGAAACAATACTGCTTGCTTATATCAAACTATCAGTCATGTCACAATCTACTAGGTATGCAAAATTAATTTTGCGGGTAGGTATTTCTTGTACAGCCGGAACGGAAGATTTCACTTTGCGTAGAAGAATTTAACATTTTTAATAGAGCCGCATACCTATTTAGGTGTAATATCTAGTTAATTTGGAAAAATGGGTGTAGAGGTACTCAGAAACTCGTCTATAGATACAAAATATTTAAGTTTTTGAAAATTATTTTTTCTGTACCGAAATTATTAAAATTAACATTGTACACAATGCCTGGTAGGTATATGTTTAAAAGTCATACCCAAAATAAAATGGAAAACTATAATTTTTCTTTTCAATTGAATATTTTTACTAGTGCGAGTTTTTTTAAACTGGAAAAAAGAAAAATTGAAAATGCATTAGGTAGATAGGTATATATTGAATTTTTTTGTTATAACTTTTAAGTCTGTATAATTTATGTTAATATTTTTAATTTCTTATGTTTGTAACAACGCAAAACTTGGATATTTATGTTATTATGTTATTAGGTAGACCATATCATTTATCAACTTAATAAATATATGTGTATACTTATGCTTACCAAATATTTAATTGTACTTATTGTTAGATATTTAGTTGCTTCATATTTGAACAAATAATGCTTCACGAAAATTTCGTATGAACTCAAGAAAATAAAAAACTTTTTGAATGTTGTATTTCAGAAATATACCTACGCAAATCTATGTTTTTTCTATACATATTTACAGTTTTTTGAAATTCTTCTGATTAGGTACAGCAGTATATTTGCTTTGACAGTCTACAGAATGTTTTACTTTATTTACTGACCTAGAACAATAATAAAGTCAATATTGTCATAGAATCAGTGGATTTATGTAACATGTTTGTATGCTTCATTGAAACTACAGGTAAATTTTTCAAAACAAAAGGATAGATTTTAAATTATTATATGATTAATATCCCATTCCCTTTCACAGTTAAATATATAAAATATACATAGTATACATTTTTAATATGTATAATTAATGAATATATATACAGGGTGTATATACATACATACAGAGTGTCTTAATGAATTATGCCATAATGATGGCACCAACACGCTTCCTGTTATACTACTTCGTGAAAGAATATGATTTAATTCACACCTAAAATCTTCGTATGTCAAGTTTCATTAATTAACAGCTCTCTCTATAATTTTTTCATATGTTGCGTTTTCGCTAGTGTTAAAAAATTTAATATGTCTTGAAAGGTTTTAATAGTTTTAAAAGTTACAATTTTAAACTTCAAATTTCATACCAAAATTAACCATAAATTAATAAAATTTGAAATGTGGATATTATAAAATTAATCCACGTTGTCAAATTTTCCATTAAAAAATACCTAATGATTTTACAAAGATGACTTCAAAAAAAATTACAGCAGATCGCATAGTGGTACTTTTACGTTCTATGACATTTGTTTATGTAAAAATTTTAAGACACCCTGTATATAAAAAAATAATCATATGGAAGTCGTACGACTTATTAAAATTGAATAGTGGTTTCGTATCAAATCTGAACACACGACGTCAACTGATAGTTGATGACAGTCGTATAACATTCTTCATATAATCATAAATAAATATCAGTTTTTACAATAAGTACCACAATATATTAATCCCTTCACATGGTACGTCGTGACAACTCGTTATTCCCAATATCTCAGCATTCTATTTGATAACTCGTATTCCGTCCGAGTTAATTTGCAATATTAAATTATACGTTCCCCTGTATAAATATGCGAAAGCAAACATTCAATTTGCATTCATTGTTACCACGAACACTGTCAAAATGATATCAATGCACCTCACAAAAAGAAAACAAAACTTTTATATAAATATTTTTTAGAACGACAATCAGTTTTTGTGGATATTCATTCCAAGCGTGTGATCACATTTAGATACTGAAACGTTGTCTCTGCTGAAGCGATTTATTCACTCATTTTCATTGCTCTATGCTACATTTCAAATTTGTAATAGAAATTAGAAATGTAATGAAATTAGTTCTTAGTGTGCTTTTACTCTAAAGTTTTGTGCACGCTATGAGATAGAACTTACTCGAACTTGCACTCGAGTCAGTTTAGAGGCACACTCCTCCTTGAATGAATATGTTTTGTGAATTGTGATTGACAGATAGACAAATATTGCTGAAGGAAAAGCAGGGTTATGTGTAATTTGTAATGATATTTTAGATAGTGTAGTAAAATAAAATGATAAGATATTGTAAGAATTATTCTAATTACATAAAACACCATTTTAAAAGAAACTGTAGCACAAAAACTACAAGTGTTATAAACATTCTGAAGCTTCCTAATGCCGGAGAAAAGATTTCAGTTAAGGTAGTTGATATTTTTATAGTGTAATAATAAGTATATCATTTATCGAAATATTGAAATTGTACAAGTATTTATAATTAATTAACAAAATTACAGTAGTACCTTAATATATCTCTCATATGTATATCATCACAATATAGGTACCACATAAATGAAATGCCTGTTCCTTTACTGTTAATTCATGAGAATTAATATAGTTAATTTTTTTTTAATAAAATGTGCTTTTTACCAGGATATACAATGTTTTTTAAAAGGAATGTATGGGCATAGTTATGACTGAATTGTATCTAGATTTATATTTGAGTAGCATGTCCATTTCGAGATAAAATACTTGTTTTCATTCGTGAATTGTTCACTCATAAAAATGACATGTTCATCTTTTACTGCAAAATGTATGGTTTGATCCTTAAAATAAATTAAAAAAATGTATCACTTAAAAATAAATATTGTTTCATTTTTTATTCACTTTTTTAAATTGTCCAAATAAGAAGTGTTGTATTTTTTGTTATTTGAATGGTATATGCACCTTATAAGAAAAATATGAAAAAGAAAAAATATATATTGCTATTTCTGAAATAATAATAACAAACTGACATTTTCTCATTTTTGTCTCATTTTTAAACGCAATTCTAACAATAATTTTTGAAATTATTTTTCAGATCTTAACATGAAAAATGGCAAATATCACTAGCCTTGGTTATATAAAAAAAAAAACAGTACAATAAAAAGGGGAATAAAAAATGAGATGGTATGGAAATAAATTAATTCAGAATTACATAATGGGGTAGGTATGTATAGCAAAAATTTAATAAATGTCAGCATATAGTTATTAATTTCATAGGTCTTACATTTAAACAAAAATTTATGTTTTCAGGGATGGGTGAAGGCTATACGAAAACAAAAAGAAAATGTTTTTATAGATCTAAATGATGGCTCAACTGAAAAAAAATTGCAAATATTAATACCTCATAAATGTGTTCCCAAAGGTTTAAGTACTGGATCGTCTATATCTGCTGATGGTATACTACATTTCTCTCCAAAAGGGCAAATTGAGTTATCCACTGAAAATATTAACATCATAGGCCCTTGTTCAGTTGCCGATGGCTATCCTATCGCGCCAAAAAAACATTATTCGCCTGACTACACTAGGCAATATCCGCACCTCAGGCCAAGAACTAAAATATTTTCGTCTTTGCTAAGAGTTAGAAGTGAGGCAGTATTGGCTATAAATAACTATTTCAATTCTAGGGGTTACGTATATATACATACTCCAGTTTTGACGTGTAATGACTGTGAGGGTGCTGGAGAGGTATTTAAAGCCATTCCTGATAACGTGAACTTGTTAAAGCAGATGGCGAAAGAGGAAACACTATTAGAAGAAGCATTTTTTGATAAAAAAGTTTTTTTATCAGTTTCTGGGCAATTACATTTAGAAGCCGCAGCTCATGGATTAAGTAAAGTTTATACGTTAGGGCCTACTTTTAGAGCAGAAAACTCTAGGTCTAGACTGCATTTATCTGAATTTTATATGCTCGAAGCAGAAGTTGCATTTCTTGATAAAATAGAAGATGTTATGGTAATAATAGAAGAGTTCATGAAAAATGTAACAAAAACACTGTTAGAAACATGTGAGAGTGATATTCAAGTCTGTCGTGAAAAAACCGTGGATATGTCGTGGGTAAACAAAAACTTTGCTGTGCTGGATTATGACGAAGCTGTAGATATATTAAGAAATAATAGGCAAAAATTTAAAGATGAATTTTATGAACAGAGCGGCATATCAAAGGAACACGAAATATTTTTAGTTCATTACTGCGGTGATATTCCCACTTTTATAATTAACTGGCCTAAAGCTATCAAACCGTTCTATATGAGAGAATGTGAAGGTGATAATGAAAAGGTATGTAACCCTTCTATTTTCAACAAATCCCATAAACCGTCATTCAAATAAATATCAAATAATTGCTATCTAAGAATTACATGTCCCACCGCAGCCTGTTTTAAACAGATTGCAGCGATTGCCGGACTACAGATAAGATTGCAACCAATTTTCTACAAAAATCTGCAGGTATTGCAAAAAATGGGTGTATTTTATTAAAATCATTAAATAGAGTCAAGAAAACGTTACTTTTCTTAATTTCTTCTCTATAGAACTACTTCTTATCTAACGTTGTTGTTACTTTGCACCGTGGTCGCAGTTTATTTAATTTTAAATTTCAGGTGGCTGCACTGGATTTACTGGCTCCAGGAGTTGGGGAAATAGTTGGAGGAAGCTTACGTGAAAATGACTATAACAAATTAAAAGAAAAACTACCTGAAGCTGGAGCAAAATTGGATTGGTATTTAGACTTGAGGAAATTTGGAGGTGTTCCCACTGGAGGATTCGGATTAGGTTTTGAAAGATACCTGTTATTTCTTTTAGGAATAAATAACATTAAGGATACCCTACCTTTCCCAAGGTGGCCACATAACTGCAATTTATAAATTAAAAATTTCCTTTTATTTTTTTATTTATTATTGAACCAGTAATTATCCAAAAAAAAAAAAATCCCGAAAAATAAAAACATCAATATTCAGCAATAATAGATGTCCGGAATTGCATCTTGAACATTGAAAGGTCATGTATAAGTAGACGGATGTCTGTATTACATATTTTATGGATATTTTTGGCATAGATTATTGAGAAATAAAATTACCACGACCTTGAGGAGGGCGCCACAATTGTCTCGTGGTCTATGAATTATTTAAAACAAATAAAAATGTATTGGTTAAATATTCAGAATTTCAAATTGAATATGAAGTTTATTATTTTCAGGTATTTTAGAGGTGATGTGTTATTGAGGTAAACACAAATATTGACCTACCAATAGAATCATGTTTACTTTATGTTCCTAAAATTTGAACACAACAGTAAACAGTATTTTGTATATATTCCATTTACTTTAAAATAATTTGGATATAATTTCCTTTTTTTTGCGGAACAATATAATTGTACTATGCTATCACTGAATTTTCCGAAGCAACATTTTATACATAATTTTCATTCTAATGTAGTAAAGTTTTCTTTGACCTAATTTTGGAAATGTACCAAATATAACAAAAAATGAAACAGTAATTTATTGAGTATTGTCCAATTTCCCCAGAAAAATATATACAGGTGTCCCGTTCATGTTTCAAAAAACTTGTGCGCAAGTTCATCATGGAAAATCGAAAATGGTACGTGCTACCGAATTTCGACAAGTATACCTTTTTTTGTAGTATCCAGATATGCTTTAGAGTTTACAGAACCATTTAGAAATGTAATAAATATTTACTTTTAACATATTTTTTTTGCAATTGTACCCCTTCAATTACTTGTATCGGCGACACTATTTTTCAGAAAGAAACAGTTTGCACATTATTCTTGATGTTTACTCGTGTACAAATTTTGACATTTTTATCTTTAGCCGATTTAAAGGCAAGAAAAACCATTTGGATAGTAACAACTTCAACACACTGTATCTCGAAAACAGGGCGTGTTACATGAACTACCCCCATTATTTTCCCATAAGGAATTTGGATACAAGATTTTTTGAAAAATGAACAGGACACCTTGTATATAAAAAGCGTCTCCATAAACTTATTCTGTAAACCTTAGAGCATATACTACTGGAACGAAGGTGCGTTACAAAGCAAAGAGAAAGATAGCTGCTATGAAGCCAATTGCTATCTCTCTCTTTCTTGCGGAAAGTTATTGGCTGTTCTTATCACATGGGATCAGGCGTGAGCCAATCATGTTCGGTAAGAGAAAAACAGCTTGTACCTTCATAGCGGCTATCTCTCTCTTTACCTTGTAAGGCGATTATTCCCAAAGCTATAAACAAAACAATAAAACATTACTTGTTTTGTGATAATTTTAGTATTTGCCATTAGGTAGCGACAAGAATGATGGAAACGCCGAATTGCTATTAGCCAATACAGTTGGTCATTTTAGCTCCCTTGATTCCAGGATCATTCAAGGATTTTTTACACAAAAGAACCCTTGGGGTCTTTTGATTTTATAAACTACGCTATCAGTCAAAGAGCTGACACTTGCCCACAAATTTTGAGGTGTAGTTTTCATTTGTGTTTATAACAGAGAATAGTGTTCTCTGTTTATAATTTGTACATTAATAATAATACAGTATTGTTTATAAATAATAATCATTTTCCGACAAATTTTTGAGTCTCGGGTAAATAATTGATAGCGCTTCGAGCGGATCATTTGCTCGAAACTTGTGATTTTAACTTCGGTTTCGGTAGTTGTATAAATAAACTGTGTTTTGGTGACTAACAGGTGTTTGGTACAGGTGTACCAAACCATAACGTTCAATCGAAAATATCTAAACTTAACCTAAAACAGAGACAACCCACTAACCCAGGTTGTCTCTGCTTAAAATTAAGCACATCATGTAATGGACACGACGTAGTTGCAGTAATTTTTACTTACGTTTGTTTACTATCCCACTTTATTTAAAAAATCAGTGGTAGTAGATAATAAATAACTATAACAGTTTCCTTTGAAAATATAAGATTCGGGAGACAGAAAATGGTTTGTGTCCTCTTACAACCTCGAGCAAATTAGCCACGCCCATAGAAACATAAAAAAAGAGTTTATATTTTTAAGTGTGTGGTACTGCACACAGTTGATTTTCTTTTGATCATAAAAAATTTGGAATGCCCTAGATACGTAACAATTAAAAGTAGGCCATAACAATTTATTAGCTGCTCTTTATCTCGAAAATGAATATTTTTAGTACCTAGTTAATGTTAATTATTAAACTCGACTAATTAAACATATAGAAAGGGCAAACAAATAGCAAAACAGTTGTTAAGTTACTGTTTTGAAACAATAAGACCTTTAGTTTATTATTATTTATATACAGCACTGTTGTTTTGTTTAAACGAACAGGCAATTATATAGAATTTAGTACCTAGCGGGGCAGAGAATAAGACGGTCAGGAGAAAGCTGTAGAATACGGTTACTTATATTTATTTACATTCTCAACCCATCATCGAAGTAAACGCATCTCGCAATATTTTTAAACGAATTTTTAGTTTCACGGTTCTTACCGCAAAATAACAAAATGCTGGTTATAATAGGGTTTTCAGCAATCGTAGTGGTAACCGTTATTGCCGTGGTCAGATCCAAAAAACCACTTAGTTTAATATTGTCGGAAGCGAAATATGAATTTCTTTATCAGATTGAGGGCACCAGATCTATGTGTCAAGATTTTATAATGAAGAAGCAAAATAAAATGGGTAAGTTAAATTTACGATTAAATATATATACTTATCTACTTTAAAATAAGGTTCCAAAAGAACGAAGGTTGAATTTTTAACTTGAAAACTGTCGGCAAAAAAAGATATATTTAAGACACCTGCACGAAAATATTGTTTCGATTTATTTTCTAATGATCTATTTCATTTGGTACTTTTAGGTAGATAAAATTAAAAATGTATGATGTATACTATACAGGATGTCCGGAAGCTAATGGGTCATACTAATAAATTTTTTTAGTTCACTTTTAAAAATATTTCACTGAAACTAATTTTTGATGTAGCCGAAATTTGAATATGATAAAAATAAATTTCTTAATTTTTGCTTCATTTATTAATAGGCAAATACTATTAAAACTGTTTTTTGACATTATGTATGCGAGCAGGGTAGTAGAAGGTGCGGGGAGATCGTTTTTGAAAGAGAGAGGGGGATAACACCAAATATGTCGTGTTGTAAAAGTCATTTATATAATTTTTTGGGCTGTAGTAAAAATAAAATAAATACTTGATGCAATGAATAATCCGAATAATTAACACATATGTAACTTTTCATAAAAAAAAAAATTTAAATCACTTGTAAAAATGGGTATTACAAAATTACAGATTTTAAAAAATACTTCAATGAAATGAAACTTGCTTTTAGATAAACTAAGAAATGTTCATAATATGCTTGAAATTTTTCTGATATACACCTCGTATATAAAAGTGATAGCTTCAAGGGCCAATGTGCATAAATAAGGAATTATTCTTAAATTTGGGTGAGAAAAATGCTTCTCCATTTTTACATGTTGTGTTACGCTCTATACATGTGAAGTTTTTTATCTTGTTTATTTAAATAATGTAGGTTATTTTTGCAACGAATACATTACTGAGAAAAATAATTGCACTCATTAAAAGAAAAAATAACAATACTTCGATAAAACCTGGCTTGACCCTTGACTCGTATATGTGGTGATATTTTTTCTTCGCCTAATGATAAAACATATTGCAACTTTAAAATAATGTTGTTGAAGATACTAAAATAAAATATGTTTTATATAGGAGACATTTTTTTTATATTATCAGTCTCACTTGTAGGATCAATGCATCCTTATTATGCCCAAATTACATAAATATTTACGTTTTATTAAATGAGAAATGAAATAATAATAATAATAAAATCTAAATGTTACTTATAAATATTCAAATTAAATAATATATATTTTCAGAATTATCTCCCAAACCTGAAAAAATTGCTGTAATTTCTGGAGGAACAAGAGGGATAGGTCTGGAAGTTATAAAAATGCTTTTAAAATGCGATATGACAGTCATTCTAGGTATAAATTATATATTTTTTTAAAATATTTTTTCTTATCTTAAATTTCAGGTTGTAGAAATACTGCACAAGGAGAAGCATTGGTTAATGTTTTTAAAGAAAATGATATTACTACGGGAAAACTTGACGTTTACAATTTGGATATCAGTGTAATGGATTCAGTAAAAAAATTTGCTGCAGTTGTTAAAGAAAAGCACCCCAAAATAAATTATTTAATTAATAATGGTAAGCACTCATATAGGGAGTTAGGAAGATTTCCCAATTAGAAATATATCCCAAAGGTCTTAAGCTACATGCATATGAAGTTACAAACATTTTTGTTACAGTTGCAGAGTTGCAAAGTAAAGCAAAATGTTTTTTCTATTTTTTGTAACAATACTTATTTATTTAATTACCTACTTTTTATATGCATCTAGACAATCAGTATGATTTTTAGCTGGTATAATGTTTGGGCCATATATCGAAACAAAAGATGGGTTCGAATCACAATTTGCAACAAATTATTTGGGGCATTTTCTTCTTTCGCATCTTCTTCTACCGGAATTAATAGCTGCAGGAGAAGAGGAATCGAAGTCTAGAATCGTAAATGTTACATCCTGTGCACACAGGGTTTTAGGAGATTTTAAAATTGAGGATATTAGTAAAAGGTATTTCCAGAACTTATTATTTCATCACATTTTCATTTTTTTCATTAACTTTCATCTGAAATTAATTTCTATTGTGGCTGGTCATTAAACTCTTAATAAATAAACATATAACTTCAAAAATTTTAATCCAATGATTACAGCAAGTCTAAAAACATTGTTCCCCTTTTTTCAGAAGGAGGTATATTGAAGGCGAGGCATATGCACAATCTAAGCTAGCGCAAATTCTTTTTACCAAGTATTTAGATAAACATCTCAAAGACGAAAAAATATATGTGCAAGTTCATTCAGTTCATCCTGGAATTGTTAATACTGAATTATTTGATGGCACAACATTGAAAAATATTGCCCCTTGGGTGCCTGCTCTATTTTTTAAGGTAAAAAAGGCAATATAATTTAGAATATATTAAAGAAAAAATAATTCTTTTTAGAGTCCCGAAGATGGAGCTACTTCAGTAGTCCACGCTTGTCTTTCCAAGGAATTAGAAGGAAATGGGGGGACTTACATTATGAACTGTCAAGTTTGTCCTACAAGTAAATTGGCTGATTCGATTTTATTGCAGAAAAAGTTATTTGAGTTTTCCAACGTATTGTTAAATATCCAAAATTTTATTGTAGGGAAATAGGTAGTACCAGTACAGTTTCCAACAAATAAGCAATTAATGTTGCCAATTATTTCTTTTATAAGGTCTACTTGAAAGATTTCCTTTTTATTTCAAACTTTCAGCAAACAAGCTGTTTACTTATCTTTTCTATTATCACATAAAAAAATTGTTATAAAATATTTAAGACTGACAAAAACTATCATTAGTAGCACTTTTATATTTTTTCCACTTTTATTAGTACTGCGCAAATAAAAGTATACGTCGACCAATTTCATCAGGCCGGTGAGATGCAGAAATGTGAGAGACTACAAATACAAAGTTAGAAGAACTACAACTAAAGTACAATCAAAAAAATAAGCGAAAATGGGTATAAAACCGTTGACATATTACCTGCATTAAAACATAATTATTCATAATGATGGATTTATTTAACTCTTGGGTAAGTAAAGACGAAACGAAATCATGAAATCCGCGGGACTCTCCTGCACTTTGGCGCTAAGCTACATAACACATTCACCGGCCAGATGAAATGTTGAACTGTATTTTACTAGAGATACAACGTATTTTTCATTTTAGTACTTATTTTTGTAGTGCATAATTCCAATGTAAGTGTATCCTAAAATACTCTAGGATTAGTACCTCTATATGTAAATATTAATAAAAAATAAAGTAAACTGTCAAAGCCTTGTTTATGATCAAAGTAATAAGCTTTCATTGTTGTAGACTATTTATATTTTAAATTAACTGAGAGCGACACCTTCCATATACCTATCCCAAACACGTACCAGTTTTAAAATGATAGTACCTCAACCAGCTTTACGAAATAGTGTAGCTTATAAGCAGACGTTTCTGTTTTGCCTGAAAAAAAAAATTATTTCGAACTTACCGTCGTGAAAGAGATAAACGCTTTGTTCCTAATTTATTAGCAACAATTTCCAACAGTCGGTAATCGCTTTTGATTCCAAACAATGAATTTTGAACCTTACATACGTACATTTATTTTTATTGATAATTTAAACCAGTTAGCGTATGCTTGCGTTTCGTATTATTCGTATTTGTATTTTGTATCAGTGACACGATGTATCACGCACTTGTACAGCCCACGAGTAGCGATACGAAACGTACGAATCTTTCAGTACGACTCCCCAATCCCCATTCTTAATGGAGTCGTATGATACGAATCTCAGAAAAAAGTCGTTTTACCCTCATACTACTTTACTTATTACTCTGAGGTTTTACCCATCTCTAATACATACATAAAGATTGGAGGTGGGGTACCACATTTATCTCTGTTCTATGTCACCACAGTCGAAATTCTGTAACAGGGAGAAGTCTCCATGTTCTGTAAGTTCCGCATCAATTGAAAATCGAAATCAAATCGAAAGCGACCATGCACCATGCACAAACGAAACTGTTATAGGAATGTCAAAGTCAAGATTGTCAAAATGTCAAATGATGAAATGTCAGAATTCATAATAAACGAGCTAGAAATGGCGACTGGCCCCAAAATTGCAACAACTCCACTGGGATTATTTGAAGGACATAGGGAAGCCCCACTTCTATCTCAAATATGGGCTCCTTCTATGTGTGCCACTGTAGGTTTTGTGAGTGTTATATTTGGAAACTGGGCCAGCAGAAGACCATACTTTAGCGGTAATGTATAATTATTTTGAATTGTTACAAATTATATAATATTTCTTATTAAATTTCAGGAATTCAGAAACACTTTATAGCAGCCGGTGTAGGTGCTGCATTAGGAAAAATCATTGATGATTACAGAAATCAATATTTTGCTGATAAAGATGCCGTTTTGAGGCATTACATTCAGTTGCATCCAGAGGATTTTCCGCCTTACGGTAAGAATTCGCGTCGTTGATTAATTTACATGTCAAACTATCCCACATCTAACCCAATTTAAAATTTCAGAACGAAGGAAAATTGCTGATATCCTCGAACCTTGGGTACCCATTCGTTAAACTGTAATTATTGTAGAATGTATTTTGTTAATAAATTATTTAGAATTTTCCGTTTTGTGGGTTACTAATCATTACATTAATGGTAGGTAGGACTGAAACTAGTTTTAACTATATTTAAGTTTCTACAATATAGATGGATCTTGAAGAAAAAGGTGAAACTAAAAATAAGTTTTATTATTTTACAATTGTGGTTTGTCTATAAGACGCTATTAATGTTTGGAGTGTTTTAATTAATGAAGGTGAAGTATGTATCGAGTTTTCCATTCTTTGTACCTAACCAATAACATCGTAATATCAGAGATAGTGATTGAAAAAAAATATATAAAATATTTATGCACTGTTTATTAATAGTGGGCGAAAATACATAGTTAATTCTAATTGTATACATAGTAAATAATTAGAATTACTCTAATTGTGTTGTACATTGTCATTTGTATTGAGAAAAACTTACAAAATATAACAATACTTATACAATTATTTCCAAACTTGAGAGTTAGACTTTTTATAATTCAACATTAACAAATAAAATGGAAGATTCTCATTTTATTTTCGATTAGAAAAATACATGTTTCAATAATACTTCTATCCTACAAATACATTAATCAATAAATACATTAGTCACCCTTATTTCATCACAGACTACAATAATTTTTAAATTTTGCTTCTATATTTCTCTTTCATAGGTATGCCTAATTCTAATACACTTATGTAACTTGATATTAAAATAAAACCAAGGAAACAATAGTCAACATCGAAAAAAAATTCGGTAACTTATTGCATTATGAATAGGAAATTTGTGATGTTTTTTTTTTGAAATTCAATTCGTGCTGGTCCGAGAAATTTGGGACATAAGTGGAAATACTTTTTTGTAAGTAAAATAAACTATTTCTGTTTTCACACGAAACAACAAATCATTTTTCCACCAAAATATAATCACTAACCGTTCAGGTATATAATTCATTGTTTTTACCGAAACATAAATTATTGATAACTATGGCAACCTTAATAATTATATTTACACTTCAACCCACAATATTTGTTAAATTGTAAATAAGCATATTCTATATATTTTTCTTTTTTTGATTTTGGTAAATTACTGTAATACCCGATTAATTAAATTTGAGAGTAAATATGTTGCCTGCAGAAACTGAAAACACCTCTAAGTGGCAATCACCATTGTTATAATCATAATTCATTAATTTTAAAATAAAAATTTTACTTTTCCGAAATATTTAGTGAAATTATTTAAGTGTTATTAAAATTAAACTTTAAAAATTTTCCGTTACTACAATAAATATATCAGGATCTTAATTTTTACAAATTTTTTCTTCGAGTTTAAAGTTTCACATAAAACAGAAATATTTTTTGATAATTAGGATTTAGTGACTGAATTTTAATTGACACCCGTTAACGCGATTTAAAATTTTAATTAATCAGGTAACACTTCTATAATAGTTAAACAATTGCACTGTTGAAACACCTAAGTGCTACTGGAAAATAACTATTTGCTTAACATCAATATGAACGAGGTAACAGCAAATAAAAAATGTCAGTCAAGTTATAAAAAATACTTGTGATGTAGCAGCTGCTGCTATCAAAGCCAAATATTTCGGATAAAAACCGACTGATTTACATATGATTCAAATATATTGCAATGCAACGACAATATATACCATTAAAAACTAAATCCTATTATTAAAATCACCAGCATTAAATCGTCCCTAATATTTAAAATTAAATCTTAACATATGTAAATAAATAGCACAATTTAAGCAAGTTGTTTTATTCATTTCAAGGAGGTACGCAATTAGGAACTTTATTACAAATTTAGCAGTCTATCTGTCCGTCACAGTTCCTTACATCTAAGAAAATAATTTCGCCAATTTATCACTATTAAGCTTAGAATACGTTTGGCACTAAAATATACAAGAGTAGATTATAACCGCGTTTCAAAATTTTATTTTATACAGTTCTAAAATCCTAATATCAAAAATAGATCCTTTACCAGCACCCGACATTAACTTTTTCACATTTAGTTCGCAATCCTATTGGAGTACCTCGCTGAAATCGAATAACGTAAATACCTCGCCATGCTGAATATAAAACATTTATATGCATTGAAATGCATCAACAAAAATACTAATATACTGTGATCTAATCACACAAGGAATGTATAACAAATATTGTAACAACTAATTTGTGAATAACATTTTAAAACTGTGTGCACTTATTTTCAATTAGATAAAAAACAAAGTGGTGCTTAGTCAGCAAGTGCATCTAACTTACGGGATACATTTGCAAAAATTTATATTGAGGTGCATCGAGTCTAGTAAAAATGACTTACAACTTAACTTAAAATTAATCACTGTTTCAGCACAAAACCTAAAAGACTCGTAGAAAATTTTATCTTTAATTAAAATAAATAAATGAAAATCATCAGTTCTTTTTTAAACGTAATACTGTTCATCTTAATGATTTAAAATATAGCGGCTAAAAGCTAAAATGGCAAGGTTAAATATATATGTGCAAATTACATCACAATCTAAAATTTGTGTTTAAAAGGGATGCATCTCTCGTCAGAACCTACGATGTTTAATCTGTTCCAAATGTTTCACTGGAACTGTTTTAAAAGAAAACAAAAGATAAATAATTTCATCACATTTTCTAGTTAAAATGATTATTTTTTTATCGTTTATTTTTTATATTTCCTGAAGACAGACACAAAGTACATAAGATGTGCTTTGTTATTAAATCAAAATTATTTAAAATCCTCACATTTATTATTATCATTAACTTCCTGAGGAATTAGGCGATGCATATAGCATGAAAATTAGACTCAAGACACAATAGGTGCTTGTGGCTCTTTTTGAGGAAAAAAAAGAAAGAACTATAAAAATTTTCAAATTGCGTTACAGTATACTTCAGTTTTGAAACTTTTGAGGGTACCTCATATGTCCCAAAAACATAGATGAAATGTAATTAAAACATCTCAAATAGAATGACGAATACGAAGTTTGATCAAAATTTACTAAGAATTTTCAAACTGCGGGTGTTGTATCTTGACTACCGAGTTAATTATTTTTTTTGCGTATTGACAGCACTGCCAGTGACGTGTCAGTTTTTAGACAGCTGCCACGCTTAGTTTGTGTTTAACTAGAAAACGAGAGAATGACTTACTTCAGTGTTTTTATTGTGGTATGTGTATGTGTGTGGTGAAATGTCAGATCAGAGAGTTTGACTAATATTTTATGTTAAAAACAGAATTAAGTGCAGTGAAGCGTTCGAAATGTTAAAAAAAGGCTTTGGCGACGATACTATGTCACAGTCAATCAGTTTATAAATGGTGCAAGTTTTCAGGAATGCCAAGAAGACATTGAAGAGTAAGACAAGATCTGCTCAAATGTGAAGGTTTTTCCAACCGTTTTCTTCATTACAAATTTTTACTGCACGTTGTGAAAACATTGACTCAGAACTAGACCATGTGCATCATTGCAAGTAGAAATGAACTAAGGCTCTCGGGCATCAATAAAGTCAACTGGCGAACGACCGTTATATAAATTTTTATTGTTTAAATTAAAATAATAAAGAATAGGGCATTTTATTATGATATTTGTAATCGGATCAAAGGCTTGTTTACGCTACGAGAGCTCGAGAGAGACTGTGCATAATAGGTGTAATGTTTTTAGGACGTAGAATAAGTTAGGCGACGGTCGGGATTATGTTTCTGCGCATATGAAGGTCAAAGCTCATAAGATTTTAAAACACCTCTACCTACAACTTTTACACAATTTGCAAGAGGCATCAGGAGAAAACAACAAAATCATGAGAAACAACTCTTGGATTCTGCACCGGCACATACCGCTTGGCTTATCCAACAGTTCTTGGCAAAACGCAACACCCTTGTGATTCCACAACCATTCTCTTTTCCAGACATGACCCCTATGACTTTTCCTATTTCCCAAACTCAAATGGATACTCAAAGGACGTTTTTCAACAATAGATGAGATAAAAGCAAAATTAACAATTCCCCTTTACTTTTTGATCAAACTTCATATTGCAACTCGATATCTTGATTTGTTTAAGAAATACAATTTTTGCAATTTGAATATCTTTACCAACAGTTTTTATCAATCCGATTTGAGGCATTATGAAACGTGTACATTTTAAAAACTACGTGTTGGATTACTTCAAATTTTCAGAATCGACATAGTTTGCGTATTACTTTAAAACTAAAATTCACTAAACGAGCCTATTAACTAAAAAAAAAACTGAAAGTAATGTAGAAAATATTAGGAAAAAAGTAATAAATAATTTGCGCTTATTATCTATTTTTTAATAAGTACAACTAGGTATATCATAGAATTTTGAATGATCCAGCCATTCTTTGTACTTACACAGACTACATGATATAAAATTTTACAGGAAATAAAAATTACTTTTAAAACATTCAAATCAAATTTAAAAAACTTCATAATAGCACCATTAAGTCAATCAATTATTTAAAAATTAATTCATTTAGATACAGAGTGATCGATATATGTCAGGAAATGCAATTCTGAAAACGGTGTTATATTTTCAGTGGTTGTCGCTTAAATGAAGGGCAAACAAATTTTATTTATATATTACAAAGGTATACCGCGGACCTTAGGCGTTCCTCGGCGTTCGCTTACTCGCGCTCGATCATTCTATTTGTTTGGATGACTAAGCCTGAAATATACATCATATGTCACACCTGCGAATTTCAAATAATACGCTTCGTCCAGAACTGCTGCGTTGCCGTTATCACGTATATTGAGTCAACGACAGCAGTTTCAAGGAGAATTATTATAAATAATGTATCTTACAAGTACCTAATCGATTTCTACGAACTGTCATACGGTTCCTTAGATATCGGTTTCCTATTTATACAAGTTGCTGTGGAAACTGTTCGTCAATTATTGCGCATTCTAAGTGGAAAGAAAAATTATTTTATTAATGTCTCGTCTCTTAAGTATCCAAACTAGTCATAATTTTTTTTGAGGATTTTCTTCATATTAATAAGCTCACCTATATTAATTTTTTTATGAATATTTGTCAATTCCAAATCAGAGAAACCTCCTTAATATAGTCTTTAAAAGACCAGAGCCATTGTCTAATGGCAAAATAACGACACGTTGGTCAACCGGCTAGGAAAAAGCGTTAAAGACAAAATTTATCTTGACATCTTCACTGACGTTTGTCTCCATCTCTGTCTAAACATCAGTTTTATTTCGAGTATCTCTCTCGCACTGAAGAAGTCAATTTTCGGCGGGGACTCGTTTTTAAAGAAGAAATTTCTCTTAGAAGATGCTATCAGAATGTGACGCAAGGAAAGCCTTTGGTAATACCAACTGCCCCTTTCCGGAGCCGAGTATGCACAGAGCAAGAATTACCTACAGCGTTGAATATACAATAATTAGCACCGTTAGGTGGACCTATTTCTTATTTTTTTCATTTATATACCAATATTAATTGTATAGGAAAATGTGAAATGTCTTACAACCACTTATTTTCAGTCGTTTTCAATAAAAACACATTTCCCATGATATATCGATCACCCTGTACATATAAGGTATGTACTAAATTTCACTGGTAAAAACATCCCTCTAAAAACACAAATATTTATACAAATCTCTTTAATGTCCTGCATTACTAATCAGATTAAGTACTATATTTAGTGATATTGAAATTTGCTCTTGTATATAATATATTTTAATCTCTACGAGCCCTTTTAGGTCTAACATTGTCTGTATCACCCCTACCTTTCTTCCCTATCTGTACCTGAGATTGTGCTGTCAGATGCAAAGATATTGCATGAGTATTTAGTTTTTCGGCCAGTAGCAGATCTTTCAATTGTTTCATTTTCTGACTTCGTAGAATGATTGTCGGTCTATTGTCAACTTGTTCTTCCTTTTCTACAGACTTTGTCTCCAGTTCCTCTTTAGAAGTGCTGGGTTTTCCATTCTGTTGTTCCCTGTTTTCATTTACATTGTCATCATCGTTTTTCCTGAGAGAATTATCATCCCCACCTATGATATAACATTATCAATAGATAATAAGATCAAAAGATCTAAAAATAAATTACGGGTTTGACCAAATTTATTTATATCTGCTTTTTACTCCGTTTTGTTATAATAATGTTTGGGGAATGCCACGATACGTAAATTGGATATATTTGCATAAATTCATTGAAAAAATGGTAATAGAAAATGATATATTCACGTTCTTAATTAATAAAATTATCTAGGCAATAAAAAAACTGATGAACTGATTAGTTGATAAGATGCCTGACACCTGAATTAGATAGAATCAAGTCTTGCCGTCGCAAAAGAAATGTACTGTAAATAGCAAGAAAATTTTCAACCATTTTTTATTCTGTCTGCAAATGAAATATACGGAACTTACGATTTAGGAAACAAGACATACAGTGTAGTTCGATTGTAACAATGTTCTAAGAGACAGTAAAATAACACCATACTAAAGGGATTATATAATAAGCAAACTGAAAACTAATAAATAGGTACTATATCGACGTTTCTCAACTGAAATTTTGATGGGTCCCGAAAAAAATCGACAGAGGGTGTGACAGATTGCTAGAGCATTTTAAAAAAAATTGGGCACGAATTAACTATTTTACGTCACTTTACTTTTGGTAACAATTTTAAATTCAGATTTATATTCAGCTGCTTATTTTAAATATCAACGAAAAATAGTAAATCTCTAATAATTATTCCTTCCTACATATAATCTGTTATCAACAATTATTATTTGAATATGGTCGTGAAATATATATATATTGCACTGTTTTAATACAGAGTAGTCAATCAAATCAAGATATATTATACCGAATAAAAAAAAAACAAAAAAGTTATGGGTACAAATTTAAAAGAAGAGGATAAAACACTTTCACTTGAAATCTGCGATTATATCTTACCAACAAAAGGTGAACCATCTCCTTGAAGAAGATACTCGGGGTTCAGAATTTTTTCCGAACATGCTGCTGTTAATGCCTCAAGACTTGGATGGAAATTAGATGTCGACAGCTCTGCATCATTAGATGATTTGGAACTTGGAACATCGTTATTATGCGGCCCATTCTCTTTGTCATAATTATTGTTATTATTAAAATAACTACCGTTCTTCTTAGAGAATTTTTCTTCTTCCAATTTATCACATACGATATTGACCTGGGCCCTAACATCTGCATCAAATTTAGAGATAGTGTTCACAAGTGGTTTAGCCCAACCTATATGTAAAACAGGAGTGGCACTTCCTTCTTCCCACTGACATATACCATCGTAAAATCGAAGGAGATTCGCAAAGCACTCGGGCCTTTTTAAAATTGTATTGGCGCTAAACCCTGAGCTCTCTACCTTCATGATGTGAGGTATTAACTCATTTGCAATTTCAAGAAATTCCTTATATATTTCTTCATCATCTCTAGAATAATTATACCTACAAAATACATATAACTCGTTATTAAATACTTAACTACTCAAATGTAGTGTATACCATCTTAGATGGTGGTCAAGTTATCACCAAAACTTTCTGTTTAAAAAAAAACATTAAAATGTGATCCTAAATTTTCAACATAAATGATTATTAAAATATACAAATAAAAGGGAAATTATGGTTTTTTATTTAAAAGTTATTTCCATCATAAAACAGGAAACCAATCTGACCAATCTGTCATCATAAAACCAAAAGATTTACATATTTAAAGATTAGTATTCTACTATAAAAAGTATTGTGCAATAGGTTGCAATGCAAACTAAGCACTGAAGAATGTATAAAAAAATTATGCCATAGTATAAAATTGATTTAACTAATTTTTAAATAAATTAAGTAAGAGGGTGCTGCAACAATATTGGTGGATACGATAGAATATTAATAATATAGGAGTACAACTTACAGTCTTATTACATCACTTGCGTTTGCCCAGCTTTCGAAGGCCTCCTTGTACATTTTGTTACGATAAAAATAACCTCCTTGGTAGGTATAAGGATATACGTGTTGGTTATTATAATATGTTCTGGCCGATGCTATTGCCTCTTCAAACAAAGTTTTGCAAGGCACCCGTCCTTCCTTTGAAGAGATCTCTTCTAAATCACCCAAGTTTCCTATTGCCATGGGATATTTTTTTAAATGGCCCAAGTCGTACAGAAGCCATAAAAGTTCCTGTTGTAATAGAGACACTTCAAAAGCATCATGGGTAGAGTTAAGAGAGGGATTGATGGCTGAGACTAGCGCTGCGACTTCCATTTGTCTCGTACATATTACGGGTTTATTATTTACATATAACCATGACCTAGAAGAAACACCTTTCCCAATTTCTTGACCTCGTTTATCTTCATTACCTTTTCCATGCCATGTAACTTCTGCTGTCTCAACACCGTGTTCTCCAAAAACAACCCAGGCGTGATCTTCTGATAATGCCAAATGTACATCATTGTATCCTAAAGTTTGACACCCAGCTACAACCGCAAAGGCTACACCAAAGCAATCCAATTTACTACCTGTTAGATAACTGTACAGACTCTGCAAATGTGCTCTATCTTTATAATAACTTCTTGTTAATGAATTCCAAATAACATCTGAAACTCTTTTTACTAAATCTCTAGTAGCAAAAATTTTGGCTTTATTGAAGTTTACAGCAGTTTTCATAATACTATGAAATTTGTTGTACAAAGTCTCCACCGTCTCCAGCTCCAAAATAGGTAAACTATTTTGTTCAATTGGTTCGAAAACTTGAAGCGCGGCATTAGACCGGCTTGTCAATGAATTTTCTATTACACCTACTACAATTGAAAGTAAGGCAAGATCTGGTTCGCACGTATTTTCCAATTGTTGCTTGAATAACTGTAGCACTGTGTTTATACTTTTTATAGGAAATAAAGCTTTATCAATGTCCCGAAAACCCGCCATGTCGTATTATTACATTCTGCATCTGTCAGCTGTCACCTGTCGTTCGGAAGGTGCAAAAGGTTTTTTTCTAGTTATGTTTTGTTAATCGTCTTAAATTCACAAAACACTTAAAGTAGTATACCCAATACCCACAGAAATGTATTCCCAAAATGTCTGATCCATTGACACAATTTTCTTCCCAAATAGAATATACCAAAGACTAATAATACACTTCAGACGAATCAACATCAAGCTGCTAGTAAACAGTTGGCGCCAAGAAAAACTGTCACTAATAGCGTCTTTTAAGATTTTTTGGCTGCTGAAACCTCATCTAACTTGGTTAACTTTACTTTTCTTGTGTTTCACATCAATTTGTTGAGCGAATTATATTAAAACAAAGCGACCTAGTTGGAATTATTGCTATAACTATTTCTCTTGATGAATTTTTGTTCTTTTAGTTTATTTACTAATTAGTATACGCCTTTTTTCATATGAGGTTCGTGATAATCTTTTGATTAAATTTTCCATACATTGAAAAGAGACCGTTAGATGATCATGAACAGTTCCCGAGCACATAAACATTCGTTTCTTTATTGGTTGACGTAATCTCTTCGCGACTTGTTTGCGCGAACAAGTTGTGTTGTAAGCGAGGCTTAATAACTGCGCACAGAACGAAAAGTGATCTACTTGGTGGTTATACGTGGTTATACACACGCTTACGTAACCATAGGTATTAATATCAAAACCAAAATACTTACCCATTAGCAAAATTCATACCAACTTGAGTTTTAAATACTTAAATAGTGAAGATCTACAAAAGTATTACAATTAGGTGACAAAAAATGTAAAAAATCATTTTTTTTTTAATTATTTTTATATTTCATACAGTTCATCACGATGGACAGTAATTAGTAATTAACTAAAGATTTTGTAAAACACATTACTCGGGTTTCATTTTTTTAAATTTGTTTTTTGCTACTGATTAAGAATATATGCATAAGCAGTCAATGCAATACGATTTTTATCACTACAAATACAGTACCTACTTCGTTAGATAGATATAATTAGATATTAAATTGTACGTATTTAAACTAGATAGGTATTGGATCTTATTTATCTACAAGTACATCGGGTTGTGGCAGAAAATAAGTTGGAAGTTTTATTTGGAAAACAGTATGTTATTAGAATATAAATATAAGAAACTGATATAGCGGTAACCAGATAGATAACCATAAACCTCTATAAAAAAACTTATGGTGTTATTAAATGTAAGAAGGCGGAGACTCCAAAAAAATAACACTCTGTATGTCATTTTCTTATATATCTATTCAAGAAATATTTACACTCAAATAGAAAACGTGTACCAATTAAAAAGTTTCCAATTAAAACAGTTTTACTGTGGTATTACAAAATATTTCGTGAAACCACATTCGACGGCATAAATCTTCAGGGGCTTTTTGTCTGTAGGTAGATAAATTGGTCTTCTTTTAAATCACACGTTATTTTGATTTAATTTGTGTTTTGATCGTGCATAAGCTTATCATCGAAAAGTGTCTCAATCGTTCCGTTCTAATGCACTTTATATGCCCAATCAAATATTCAATACCTAGATACAAGATGTAGGTACTTATCAGTTAACTTTAGTTAAAATAAATTTATTTAATTATAAGAAACATTCGTTTAAAAAAAATACTTATTACGGAAACGTTTCCTAATAGGGTAATAATATTTAACAATCTGCACATACGCAACTAATATTATTAATTACTGTTATGGATATTTTTTTTCAACATCGTTATATCCTCCCCTCCCTATGAACAACCACTTTTGTTACATGCACAAAAGCACACGGTTCGCGTTCGTAGTTTGCTCCACCTCTAGTACAAATTACATGGCAAGAGTCTAACTTCGAACGGTGCCGGTAACTAACGAACGTGTTATCAATAATCGTCAAGGAAATAAATTCTAATGTTTAATTTTTGAATTTTTAAAACGGGTATTAGATTAATATAAAAAATATACTAATAAAAAATATAATAACTGATGTGTGAAATAGGCTTCCGTAGAGGGTATGTTTATTGAATATTGAATTCTAGTTGTGAAATTTGTTTGCAGCGTGCGCCGCATTCAGAAATTGTTTCTCTCATACTCGTTCTCTAAAGTACCCGGCCAAGTAAATTGAGTCTGACTTGTGATTACGAAAGTGTATTTATTGAAATTTATTTTGAAAAATGTTTAACTGTCAGAATAAATTAAACGGGATGGAAATATCGAAAGAACTAAAATGTGACATCGAATTAAGTCAAAACCAGTTAAAATGTGCAATTCGTAATCATCAGGTAAGTTTTCGGACGTTGTTAATTTTACTTCACGTAACATTTGTAATCTCTTTTCACCAACGAATAATTTTAAACAGATAACAAAAGATACATTATGAGACTTTATATTGTTTTAAAACGTGATACAAATATTTTGAAAAATGTTACCAATATTTTAAAACTTATTCGAAAAATTAAACAGCTAATAGTAAATAATATCTTTATTTTCAGAATTGCTTATCTAAACTAAAAGCAGATCCATATGTAAGTAAACTTTTAATCTTTAATAATTTACACAATGTCATTTTAATATTCTTACGAAATAGACGCTAATAAATTTAGATAATAAATAATTTTGCTACAGAATGTGGATCTACAGAAAGAAGTTAATCAAGCTGAGGAACAAATTATCATAATTGGACTGGAACAGGTATAAAATATTTTTTTTTACTGTACTTTAGATTGTAATACTTAAGTATAGGTAGGTATGGGCATACCTATCTTTTATTAGTCTGTTATTAATGAGATTCATTCATTGAAGGAACTTAGGAATTAGTAAATTCGTTTATTCATTAAAGTTAAAGGTATAGGTAGATGAACCTACAATGAATAAACACAGACAATCAGAATGTGTCAAAATTACTTGCTTTGTTTCCCTCACATTCTAAAATAATATTCAAATAACATTATTTTAAGTATAATTTATAATATACCAAATTGAATAAATTATATTTGTGTTTATTGTTCAAGAACTTCCATATCTTAAAATTATTACATAGGTAGTATAGAAAATATAACAAGTTCTTCTATCTCTCTCTCTCTCTGCCAATCTATAAATAACTTTAGCATCTGTCTTATAATTGAATGAAATATTTAACGAATTCTAACTTAAATCATAAACTTTGAATTGCAATTAGCTTCATCAATATATTTTGTTTGATAACTAGGTACCTACCTAGGTACTACTTATATACACAAAAATATGTTACCCAGCGCGATCTAAAAAAAAAATTAGAAAAAATTGCAATAAAGTACCTTTGTATATAATTGTACTTATCTAGGGAGCTTTCAAATTTAATAAATCGTAGGTACTTGATATCAAGATTTCTTATAAATATATTCATTCACTTTTTATCCAAATTTGCGTTGGTGGTAAATTAATGTCAAAAATTTAAAACTAATTTTTATGTTAATAAACCAATTAAGTAGGTTTAAAATAATATATAAGGGTATGATTATTAGATTAAAAAATGTATTATTTGATACATGTATTTTTTCAACTAACTTTTGAGGTTATAAGGAATAATACGTTCATAAATTTTTCCTCTTTTGTTTTTATTAAAATTAAAATACGTGGCAGTTTTTTTTATATATTTTATTTCTCGTATTAATTACAGTTTATACTTTTTCAAAACATATTTATGTAAAAATGAACGTGGTAGATATATTATTGCTATATTTTTATTGGGCGCCGTACAATAAAAGATTCACAACAATTTATTAGAAAACAATATAAACGGTAATATACTGGGTAATAAACTAACAAATGAAAATACATTTTTATCTATGTAGGTATCAATGATTTTATCAAAACTTTTTACCACGTACTTATAGGTATGAGATAATTGTGGATAAGGTTCCTCGAATTTTATTAAACAATTTGATTGAGATTTAAACACATGTAATTTTTTTTTTCTTCTAATAATAGATAGGTACTTCAGTATCACTACATTTTTTATTATGATATCATTTGAAATGTTTTTTACGTTATTGATTTGACGCAGAGGAATAAGAATACGCAGATGCACGCTAAAACTTCTATCAATAAAGTTGCACTCGAAATATATGTATACGTTTCTAATAGTCATTTAACAATTTATTTTGTTAAAGACTATAAACTATAAAATTAAAAAGTAAAATTGTTGAATTTAAAATTATTCAACATAAAAAAAATTAACTAAGAATTCTATATGAAATAACAAAATTGTAATTGTGTACAGGATTTTAACATGTATAAGAAAAATATAGCAAATTTTCAAAAGTTTCCAATCCAAAATTTTTTTGTATCCTAAATTAAATTTGTACCTAAGTGAAAAAATTTTTGAAAAAAACCATTGCTCAAGGATCACCAAAAAAAGCGTATTTGCTTTGGGATTAGGATATTTTTCGCTTTCTGAAGATGCAATTACTGCATAAACGAAAATTTCTGCTTAATGTCACTTTTACAAAAATAATTTCTTATAAATATGAAATTGAATATAGGTGTCATTATGAATATTTCCTTATACAAATATTTGCCCTTGAAGCCATTGTTTTTGTTACAGGGTGCTACAAAAAATTATATGTCCTCTGAACAAATGGAAATATTGAAATTATTTTTTTTTTGTACACAATAGGTAAAATGTCATCATATAACCATATAACCAGTGATGTAGTAGTATAAGGTATCCTCAAAAATTATGAAATACCATTGAAAAAAAAATTATTTTTGAATGCAAATTTTATTTTCAACAAAAATATATATATACATAGTTTTTCTGTTTCGGTATAGTAGTATAGTTTGAGAACTGACACTCCATTCCAATTTTGAATATTATCATCTCGTCTGTGTAGAAATTTAAAAAATACAATTGTTTTTTAAACTTTCACCCTGTATATCGAAACGCAGCATTTCAAGGTACATGTTTATAGGAACTTTTTTTATTAATTTATATTGTAGAATTCGCCATTAAAGTCTGGTCAAACATTTTAGTTACATCCTGTATAACAATAACAAATATGCAACAGCATACAGTTCCTGAAATTTGAAACCACAATTTATTTAAAAAAAAAATAGAATCATAAAATTCTTTCAAGCAGAATCAAAATTTGTATTTCTGGCTAACCTATACTTGCATTTACAGAAAAATGTAATTGAAAAGTTAAGAGAAGAGTATAAAGCATATCAGAAGTCCCTGAAAAGCAATATTATAAAAAATGGAATTGAAGAAAGAAGATTCAATTTAACTAATGCTCTCAATCGTGCCAGGAAACAAAACATGTAAGTATATTTTATTATGAAAGGTATAGCCATTAATATATGATTATTTCTTTTAGTGCTATAACACGCTCAGCTTCTGCAACTTCTTTCTCTGATGAGTCCATCGAAAATGTTTCTCTACATTCCTCACCGGAACATCATCAAAATCCAGTCGAGCCTCATGATGTTAGCCAGTCTGAGTTCCTTACTTATTTCAGTTTGGCCACTCATGAGGTCTATAAAGAAATGCAGAACAAAAGAGCTGAAAGAAAGCGACGTAGCACAGCAAACCCACATTTTTTGTATGGAAATAAAGGTTGGGATTTTTTGACGAACAATGTATGTATGGCTTATTATTTTTTTATTTTTTAGAAAAATATACTTCAGTTAGTAGTAAATTCATTGCATTTGGTTGGTTACATAAAATTTTCTTCCTTTTTTATTGCAATTGTATTGTATTTAAAAATTATTATTGTATTGTTAGTGGCCCTAAAAAATATATCATAAAATTTTATTAAATAAAGTTGCTTAGAATCAGTTTTATGGCCATAAATCAATTTTGAAGGCGGCTTGAAAAAAAAAAATAGTGTTTTTTAATAGTAAGAATAAAAATACTATAATCTTTTAATGTGCAAGTTTACTGCTGAGAGTAATTATTTGGATCAAATAAATAATAATTGATCGTAAACCAATTTTAGAAGCAATTGAAAAATATAAATAATTTTTTTTTAATAAAAATATTTTAATTTTTTGATATGAAAATTTTACTGCACAGAGTAACTATTTGGATCGAAACATATAATCTAAGTTAAAAAAAAACGACAAAATTACGTCTTTCACATTACATTTGTATGAAACAAAATTTTCCTATGTGTTCAAATACCTCTTGAAAGTAGGTAAATTTTACGGTTTTCAAGGGTGCCCTAAAAAAAATAAATGTGTTTTTTCACAAGAAACATTTAATGTTGTAGATTGGAAATAGAGCTGTTTAAAATTTTGGAAAATTAATAAAAATGTTAATCAATTTTTTATTCAATAAGGACCATTTTTAATCCTTTAGGGCTTTTGAATTTTGATTACATACAGGGTGTCCCACCGGGAACTGCGTCGATCGATATCTAGGAAAGTACTGCTCCAAAAAATTTGAAAATTTGGCAACATGGCAATGTCCCACAACTAAAATATCTAGAATTCTCCAGCATATACCGGAAGTCACCAACTTCGTTATTTTAAATGGGACACCCTATATATTATTGCATTTTCGTATTCTACGTGAAATTTAAGGGTCATTTTATTAAATCTTCCCTATACCTGGGAGTTATAGATTTTGAGAAATTAGTTTTTAAGAAAAAATTTGAAGATGTAAGGGTCCGCAGAGATGCTAGTAACTCTTTTCAAGAGCGTGATGTCAAGTGGATTTTTGATATTTGTAAAGGGCATAGGTAACACTATATTATGGTATACCTATAACTTTTTTAACTTAAATGGAACACCCGGTATTTTTTTACTCTGTGGTATGCAGAATGAAATTTCCTTTCAAGCCATATAATCATTGTTAGGGTTGCCGTTACTACATTTAGAGATATTTACAATTTGCTATTTTTTGGACAGTTTTTCTCATATCAGACCTGTTGTCAAATTGGCCATGACCAAAAACGCTCCAAAACAATTAAAATAACATGATATTTGTCAAGTTAGTTGTGAAATCATTGTTGTGTGAATAGTTTTTGCCGAAAATTTAAATAAAAATACCTGGGGATTTTTAATTAAATTATTTTAATTTGTTTGTTATTTATTAATTTTTCGGAGCAGTACTTTCCTATATATCGCAGTTCCCGGTGGAACACCCTGTATATGATTCCTCAGGAACGTCTCATGCAGTTATATACCGGGTTTTCAAAAAGTTTGAAACCTCTCTCTATCTCAGAAAATACTGCTCAAACAAAAAAATGATTAGGACAAAAGTTGCGAGGTTTTGAGTGAGCAATCCAACGGTGACCTTGACCATGACCTTGAAGGTCATTAGAGGTCAAGTTGAAAATTTTAAATGGAACTGTATACTTTTAACACTGGAAATGGAAATAATGGAAATTTTTACGTTCGGATATGACCTTGACCATGACTTTCAAGGTTATTTAGAGGTCAAGTTGAAAATGTACGGTTCCATTTAAAATTTTCAACTTGACCTCCAAATGACCTTCAAGTTCATGGTCAAGGTCACCGTTGGATTGCTCACTCAAAATCCTGCAACTTTTATCCTAATATTTTTTTTTATTGAGCAGTAATTTCTGAGATAGAGGGGGATTCCAAACTTTTTTAAAACCCGGTATGTACTTTTTGCTTCTCACTATATGCATTCTACGCAAATTATACAAGTTTATTTTAATATAATGTTAACTCGGATTCCTTATGATTTTAAAACAACAACATCAGGTAACTGCATATCCTAACAGAAAAATATATTATGCTTGTCTTTATTATATTTAGATTCGCAGAAAACTAATAAAACTGAATAAAAAAGGAATAAAATGTTTTACTTACTATGTCTTTTTCTTACAGAAACGTAAACGTAATGCATTCCTAATATCACCTATTTCACCCCCGCATACTCGTCAGTCGGTCAGGAGAAAGCAAGAACGAATATCGCCTCCGCCTTCAACACATTCTGGTCTTAAATCAGAGACAAATGTTATTAAGCCAATTTTTAATTCTTTTCCGACAATTCCTAATTTGCCCAGTGGCCTTATAATAGAAAGGGTTAGTCCTGGTAGTTCCTCTCCAGACTCCAGGGCATGCATAACGTGTAAACAACCAGGTAGGTTTACATCCATTTTGATTTGAATTTGACGAGATTTTAGATATAACGAAACTACTAAAAAATAAACAAAAGCAAAAATTTCCGATTTGAAAGTTAAATTTGTGTCGAAAAACAGGCATGTCATAATTTTTTTTTATTTAGTAGTTTCTGTGAAACCCTAAAGTACCATTGAATCACTTCCTCTTTACTTTGAAAACAGAAAAAAATTTCCAACAATATTGCACACACTAGGACATCCATTTGAACAAATTGTATTTTTTACACACTTGCAGGTGCTTTATCCATTTGCGAGGTTTGTTCGAACGGTTTCCACATCAGTTGCCACAATCGTCCGTTAGCTCAGACGCCAAGGCAATGCCCGAGATGTATCAGCAAAGAAACAAAAACTGTTGGTTCCCTAAACGTGCCTTCCGGGATGAGTGTCTCCTATGTGACTCCATCCGAAGTTTCAGGTTAGAACCCATCCTCTAAGGTTGTCTCTGTGCTGTGAGTTGAAATATAATTTTATGCAGAAAGTTGCCAGTAAATAGACACTGCCCGGTGATAGACATTGTTTTGTAATTACGTGTCACATCTCGGATCAGAAACGTCTTATATAAAAAACCTCCACTGGGACCTCTAAATCTAGAACGAGATTTTTTATTCTTCTTTTAAAATTGATGCTCTTAAATCCTTCTATTTATTTTATCAGAGGTATTTTCAAAATTCAAAAATGAACATTTTTAAATACACTAATGCAAACAATTAAAGGGTCAAAAGAATTTCCGAAATTGACCCTCACTTGAAGCTGCACCCCGTATATACTTTTTTCATCAAAGAATCGCAATTTTTTCCACATTTCATATATTTCTTAATTGATTAATTGAGTCGTGAACTGTGTGTGAGGTAACAAACGAAATAGTAAAAATATTTCCATTATTGTGAATTATCGACCTCATAATAACTGCAAGTGTCTATTTTCTGGCAACACCCAATATTACTTATATTTTTAACTGATATTTTGCAATTACATTGGATTTAAGTACAGTATTATTTTTAATATACAGTGTAGCACAGTACTTATCCGTTTATCTCTTCTGAGTATACAAATTCTTCAATAGCAGTGATTTTGTTATCCGGGAATTGTGCTGTAGTTTAAAAAAAATGTATTAAAAAACCACAGCAGAAGTTGCCTCTATAATATTGAATATACACACAGGGTGATTCAGAACTTATCCAAGAAAAAAATTTGTAAAAAAAAATCAAAAAGGGCAATTCGAAAATGATTTTAAAAATACACTTCCGCACGGCACTGGAAACTGGTCCACTCTTAAACCTGACCTAACACAAGGCGAAGTGTAATAAAAAACGGACAAAAACTTGAAAGAATTTCGTAAGGAAAGAAATAAATAGAATTTTATAACAACTAAATATTTTGTATCAGCAAATTCAACTGCTTTTGTCGCTATTATTATTGATTAATAAAATTAATTTGCAGCTTTACTTAATAAAATAATTTGACGTACCTAATGTTACAACAACTGTTTAAATTTTTGTCTACCCACGTGTAAACACATTAGGACCCCTCTTACACAGTTTCTACGAACTATCACAAATGTTGTTTTAATTCATCATAAATTAAAACGATATCCATCAACTCGGAGTTGCTATACATGTAAGTCATTTTTGACACTAACTACAAAAAAACTATGGTAAATACTATCGCAATGGCGTTCATACTAATTGTAAAATCGGATTTGAGTATTCGTCTGGGGCCACGTGGCTCTCCATGCGCATTGCGTAAAGAGCACAACGCAAATGAATCTAGAGACTACAGTTGTCCAGCCATGTATTGGTGGAATGTATAAGAATTTTACATAAATGTTTTTACGATATTGATTCTATTTTTCATGCCATGTCTGTTCCTAAATTTTTTTGGATAAGTTGTGAATCACCCTGTATAGCGTCCTACTAAAGACTGTAAAGCCCTTGTAAAATTTTTTAAATTTTGACCAGTTTAATTTACATTTTTCTCAAAAGATGGCGCTGATTGAGTTTAATTTATGAGATTTGTCGACCTTCTTCAAATGAAAGGCTCCTGGATACACTAAAATACACTAAAAAACGTATAAAAAATTGTAAAGGTTTTTTATATAGCCTTAAATGGGGCACCTAATTAATTTAATATTTGTCATTCCATTTAATTTAAACAGACTTTTAAATCTTAATTTTTGTATTTAAATAGTAAACGACCAGTCACATTAAAAAATGACCGTAAAAAATTTAAAACGACCAAAAAGAACAAGTCTATTTAGCGATACTTAAGAGGAGACATTTATTAAAATTCTCATTAAAAGTAAAGAGACTATTTAGGAATAAAAGAAACATTCCAACATTCTTCAAAGAAAATGTAAATATGGTAAGCGTAATAAAACATCAGATTTAAAATTTAAAAATGATTAAAGTCGCCAGTCGTTTACCCAATCAAAGACTAACTTTCAGTGCCTCTGTTCAAAATTAAATTTAAATTCAGCACTAGAAAATTATTCATGTTAACGTTTATGTTTTTGCGTAGTTACAACGTTGTATTTTTTTTTTAGAAAAATTGAAAGAAAAGCAACAGTTGGAAGAACAAAAACAAAATTTAACGGCGGAATTGACGCAACTCCAAAATCGCCATTCACAATTGACGATTTCTTTAAAAAATCAAAAGACACAACAGGACCAGTTATTAACGACCCAACAGACGACAGAAGATAAAATTAAGCAAATTTTAAGTTTCATTGAAAATATGAAGAAACCGTTGGTTAGCGACTCATGATCTAATGTTATATTGTAGACGTAATTTGTACATATTTGTTATATCGTTAAGACTGATTGTTTTTGTATAACTACATTTTATATTAATACAATTATCACAAAAATGTTATTTTTTTTATTCAGAATTGAATTATAATAAAAGAATATACACAACCGACAACAGTAAATTTGATTTAAAAAATCGCATTATTAATCACATTTTGTCAAATGTGAAATTTTATGAATCTCGGTATTCATGCCGCAAATATGCGATAGCACTGCATCATGCATTAACGACACATGACGAAGTTTAAAATTATGGGTTATCGACAGTCTTTGTCCCTTTAGTACAAAAATAAGGTAGCATGGTAATGGGACTATGGGACTGTGAGGTTTGTATTGCACAGCAAGGCATGCCTTTATTAGTGAGTTCTAGGCATTCATATGAGTTGCTACATTTAAAATAATTCAAAAATGTCTGATTTATACCGAAACGGGACAGTAATAGAATGTGTATATGTGAAAAGATTTTATTGGACTGGACTGTAAAACACATATTGAAAAGGGAATGCATTAAAGAATTTAACCGATAGCTGCTCCACTTCAGAATATTACTTTTTTATTGATTTTTACATATTCTAGTCCATACTTCGTACTTATTCGTTTACTCGCACTAAACTTGTCACTGCCGCGCTGGCCGCATTTGTCTCAAGGACAAGGAACAATTACAATTTCGAGCAAAACACGACACAACTGCTACAGTGCACAACGTGGCGACGACAATCGGTAAAGTTCTTTTTCAAAATTAAAAATTATAAAAAATTATTTACGATCAACCATGGCACAGACAGATATAACAAATAATTTGGTTTACGATGATATTATTGAAGACTTTGTTAATGAAAAATGTAGAAAAGTTGATATGTGTAAAGATCTCGTTTGACATTATTTAGTATCTTTTTTGTTTTTATTGAATATTTTTTATTTTTGGATTTATTGGAATATTTGTTTTATTTTTTATAGGATGTTTCTTGTAATTTCTGTTTGTTTTTTTGGTAAAATATTTTTTTATATAGTTTTTTTATTTTTTATAACTTTTTATTAATAAATTTGTTATTTGTTCCAACAGTAGTAACCTGTATATATTTTTCCTTAGGGCGGCAAGCAAATATTTGCTTCATTTGCCAAATACCCTGGCGCCGGACCTGTCTATTACCTGAAGCACATTACAAGGGTACAGTCTAATGACTTACCTTTTGCTAAATATCGTTAGGAGTTTGAGTTCAATTCATTTTCAAAAGAAAGTACGTTAGTATAGCCTTAGCGTCTATCTCAAAACTTTAAAAACGTCTTCCTCGAAATACGATTTTTTAAAACAGCACGCAGCATAACTCCGTTATTGAATATTTCTAGGACTCAAATTGATATTTAACCCGAATTTTTCGGGAAAATACATGCCATATTTTAGGAATTTACAACAATGACAAACGTAAACTTTTGGTACAACAAAAAAGCGTGGATGATAATTGAAATTTACGAAAAGTGGCTACTAAAGTTAAATAAAAAGTTTGCTGCCCAGATTGGGAAAATTCTACTGTTCGTTGACGACTAAGAATGTAACCGCAAAACTAAAAAAACACTAAACTATTCTAATCGTTCCTGCCTTGTTACGCTACAAAGTTTTACTAAAACATTAAACGTGTTTTATCTTCTCGGAAACGGTTAATTTTATTTTGGAAAAAGAACTATTTATAAGGACAAACTACAAATAAAAGCAGTTAATTTTCCAGACCTATTAGTATCGCTATATAAAATTTAAAAAATTTTGTTTAAATATGCAATTTAAAAAGTTCATAAGTATTTAATAAATAATTTTTTTCTTCATAAATATACTTTTACTTTTCATTTACTTTATTAAAAAATTCACCTAATATCGACAATTTTTGTAGAAACGGTTGACTTTTACAACTCAAAAGCTTATAATTATTTTCCCAAGTGGAATTCCTTGCAAATCCGCTATCATTACGAAACCTTTCTAGCATTTCTTGAACATCGAATTTCTTTTCATTCAGAATTATTTGATTAACTTCCGTAGGCGCAGACACTTCGTCCAATTCCAGAGAAGCATTTTCTTGGAATTCCTTATTACCGTTACCAATTTTTTGACTAATGTTATCGTTATCTTCCAACTTCACGTAACTGTTACTGGATTCCGTTGTTATTGGACCCAATTCCTCTTCTGGTACTGTAATTTCTTCTTTTTCTTCATTCCCATTCTTTGACTGATTCTGTCGGTCTTTAATGGTTTCTCCCTTAAACTGCCCTTTGTTCTCCTGTAATGCTTTAAAATCAAATATGTGGTTATTTGGACCACTGTGACAACAATGCAATGCTGCAGGATCCACCGGATGAGCTTCTGTGTTGAAAATATATCCGCCAGCTTCTATCACACATTCTCCGTAGGGAGTATCTATTACTGTACCGTATTGTCCTTGATTATGAATGAAATTGTCAGTGTCGAAGAGTAAAAACAAGTATTTTGTAGTTTCAGATAGAAAAAACGATTCCATTCGATCTTCTTTTTTATGATCTCGAACGTCTTTTATCTACAAAAAAAATTAAATGCCACCATAACAACTCATTTAAAGTATTTGTGCATTAACATCATTAAAAAAAAAAAATAGTTACAAAATACAGGGTGTTTTATAAAAATGTATAGGGACATTGAATAAGTTCTCGCTGTTTTCCAACAGATGGCGTTACCAGAACTGCAAGCGTGTAGCTTAACATGGTAGCGCAGCTTGAAATTCGATGTATGTTATTTCGCTGAAGTGTAAACTACTTTTTTTTCATTGTGTTAAACGATTGTGTCGAATTTCATACCGAAAAAAGAGTAAAAGAAAAATTTGCACTTCAGCTGCACACATGGTGTGAAGAACAGCTGCTTCAACAGCAGAAAAGGAAAGGCTTTTCGCATCATATGTATCTAGCGATGAAAAACGGATACACTACGACAATCCTAAGCATAGAAAATTGTCGAGCAAGCCCGGCCAAGCGTCAACATTGTTGGGAGAGCCGAATACCCATGGTTCCAAGGTTCTGCTCTGCATTTGGTGGGATCAGCTGAGTGTAGTTTATTATTTAAACAATCACGGAAGATCGCTATCGACTACAATTGGTGCGTTTGAGCCGAGCATTGAGGGAAAAATGGCCGCTATGTTGCAATTTGGAAAAACTTTTTAAGGAATTAAATTAAAAGGATTTTGTTTCAAACAAAATATAACATACCGTTGCATATCCACATGGCGTTCTCGCACTATGTTGAATACTCCTTAGTATATCTTCCCCTGCTTGTAACAGGTAAGGATCTTCTGTAGCTCGGTATAAATACATTATGGACTCAATTAGCTCAGGACGAAGAGGGTAACTTTCTTTGTTGCTACCGGCTTCAGTTTGAGGAATATAATAGAATTCTGGAGTAAAGCCGTATTGCTGCCACACCTGATGGTAGTTGTGTAAAGTTCGCATTGCATTAGACGTTTCTCCTGAAACGTACAGAAGGGTATACTTATACGATAAAGCAATAGTTTTACTACCTACCTATTAAACTTAATACACCAGGCCAATAAGCCTCTAATGACTGGAACACAGGCAATGTTACTTGTCCTTTTGTCATGGAAACCCACATATACCAGTCGTCTTTCTTTAAATGTTTATCTATCGCTTTCCTCGATTCATAAAACATTTCCATTAGTTCGGGCCTCTGCAATAAAATCGAACCTTTTACCAGATATTCAAAATATGAATCTACTCCCGATCCTATGCCAGCATCTTGAGCAGTCCATCTGCCAGAGTCGATGTCAATATGATTACCAAATAAGCCCAGTTGAGATCTATGATTGAAAAGGGAATACAAAGCATTTAATGCCACCTAAAATTATGATGTAAAACTGTTATGAGACATTTTAAATCGTAATTGTAATATTAAGTTAGATATATCTACCTCTTCATATAGAGGATCTCCAGTAAGTCTACTCAATGTTCCAAATTCAACAATAAAAGTTCCAACGCCAGCCGTGCAAGTAACAGTTGTTTCACCCTTTGGCACTCCGCTGTGTAAATTGACTGTGCCATATGGCATTCGAGTTTTCGTATCAAATGCTACAATTAATCTTTTTGCCACATCTTCTGCTAGCCTTAAAAGAGGACCGTTACAAGGCCAACCGGGTTCTAATTTAACACCAGCTCTATAAACGAATGTTTACCATTGAAAGTGAAAAAAATATATACGTTATTACTTGTTAGATAATAGATGGGCACTGAGAAGTCCTCCTATAATTCTGATATTGGTTTCAAAAACAGACACATTAATATTGGCATCAAAATCAATTTTGGTAGAGAGAATATCCACCACCCTCTGGAATTCTGAATAATTCCCCATTATAGCTAATGTATCCAGTGCATCTATCAGTGTTAGGGAATAACTGAAACAAGTAACTATAATTATTTATAACAATAATATACAAAATGTTTTCTTTCAGAATAGATTTTACTACATATATGAATGAAATTAAGCTAACTAATAAAATATGTTTGCTGAGACTTTGACAGATCCGATCATTTGCTGAACGCAGCCTAGAAAACATTTTTGTAGATAAGATACATAAAAGCTAAAAATATACATAGAAGTGTTAGAAGCACAAACATTATTTCTTGTGAATAATTATTTCTACTACTTACCTCCCGTATGTATCGATACCATCACAACTAATAGGTCTTAATTCATCATAGGGATACGCATATTTTAAATAACTGTCATAAGCATGGTAAAACATTTCCCGGACTTCTTCTCTGAAAGAATATATGTTTTGAATTGTAATACAAAAACCTAGTGTTACAAACCTCAATTTAATTAAATCAGCTTTCGTATATGTCCGTACAGCATACGATATGTTGATGAAAACTAATAATGGCAAAAGCCATTTCAATATAACATTCATAATTCAGTATCGGTTTCTTTCTTAAATGAAAACTGCTTTGATTATCAAAACGAATAACTGTCAAGTTCTGATCAAGGTAATAACAGCAAATTAACCTTATCTTTAATTTTTTTTCTATAAATCTCTTATCTACGCTTTTTACTACAGAACTGTCATCATGACATGTCACACACGTGTTTCTGTGATCTGTGACATGTAAACAAAAATAAAAAGTAAGGTTATGTTATGTTTTTAATTCTCCCATTACCTACTAGAGGGCCCTTCGATTTGGCGAAAATAGTAGCTATTAGTAGCTAATAGCATCTTCGAGTTACTCTGAACTGATATTAGTTGCTAATAGGTACTATTCTTGACATTTTAACAAAACGAAAGCCCCCTAGGTTGCTAGATTTCGGATCGTACCCGTTATGATTCTGAAATCTTGAATAAAAGAAAAGTTAATGGAAACTGAAGGCTTTTTTATGTTTTGTGCTTTTAAGTCGTATGTGTGTGGTATGTGTAATACGAGTGAATGAAGAGATTTTAAACTACTCTATGACAACTAACAATAAGATCAAACTAGATAGAAATAGTAACTACAAGTCAAATATGCACCAATATTTAGTCGCGAAAAAGTTGGTACTTCAACCGCGGCTAACCTACGCCTCCACGGCGTGGGGTCACGCGGCAAAAAGCCACTTAAAGTCATTACAGGCTGTGGAAAACATAGCCCTCCGCACGGCCACCGACGCGCCCTGGTACGTAAGAAACACTGACATATTACGAGACTTACAATACACAAACGCTACACAGACAATAAGACAAAACGCGGAGAAACGATTTGACGTAGCCGCTAGACATGACAATCCCCTCCTCAGGCAAGCCGTTGACTACGTACCCGACGTGACCGACAAACACAAAAGACCTAGACACCAACTTTTTGACCCTGGGTGACCACCCCAATGACCCCCCCCCCTGCCCGCTAACCTTTTCTGTTTCAGAGACAGCCAGGATCAAGAAACGAAGACAACGACACACACACACACATACACACCCCCCATACCCTCCTTAACCCTTCCCTCCCGCGTTAGCCTAAGGGCCACCTTAGCAAAGCGCATCCCAGGCTGCATAGCCGCACTACCCTACCCAACCATACCACACATAAACATGACACTACCCCCGGGGTTTACACAGACGAGCCGGCGAAGCAAGAAGAGCGCCAGAAGAAAGGGCCCTAGCCGGCGGGGCCCAGCCAGGACAAAAGGAGGTCCCACAAAGCGCCTACACCGGCCGCATTTGCGGTCGGGGTAGACGACGGATGGGGCCCACCTACGAAGGCTGTCCAGGCCTACACGAGATGAGGCAGGATAAAGAGGGATAATCCCCCTCGATCCCAAATCATTGAGGCCAATTTCTTGCCATAGAATAATGGCGCGAGTCGCGAAAAAAAGCCTATGTGTGGTAGCAGCACTGATATTTGAAACCTAGAAAAAAGTAGACTGTGTCAGTTGCAATAGTCGGCGTACCACAAATTCATGGCCACCATTGGAGGACCAAAACTTTCTTTTTTATTTACAGCAGTATCAGTGACTAAAAATTTGTTGGACCTGAGAAAAATTGCATTTTGAGTATCATGCTAGATTGCATATTTTACAAACTACTCGATTTAGATTTTTTCTTTATTTATGGTTTGTGTACAAGGCTTCATTTCTTAATTTTTTAGTTTTCCAACAGATTATAATCTGTAGTTCTGGGGTCAGTGGATCTGGATTCACTATCTTCACCAGTGTTGCCAGATGGGGTCATTTGTAGCCAAACTGGCTTTTTAAAATCTCCATTGGCTACACATTTTTTTATTTGGCTATGGCTACAAAAAATGGCTACATGATGAAAATCTACACCATGGCTACAAAGTAAAAATTATAATTATAGCCAATTTTAAGAATAAGAATAATGTTTGCCGGAAATAGTCAGAAATGCTGTTTTAATTATTTCTGCCCTAACTATGGATATATATTCAAAAAAATTACTTCAGATATTTATAAAAACAGATTCGACACAGAGACTGCCACGTGTGATACTAAAAATGTAAGGGAAATGGAAGAAATAATTCAAACTTTAAATGACAGAGCATCTCTACCATGTCCTAATTTATCATAAATTTATTTACATATTTTTGTGGATGATTCATATTTATTTTATTTTAACCTATAACATAGCTATTTTTTTGTTTTCTTTTGAGTAGTTGTTTTATATTTGTGTTATTTGCCAAAATTAATTAATTTTGAAGAAAGCTGTTCTCAAATCAAGTTCTCACAGAAAACCTAAATAACGGGCAGAAGATAATGGGGCTGTATTCCTGCATTTGTTTAACAATAATTTGCATATGATTATGATTTAATGTTGGAAGAGAAGGTTGGCTATTTTTGGCTATTACTCCCCGTTAAAGTGGCGACATTAATTTTCTATAATCTGGCAACACTGGTCTTCACTCGATTCATTATTTGCAAATGGCGTAGAAATATCGCGGGTATTAAAAATTTTTTTTGTTGATCAAAGAAAATATAGAATATAAATAATTATGGAATTGCAAAAGGGGACATGTTTTATTTGTGGAAATAAAAGTGTCATAAAATCTTCCCAGTCACAAAAGGCATATAAAGTAATGACTCTGTTATTGCCCAAAGACATTTTAGACCCTACTGAGGTAAGTTGTGATATTTCTAATATTATGGATAATAACTTAATTTTTATTGCAGTTTAATAATGTTCAGTCAGCTTTAAGAGTTTGCCCTATTTGTTATCATAAACTGATTATTATGAAACGTATCAGTAAAAATGTAGAGAAAAATACTTCAAACGAAATTTCAGAAGATCATTGTCTTCTATGTAAAAATGAGAAAAACCTTTTTCAAATGAACAATTGGCCAAGTTTCAGTGCAATATCAGAAGATATGGCTATTCCGAAGAAGAAAAATTGTGTTATGTGTTCAGATTGCCTATTTTATTTGGAAACAAGAAATCAACTAAAAACAAAGTTGTTTTTAAAATGTGTAAGTAAAAACTCAATCTTTCATTAAAATCAAATGTATACTATTAACACGTTATAAAAAAACGAGTAAAATATTACGTTATCTCCACTGTAATATTTAGATTGTATTGGTTGTCATAGGATCGGGAAAATTAGCAATCAGAACTGTAACGAACATAGTTCTGTCTGTAGCAGCTCTAGAACCAACAACAAGAAGTAGGTCACTTTTAAAAACTATAAAAACTGATATATAAGAATTATGCCATCTAATCAAACAATGATAGAAACAACAATAACATACAATCATACAACACACAAACAGACAACAAACATACAAAACAAATATACAAGCAACAATACAAATATCTGCATAGTTACAGAAAAATAACTTATGGATTGTACACAAATTATTAACTGCTAACTTTATCAAATACTTAATTAAATCTACAAACTATCAAATATTAAGATCTAACAATATCATATATCTTTTAATATTTTAAAAGCGAATGAATGGCAGCAGAATGAAATATCACTTAATATGCAAATATTGCGGCATCGCTAGCGAGATGCAAAAGACCTTTTGGAGTATTTGTAGATTGCTTACTTTTTCCATTGAGAATTTTATATAAATCCAAGTTTTTAAATTTCTTTAGTGTAGGATATTTTTAAGTTTTTTTCTAATGGTAGATAATGTGTGTAATAAAAACCCTTGTTGACATCTGAATGAAGGTTCCGATATTTGTGTACATGCCTTGATAATCACAATACTAATTATTTTCTTTTGTCCTAAAATAATTTATTATAGAAAACGGTTTTCTTGAAAATTTAAAAGTTGTTAATTTCTCTTTAATTAGAGAAATAGAGAAATCATTTTTTATAAAACATTGTAAGCACACATTACTTGAATGGGGATGAAAGTAAGCCAATAAAAATGATTACACTCACTTTTAATGTTTTTGTCAAAAGAAAATATAGGGATACATATTTCATAGAAAAAATTAAATGCAGTTATGTTACTGTTATCATAATAATGTAACAGTTAAAATACCAGAAACATTTTTTTATACATGTATAGCGACTCATTTTATTTTATTTTTCCAGCCACAATTAGATAATAAATCTCTAACTATTAATAAAAATAAAAGAAAATGGAAACTGAAATTCACTCCAAATATTAAATTGCAATCAACCCCACTGTCAGAGAAGAATAAAAGGAGCAGGATTTCAAGAAAAAGAAAGTTCCTAGACACGATAAGCGTTTCAAGTGATGATGATTTGGAACCAAAAAAAGTCTTAAATCCGTTTAAAAAGTTGAAGCCTTTGAAGGACTATAAATTATATAAAAACAACAAGATGGTTAAAACGGATTCTAAATTCTTGAATCAAATTCCTTACGTATTAGTAAATAATTCAAATTTGTTTAACATTCACAATGACACATTTAGTGAAGATGCTGTAACAAAATATACTGCAGAGGCAGAAAATGAAAATTTTAAAGTACGAGACGAAGATACAATATTGGTAACGCTAAGAAATGAATTAGTTAAACATGGTATTGAAAAACAGCTTGTTGTAAACGTATCAAGAATGAAGATGGGCAAATACAAAAATAAGGGAAGACGTGAATCAGATCCAGATATACAAAATTTGATCGATAAATTCAGTATCTTACAGAGTTCAAATAGAACCGAGGAAAATGCAAGCACCAATGTCTCCAATAGCAGTTTAATAGAAAGGCAAGAAAGCTTTGTAGAAGAAACGGAGATGAGTTTTGAAATTAAAAATAAGAGGAAGAGCGTTTCTTTTGCTGATGATAAAAATGTAGAAATAGAATATTTTGAAAATAACAGAAACGCAAAATTAAAGTATCATAATAATTTAGATGAGAACTCTGAAGTAATAGGTAAAAAACATAGTAAAGGGATATTAAAACGTGAAGAAAATGTGGAGGAAAAAAATAATACACTTGAAGAACAAAATGAAGATGTGTTAAAAGAAACTGAGGTGGAATTGGAGCCTGATAAATCATTTAATAAAGCAGTTAACGAATCTGAGGAAGATACACAAAACCAAGAAAATAAAGTAAAAGATGAGGCATCGAAAATTAAAATAAAGAGTAGAAGAAACAGTTATTTAATTGATGAAAATACCATCTCCTTGACTTCTGATTCCGAGTCTGATAGTGAAAGTCTGTCTCAAATACTAAAAGAATCAAAACAAGACTCTGTTCAGGAAGAAACTGGCTTAAAACGTACATCAGAGAATGAAGAAAATAACTTATTTGAAGATGAAAACATTAAACATGGCGGGGATAAAGTAACTGAAAAAAATAAAGCAAAACCACTGTCAAAAAAGAAAAGAAATACAATTGCTGAGGATACTAATGTCGATAATTCTGATGATAACCATGATTTGACTACTGCAGAGCAGTCCTTGCAGAATGAAACTAAACCAGATGAAAAAAATGTTGAATTAGTTTCTGTAGATGAGAAATTAGAAAACAAGGTTGCTAAAAGGGAAAGACCTAAACCTCTCTCAAAAAAGAAAAAAATAAATGTTGATAAGTCTGAAGATAAAGACATTCAGTCTGGAAGTGATTTAGATATTAGTAAAGACAATGAAGCTGAAAATAAATCTGTAAGTGAAGATAGGAAGGTCAAAAAATATAAGCCAAGGCCACTTTCAAAAAAGAAGAAATTTGATGATAAATGTGAAAACACAATGGAAGAAATTAACTTTGAAAACAATTTAAATAGTAGTAAAGATGAAGGAAATGTGGATGACTCTGACAAAGAAAAGTCTAATGCTGAGAGTATTTCTTCAGGAAAAAATATCCAAGGTGGTAGTAATGACATAGAAGAACAATTTCCACTGAGAAATGACAGTCAAGTGGAACATGGTCAGAACACAGATGAAATTGATGAAGCAGATAAGCCTACAGAAGATAACGAAGTTACAAATTCAGAAACAACTGCTGAAAAAGGAAAAGATTCTTTAAATTCCACTCTAGAAGATAAAGCATCTGCAGATAATTCCAATATATCAGAATGTTGTGAAGAAGTACTTACGGAAGATGATGCAGATACTATCAACAAAGACACTAAAAATCATGCAACAGATCTAATTGACAGCAATAAACCTGATGCCATATCCGACACTGATGTTACACAATTGGTCAATAAATACTTAAACAATCAAGATGAAAATGATGGTAAAAATACACAAAAAACCGATACTCTAGAGGAATCAACAAATCTTAGTTTTAGTCAGAGTTCTGACGATAACAAAGTTGATAGTGACGGCAAAATCGGTTGCGATACTGTAGACGAATTTAACGAGTTTGAGAAAACTGAAGACCTAGGAATATCAGAAGTCGATAACGATAACATTAACTCGATATTGTCAAATATGTTTCCTTCAGAATTACCTGATGATAAACTATTTGAAACAAAGAATGAGAATAAAACTGAAACCGATCCAACCGAGGAAACAAATGGGGATCTCAAAAGAAAAATGAGCGATGACGAATTAAATACCAGTAAAGAAAAAAAGAAGAAAAAAGTAACTTTTTACGATGATACGTAAATTTATAATGTGTTTCATCCTTTCAGACTATTCCACTCAAGAAGTGTAAGTGTAATCTGTTTTTTCACTTAATTGAAGAACAAAAGTTTAGTTTAATATGTAAGGCTATATTTTTATAATTTTTGTAGAATATGTCAACAGTTTAGTTACAGTATGTGTCTATTCTTTCTGTCAATAAATATCTCTCTGATTTATACTACAAAGGGTTATTTTTTTGTAAACTTTGATGAAATATATGTTTACAATTTTTTAGGTCATATTAAAATCAGGGATTTTTATAAACTTAATCGGGAACCACATTTTTACTAACTAAAGTTCATAATAGTAGTAATAAATAGATGTATTTGGTAATAAATAGATAAATTCTTAATAAAAGACTGGAAATTAAAGTATGTTTGGAAAAAGCAAACATTTATGTCTAATTAGATTAAGCCATTAGATTTTTATCTGGTTATAACAGTAATCATTCAGTGAAATAAAAATGCATGTTTAGTTTTTTTTTATTTTAAAATTATGTAACTTACTGCAATGTGGCAAATTACAACAATACAAACCCTGTCTCTATAGTCTTCAATCAGTGCCATACTTTTGGAATTACTAGACATGGCTATAAAGTGAAGAAACAGACTACAAAATCTATGAAGTAAAAACCATTTGATCTGATCTATTTAGTGTGTAAATTTCTTATAAACCTTTATTTTTAAATTTAATATCAAAATGCACAAAAACCAGTTGTATCTGTAAAATAAATACTTCAATTGGACCTTACAGTCACACACTGAATCAGTTCATATCTTAACCGCCTGGCCCAGCTTCTGAGATAAACGGATTCTGTGTATGTAGTTCTTTAGTCTTGTTATTTCTGAATGGATATGTAAGAACGTTTCAATTTCTTTCCAGTTCATCATAGATTATTTTGTTATACTCCAAGTAATTGCCACCACAAAGAAAATTGATACTGAGAAATTTAATACGTTCAAATTGTACGTATGTAAACTTCTAGTTACTTACTTTGTATTGTTTAATTACCATTGTAATTTTGTAATAAATGATTGTAACTGCGTTGATGCTCTTATTAATCATTGTGAGAAGTATCCTGTAAAAATTATTTTTTTGCACGTCAATAATAACATTAGTTTTTCAAGCATCGTGTATATCTAATAGTATGTTGATTTTTTGGCACTGATCGACAGCAAAATTGAGTGCCATCATCGCCAAGGCTTAGAATATATTTTTTGTAGCCATCTTTTATTAGTAAATATGTGGCAATTCAAATTAGCAAAAAACGAGTACTTACACCTATCTTAAATAATTTCATAATGCTTAAAAATTTACAATCTAGGATTTAATAAAAAAATTGTTCTAACGATGCTCTTGTTTGTAAATTATATAAAATATAAAATTAAGAGAGAGAGCGACTACCCAAGTTATCGCTTTTTCTCTACAGCGTCTACACATTTTATTACGCGGTGCTTCCTCAGTCTAGTATAAGTATATGCTCTAAAGAAGGAAATGGCTGTACTGATACTGATACTGATCATTAGGTTCTGTTATATATGCACCACGCGCGTACTGACCCAGATCAATTTGTCTCTGCTCTGTGGTACTGATTTGTATTACACTGATCAAATCTTGCACATACGCTCAGTTTAAGCTACAACTTAAACTATTTAATACTTGATTTAAGTGTAAATTGCAAATGTTTAGTATATACTATAGAGAGAGAGCTATGGTACTCGAGAGTTTTAGAAAGCGAAAAGTCCCAATTGAACAACATACAATACTTCTATTGGTTCAAATGTTCAAAATTTTCACTGGGACACTGGCTGGCCGTACTCAGGAATATTACTCCGACAAAAGAGCGCTTTTAATTAGTCCCTCCCTGTTCAGAAGGGACTAGGAGAGGTTTGTGTAAACTGATATATGGAGTAGATACGACCTTTTATATCTGCTAGAGACTGACAAATGGGTAGAAATAGTTACAATTTTTTTTTTGTTATTCTTTTAGGTTTAGTCATTTTCTATTTGTCGAAATAATTAATTTTATTTTATTATATTGCAAGAATTATTACTCAGATTCTGTTATCTACATGGTTCAGATAATAGGAGATAATTCAAAATTAAAAAGTTTGGTGCGCAAGTGGAACGTATCAGATGCACTGACGTGTAGAGATGGGCAGAACATGACTGATTCGGCTCACTGAGCCGGCTCTTTGTACTGAGCCGAGTAAACCGGTTCCTTCTCAAAGATCCGTCCCGGCTCTCGGATCTTTGCGTCGAATGTTGGAAGTGGTGAACCGAAATCAAGAGTAGTGCACCCGCACTCGCACAATTCATACAGTATACAGTGCAGGTATCGGGTGTATTATTTGTATTATTCACTACTTTTTCAAATGATAAATAAGTAGTGAAAACAAATTTTCATTCAAATAAATACAAAAAATAAATTCACAAAAAAATTATTATTTAATATAAATTTATTCCAAAATTTTCTTTTTTTTTCCTTACGTGCTTTCTAAATTGCTAGTTAATAATCAACAAAATATTGATTCTAATATATTTGTATAAACATAATACATAATTCTATTAAACAATCTATTTTATGTATCGGTTTAATAATTTTATTGAGTGAGCTACACCATTCATTCACTCGGCTACACGTGTCGCAGTGTACAAGAAAGAAAAGATGGGAAGGGTAGTCATGACAAATTCGGCTCAATTGAGCCGGCTCACTGAACTAGCTCCTTAACCGGGTCAACAAAATGAACCGGATTTCTCATCTCTACTGACGTGAGTGACGTGACAATTTTTCCGAAAACGAATGCAATTATTCATGTTCATATTAGATTCGTACGAATTCTGCAAATCGTTTGGATTTGATCTTCGATCATTCGATTTGATACTACAAACATACGTACGTACTACGTGTTTTATTCGTTTTAATACTGTTTTTATTATTTGTTTTGTGCTGTGTTGGTTGTTCAAGTACGAAGTCGTAAATTGCGTAAATTTAATCCTGGTAATAAGTTATTTAATCATCTTTAAATTTGTCTACATAGTATTGTGTGATTTTTTGTATATGAAGGTGGACACTTCGCGATATTTCATAAAATATTTAAATTAGGTTATTTAATTCCTGCTCCTAGTGTTATTTAAAATGAGTGATACAGCAGGAAATTCAAGTTCGACTGGTTCAAGAAGTTTGAATTACGAGGCTCTTAAGAATCACATACTGACACATAAAATTGACTGTAGTTTATGGGCCATAAGAATATTATCTATATTATTTGCAATAGGATATATTATTCCAATATTTGGGTAAGTTAAAATAAAATACATGTGAAAATTATCTAAGTTATTTTGTACTGAGATAAATTAATAATTATCCTGCAGACTGATTGATTGCGAGATATGAAAAAGTAGATGCAATAAGCGGAACAAGTTTGATTTCGAAGAATATTTAAAACAATCACTCGTACAAACTAAGCAGATTTAAGTTTGACAAATCAATTTATTTATATGAAAATATATTTAATTTTGATTTATATCAAAATAAACAGTAACGAACTAAAGGAAAAGTCCAGATCAGAATATACTTATTTTTATTACCTCAAAAAGTACACCTATACTTATTGATGATAATGGAGTACAGAGTACAGATTTTGTCTTAAAAATATTGGGTTATTGTTCAACTCTCATACACTAGTTATATGCTTGTTATATTTTTTATCACGTTTCTATTTTATATAAAGGATTTAAATTTATATTTTTCAGAAGTTCTCAGAATGCGTATTATAAAGTTCTCATTGCGAATGCAGCCATTAGTGCATTACGATTGCACCAGAGATTGGGGAGAGTAAGGATAAGTCGAGAATTCCTCGCAGAATTATTGGTTGAAGACAGTTGTCATTACTTATTTTACTCGTTAATATTTCTATATGTGACACCCGTAACATGTATCCTTTTAATAGTTTAGTTATAGGTATATCTAAAATAATTATATGTTGGGAGTTAGCCATGTAATTATTATTTTTTTGTCGCTCGATTGTATGCAAAATAATGAACACTTATTTCCAAAAATAATGGTTACCTAGTAGCCTTTAGTTTATTTCTGCTAATATACTAATAAAATATTAATTAGAGCTGATATTTGTGGGTAAAAATTATTTATGTATATTATGAGGACAGAGTCCAAATCTATGGTCATAGTCTACAGTAAATTAAATAAGTATCTAAATTATCATTGACATATTCAATAGAAGACAATATATCTAAATTTAAAGAATAATTGTATCTCTTGTATTTAATTTATTTTTAATGTATAAATTCCTTAATAATTCTTAGTGGCAATTTTACCAATTGTCCTTTTTGCCACACTTCATGCTGCAAGCTATTCATTAACCTTGTTGGATGTAAGTATATACTTTTATAAAGTGAACGTAAAATAATCATATTTGTTATTATTTACCAATTTTTATAGACACTTGGTCAGAACTCTTGGTGGGGCGCAAGATTGCTCATATCTTTGGTAGAATTCCAGTCTTTGAATATTTTAAGGCTAATTGCATTCACAGAAATTATTCTGATGCCATGCACGGTTCTTTTAATTTTGATGTAAGTATCCCCTTCGTTTTTTAAAACAAACTGACATATTTCTGTCTGAATGACTTTTCATGATGAATGTGACTGCTGAACTGACTACAGTAATATTCATGTGTGATTAGAGTAATATAGAATGTAATCTTGTTAGTAAACATACACTTTATTAATTATGTGGTAATATTGAACATGACAAAGGAACAAGATTGTTCAGAAGATTATTGCTGCACTGTAAAAGTTTTTCTTAACACAAGCTTTAAGGTTCACTACACTGCCGATAGGTATTGCCAGAAAATATACCGGATCGTATTGTATCTTAAGTTGTAATACCTGTACAAAATATCGAGTATCGGAATGAAAAGAAATGGATACACAGAAAAATCGTAACGTACCATGCATAGAAGAAAACACTACAAAATGTAAAGAAAATACCTAATTTCGTTTGTTACTAGAGTCGTCATTATTCTCCCATTTTAATATTGAAAGAATTACAGTAAAATATGAAAGGGAAGAAAAGTTATTATGGTTGCCGCCTTTATATTACAAGTACAATATTTTCTATTTATGTAACATTTAATATGTATAACGAGTATGTTAAATAGAATTTTATTTTAGGGGGAAAGCAAGTTTACTGATACCTTTCATCTACTACCACTTTTTGACACAAAGGTACATTTCAAGGAGAAATCCTTACACGAGAAATATGTTCCATGAGCTGAGGATTTTGTTTGAGACTACGGCTGCAAAACCAAGTATGCCGGGTTTTCTACGTCAAGCTCTTCTTGCTATCGTAAACTTCACTTGCAAACTTGCACCTCCTCAAATTCAAGTTCCACCGCAGCAGTAAATGTAGTTATCGATTTGTATTACATTTGATATATTAGCAGTTTTAAGATAATTAGTGTATATCATACAATTAGAGTGGAAAAGGTGAGACTTTTTATTTCATTCCTTCTTCGGTGCGTAAGATCTTTATTGTTATTTTTTGTTAAATAAATTTTCCATCAAAAATTGACATTTTCTTTCGTGTACCTGCTTTAGATTCATCACAAAAAATAAACTAGTTTTGTGGATTTTTTATGTTATATACAGAGTAACCACAGCTAAGGTTAAACAAACTTGGAGAGTTATTCTACTCATAAAATTAGTTCTATCGTTTCAAGTCTGTACCATCAATGGCATCAGAGAAACTTAATTTGCAATAATTTGTTTATTTGTAGTTTTCTGCCTGGAAAAAGTCAAGGTGACGCTAAATAAGATATCAGAAAAAACTTCATATTTCTTCACGTCACATCAAATTATCCAATCGCTATAAAAAAACAAGTCAATTTATCATTTACTTCCGTTATTTTATTACATGGTTATTCTTTGGTTTACATAATAAATTATCACTTAAAAAACATTATTAAACCTACACCTCTTAAGTACAAAAATCAATTTAGGGTGCATTACAACAGCAAGCTAAACAAAAAATATATATATATATAAAAAAAAGTGACTATATTTTTTCTGTTTGTACAACAAATAGAGATTAAATAGTAATACATTACAACATATCAGTAACAAATTATTTATTTAAATTATATTAAAAATAAAACTACATAAAAATCACATGGTACAGTCAATGTTCATCTGTAAATGCATGTATAAAATGAAATAAAAGAAAAACAATGCCAATATCTGAACATAACATTTAAACTATGAAGAAAACGGTATTTTATTTGAAGTTGTATACGGATAGGATTGGTAATACAACTATAATCAATTAAAATATAATGTTCACATGAATATAAAAAAAATGTGATCCATCTGATGACCAGACTTCATAAAATTTATTATTTTTTTAATTTGTATTGGGATAAGCTGCTTTCCTCATAATTCAAATTGAAGTGTTACAGTTATTGATAGCTTCTTACTTTTCTTGGCATCCAAGTTTTCAAGAAAAATTTGGGAGAAAGTAATTATTAACTTTAATAAAGAATAAGTAAATAAAAACTTAAAAATTATAACATTCTGTATTATACAGTTCTATAAAAGTGGGTTAAAAATAATATTACATTTTTAACTCTTTTCCCACTATTTCTATAGATCAGTAACTACACTATTTGTAATATAAAATTAATCATAGCTCATCAGTTAAATGTAGCAAAGTAAACAGTTTTTGATCCCTAATGATATGATGTATATGTATATTATTTTTGAAATTTGAGTAATTATCCTAAATTCCTTCTATATAAGGAATATAATTCCAGTGTTTGTTGGTTGGATATTTATTATAACATGATATAGACAATGAAAATATTTTATAAATTCTTGTCTCAAAAATCACCATAAAAAAATTGTCAAACAAAAATGATCAAATAATCAGATGTAAATAAAAACAATGGCAAATTCAGTAGCTTATAAATATTTAAAAAATTGTTTAATTTTTTAACCAATTTTTAAAATACAACAAAACCTTTACATAACCAGGTTTTTAACTGAAACTTTTTGTTTAGTTGGATACTTTTAGTGTTTCTGACAAATTATTCAACAAAAAGTTTTCAAATTTATTCCACAAATATTTTAAAACGATATCAACAGAAAAATTTATTAAATATGCTATTCTTAAGTCACAACTATATAGGTACATAAAAAAAATGTAGCATGTAATGTTAGCAAGCTGTAATTATATATATTCAATTTAATTTATATAATTATGTTGATGTAAATTGCACAATATTTTTTTATCATTAAAATTTTACCATAAATATAAACATGATTAAAATACGAGAATATAAAAGAATTTTTTTATATTTAAATTATATCATGGGTACCCGCATTAATATCCATTTTTAACAGTTAAGAAATCTTTGAATTTTTTAAATTCTTAATTTAATAACCTATTCACCTCTTATTTTACATTCTCTATAGACATTTTGAAATATTAAACTAAAAAAATACTTCGAAGTCTTAAAGTCCTCAATTTTTTAACGATGGTATGTTTTACTTGAAGAATTCAACAGACTAACGTTTTATAAAAAAAATATTTAATTAGACTTAAGATTTATCAGTTATTACTGGCAGCTGGTGAAAACTAAGGTGGTCATATTCTGATAATGCAGCATGGGATCTATATCGTCTTTTTGCGGATGACTTCGATGCCCTTATGTACAACTTTCATAAATAACTGAAATTTGCGAAATAAAAAATCAGCCTCCCGTAAGATCTCCTAGGGTTATCAACTGATAGATACAAGCAGTTTTTTTTTATTCACGAAATTAAGTTTCTTCATAGTTACAATTATTTAAATTTTTATTCGATATGAATATACACCACTTTGTATTATGATTATGAAAAACATTATTTTTCGCAAATTTATTCTTATTTTAGTTTTATATTTAGGAATTTTACACAATGAACTAAGGAAACCATCTCATACAAAAACAGTAAGGGTCCTGAGCTTCGCTATCAAAATATGACATTAATTTCCCCAACCACCACCACTAAATCTGCCTTAAACACTACCTGCAAATTTTATTTTTTTTAATAGATCTCAAGTTATTTTTCTTTGAAAACATGCACTTATTGCAATTTCAATCAAATAAACGTAAGTTACTCTCATTTTTTTGATATTGCTAGTATTTTATAAGTACACAATTGACAATTTCAACCACAAAGCATAAACTATAACCATCGATATATTTTTCTGACGCTCACATATACGTATAAAAAAAGACTTATTTGTTGAATTCAACTAAAAAAATATTAAAATATGTGACTAGGATCAATATAAAAATGTTGATTGTATGTAGGCATACTCTTTATTCTAGGAGGTATCAGTAAATTTTAAGAATCACTCTTATTAAGTTATAACCAATCAAATGTCATTTATAGATTAATTTTATCGTGGTAAAACATATGTGGACTACGATCAGCCTTGAGGTAGGATGCTCAGTGGCAAAGCAGTAGAATGGGAAATTTATTTCTACTATGGATTACCAGCTGCTTTGGCATTTGAGGGTTCAAGTGAAATTTGTCTAGATTTACCTACAGTAGGATTGTATTCGATGCAAAGTAGAGTAAAAAGTGGTCGGTCTTTTATCAAAGGAAAATCGTTTCATCACTTTTAGGAGGCGTAAGATGAACCTTTTCAAATTTAAAATGGAATTGAATGTAAAATCTGAAATACTGTGTTCTGGTAGTAGCTATAGTCCCCAGGTGCATCGAGTGTACAAAGTGGTCAGTTATATCTCAAATACTAACCAGGCGAGCTTGGTAGTAAATCAGCGCCTCCAAAAAACAAGTAAACAACAGTGGCACGTACAAAGGTAAAATGTAGTACATATGTGGAATTTAAAAAACAAACTGGATTTATAATAAATTACATTTCAAATAAATAGTTTATGAGAATAAAGGAATTTTTGTAGGAACAAGGGTGTCAGACGTGAACTGATCCCTTCATCCCTTCATAATGTATAAAGAAATTATTCAATTTCTAAAACCCTTAAAAGCGTATTGCACTGGATCCTACTATAATTGTATGTAGAGAAAAAGCTATCATAATCAACTACTACTTTAAGGCAAAATCCATATTGCAAGTCTTTAAAAATGTTCAAATTTTCAATATACGAGTATATTACAGGATGCAAAATAGTTTTAATATGTGAATGATTAAAATATAAAAAAAGTTTTCACGAATTCATGTAATTAATTATTCTATTAGAACACCACAATGCACTTTCGATACAGGTCCGATTTGTGGATTTCAGTACAATTTAATTTTTTGTACTTTGGACGTACTGTATACAACATGTAATACCAATAAATTATTATGAAGATAACTCGGAGATCCCAGATAAGGCAAGGAAATTGTGGGTAATGAAAGACAATTTAGGCAATGCGAGGAAGTTCCGGGAACAGGAAATGATGAGAGTGTACACCATTTTGGTCAGTGGTTTCCTCCTTGATAAAAATGTTTGTTGCACCATCCATTTTGAAAATATCGGCAGACGATTTAGGACCACCCTATATACAATTCTTAATCTAAGATAAAATTGCATTTAATTTGCATAAAATACCTCCTAAAATAAAGTATTAATGTAAAATTCTAAATGTTACCAGAAATCCTGTAAATAATATGGAAATTGGTTACAGACTGGCAAAACTAATTTCTGCCACAAGAAGTGAAGAGAAAGCGAAGGCGGAACTAATTTTTCAGGCAAAAAAGTTTACATGCTGAATCTTATATTAACACATTCTGAATAAAGTTTATTTCATAAAAATAAATATTTCATATGAAATTAAAATATCAAAGAAACTTTCACACAATCACAACCACAATTAAATATATTTAATCAATAAAATTAAACTAAAATATTAGTTGACCAACGTGGAATGTAATAAATACAGACGATTAGTCAGTATTAATTGAATACTAAAAACAACAATAAAATGACTATTTTAAAACTTATTGCAAATAGAAATTATTTTTTGATAACAACTTTAAAACATTTATAAAAAATTTAAATTTCATACTGCACCACAACTATCATTTAATCACATACACTTGTTTTTCTGTAATTTTACTACCTGTTATATTTCCATGTAAGACAAGAAAAATTTTGAAAACATTTATCAATAAAGATGAAACTTTCTCTTTTCAAATACCCTTTGGATAGTTCCAAACATAATTTTTATGCAAGACTCACAAAAAAGTACCTGTAACATAATATATTATTGCAGTTTACTGCAACAGCTGGAGTCATTAATAACCGAGGTCCTTCCATTAATATTTTGCGTATTTGCATCATATCTTGGAAGATCTCTATTCCGTGCTTGCTGCAAATATAAAATAAATTTACTTTCTGTTCTTTAGTTAATTATCAATAAACTTATGATGATACATGAATAGTTACTCATTTCATCTGGACGGTGAAGGTCCGATGCGCAGTACCAACTCAGAATAAACATACATTGTCACAAAAAGTATAGGAGCCTATATAAAAAATTTTAATCAAAATTTTAATTAGTTTTACTCATTTTTGATTTGTCTCCCAATCGTATCTTAATTCTCACCACTCAATCCTCTAATTTTCTGTACGTGTGCTCTTGCGTGTTTGCACCTCTCACTGACCAGATGAAATAAGTTGAACTGGATATATTAAATATAGTTTTTCTTACCTTCATCAGATCTTCAGCTATTTGCATAAACAGTTTTTCAACATTATCCGACTCTTTAGCAGAAGTTTCCAAGTAATACATATTATGTCTTTCGGCAAATTCTTCACCGACATGGGCAGGTATTTCTCTATCTTCTCTATCAATTTTATTACCTATCAAAAAGAAAAATAGTAAATATATAAAATGTAATTATTTTATTCGCAAGTAATAACAATTTATCTAACTCATACGGTCTCTTATGTCTATTATGAGAGTAATACTTGAGTAATTATAAATTGAGTATTTTAGTAAATAAAATTTGATCAGCGGTTTCCCTCATTTGTACTCACCAACTAGTACTCGTAACACTTTACTACTAGCATATTCCTCAATTTCACGCAACCAATCTGGCAAACAATCAAATGTAGGCTGGCAAGAAATATCGTAAACTAATATAAGGGCATGAGCAGATCTATAGTAACTTTGAGTGATGGATCTAAATCGTTCTTGTCCTGCCGTATCCCATATCTGTAACTAGAAAAATTTATTATTACCATAGCAATAGAACTAAACAAGACTTACTTTTATTTTTTCGTTTCCTACTTCCACCGTTTTTATCATGAAATCGACACCAATGGTTGCTCCTTGACCCGGAGGAAATAAACCTTGTGTAAAACGTCTGACAAGGCACGTCTTCCCTACACCCGCATTACCAACTAAAACTACTTTAAAAAGGAATTTGTAATCATCCATTATTTTTTTAAGTTAATATTTTTCAACTTAAACCACATTAACTTTGAATTTAATCAAATGCAAACTTGTATAAGTAAATCCCTTCAACTTCCATGTCTTGTTTACAGCTTTTACTTGGTGAAAATAAATTATTTCATACAACTTTTACATCATTCTTATAAAATTACGTCACTCAGGTGTGTACATATGGGCATTGAGGATTCCTAATTAAAATTGTTATAGTTGAGTCACTCTTATTTGCATAACTGCTTCAATTTGTGATCACATATTATTCGAAAGTAGTGACATGCAATCGTGTGGTTTTTTCTCTAAACGTATAAATATTTTTTCCGGATTAAATATTTCACTTGACACCCTTCAGCGTTTTAAATAATTTCTGTATTTCTATTCTCTAATTCTCTATCTTTAATTCCGATAATCAGTCAACAAATGTCGTCTGTCAGCTTTCAACTTTCAATAATTTACCTTGCCTTGCCTTGCAGCTGCACTTTTTTTTCCCAAATAAAATAGATCTAAACTCCGCCCTTACTGGGTGCAAAATAATTGTGTGCATGGAATTTAAAAAAATATATATATTTGTGCAAGTCAGATAAGTTAAGTACGATGTCTAAAACCTTAATATTAATACTTTCTTAAAATTTGTCACTGAATTCAATTTTAAATAGTCAGCTCAACAGAAATTATATTGCCCGCGCCTAAGGGGGCGGAGTCAGGTCTATTCTATTTATGAAATAAAAGCCCTTTTCTTTTACTCATGATTTCGGAATCATAACGTATTAGGATCCGATGGAAACCAATCAGATTGCTAGATTTCGGATCATAACGCGTTATGATTCCGAAATCATGAGTAAAAGAATAATATGCCTTGCAGCTAAAGCAACGATACGTATCGATATTTTAAAATATCTATTCTTGAAACTGCGAAACTCGATATTTTATATCGATATTTTTTATGTGATGGGCATTCGGTCCAGATTAGATGTTATGGTCAGAGCACAGAGTACCCAGGTACTCTGTGGTCAGAGTTAGGACATGAATCGGGTTAAGATGTAGAATTTAAATATTTTTGTAAAATAACTTCAAGGTATTGCAACTAAAATACATATTATTTTATATTTCAATTAAAAACATATAACATAGCTCTGGTTATCAAAATGCTTAATAATATTCTTGTTTATAAATTATAAGTTAAATACCTAAATGCCAATGTTTTAAATTTATGGGTCACCCGCAACTTTCTATGGATCTCAAATTTTGGGTACCTGTCGTTTAGGAAAATACCTGCCTAATTTATTTTAGAAGTAGAATAAATTACTTCTCAAACCTAAAATGCAGGTAGAAAAATAACTTTAACTCACCCCCTAACTCCCTAAGATTTATTTAATTATTTCTAAGAGAGGTATGTACTATGTAGGTACCCACGGACCGTGTGTGTGTAGGTACCTACCTTGATTATGAATATTTCAGATTTAAACAGGTTGAAAGAGTTTTGGCAATTAATTATATTAAATACTAATTCTAATTAATGACAAGGGTGTATTTACTGGTTTAGTTTGTATCTGTTCGTATTCTACCGTTTTTCATTTCTTGGTAACAGTATCACGTCAACATACGAAGTGCGTCGTGTGCGTCGTCGTGATCGACCTACGGTGTGCGCCTGCTCAAACGAGAGAAAACAAACGAAAATCGCCATATTGTGTGAAGTTTGGTGAGTGTTGTGTGTAAAAAAATTATTATCTACAGGAAAGTGGTGCAATATCTTGAAAAATCATATCCTGTTTTATATATTTCAAGAATGAACTTGCTTATTTTACTTTAGGGTGAGTTTAATGTTCATTTGCTTTATTACATGCTGAGAATCGAAGATATTAAATTTCACATACGCTGTCGTCATGTAACAGTGGCCTCGTTGACGTTGATCTCATTCTGCGGCATATTTATAATTACTCCCGAAAAAATTGATGTTTATTTTGTTTTAGGGGAAGAACTGTTTAACAATGACAACCGAAGAGGAAATTAAAGCCGAATATGCTTCTAGTTTAGCTGACTTGACATTTAATAGCAAGCCTCTGATAAACGTGCTTACCATGTTAGCAGATGAAAATTCTCCAAATGCGAAAGTTATTGTAGAAGCTATTGAAACGCATCTGTCAAAGGTTATTTTTTAATTGTTACTACTGATAAAATGTGGGCTTAAAATGTATTTTTTGCATTCTGAGCCATACATTGTACCTTGAGTTAAGGTTTTGTGATATTTAAATCTAATTAAATAAGTAAATAAAAAATTTTGAAGTAGGTAATTAATTTATTTTTGCATTGCTGGATGATTTGTCTTTTCTGTTTCATCAACTGAAAGATATCATGATTATTCCCCAAAGTAACTAATTACATCATAAAAAAACTAGTAATTTCTATAAATATTTAGGAACTGTTGTCTATATACATTATTCAAATGAATAAACTAGATCAATTATACATAATTTATATAACAGAACAGTCACTTTTGTATATATTCTATATGAAATTTCATTAATACAGTTAATTATCCTGATTTGATGGATTTCTAAGTGTAACAGCTGTAATAGATTATATTTGGTTGACTTTACTATACCTAGTTTCATAAAATACTCATGTGTCACCTGAAGTGAATAATAGTAACAAGTCTTGTTTAAAATGGTCTAGGCACCTATTATACTTTTATTGGAATACATTTAATATTGATCTTTCTCCAATAATACATAAAATACCTTAAAAGAGTTTAGGTACCTTTAGTTTTCATAGGAAATTCCAAGTGATCACCGCTTTTTATGATTTTTCCAGATAAGCTATAGTAAATTAAAAATATGCCGAAGATTAGGATTGCTAAGGTTTTAATACTTAATTTATTTAAAATGTGTTTCAATGAAAAATGTCAACTTTAAAAAAATTTTTTTCTTACTGAAATATTTTAATTTAGTTGTAAATTACATTGACTCGTACAATAAAGATTATAGTAATTCAGTTTTGCTGAAGTTTCGTAAATATTCTAGGTAAATAAGTCGTCAATATTTTGAATGGATTACTTTATCACGGTATTCCACTAGATAAAAATATTATAATCACTAAATTAATATAAACAGTCCAAAACAATTCCTGAGTTACTAAAACTTTTTCTATATAATAAATAAAAAATTTATTGAAACATTTATTTCGTTAGATATACATCTTTTAAGAGATATCACATGATCATTGAAATTTATTAAAGTTATGTTATGGCTCGGTATTTGTTTTTCGTTTTATTTTGAAAAGTATCGAAGACATTTTTTATTGACACTAGTAGAAATATACAAATTAATAAATCTATTTTGTGTGTGGATTATATTTTGGGAAAAAAGTTTTTTAATTATGATCACGTGGTGTCGATACAATGTGTTTAAACTAGTGTCAGATTAAAACAAAGTGCATCATTATTGGACTCTTCTTGTGGCAACAGAAGATTATGATAGGTAATAGTGTATAGCATATTCTAATCTTCTAAGTTAAAAATTTTTTATATAGCGTGAGTATATTTATCTGTAGGTTGCTACTGACATCAAGCTCACTATTCTGTACCTTATCGACTGTATCGTGAAGAACGTTGGTGGAACATATACTACTCTCTTCAGTCAAAATATCGTTTCTACGTTCTGTGGCGTATTTAAAGCAGTAAGTATCAGACATTTTGACAAAAGTAAATTCCCTCATTGAAGTTGGTATCTAATAATTTTTATTTTAAAAGGATGTCATATTCATAGTGTATTTGTAATGTAAAAATAGAGACCAGCTATTTCACTCTGTCGCTGACATTTTATAATTTTTATTTCCTATTTAGCTACCTCGTTTTAGCTGCTAGTGCGTATGCAATTGCATACCTTGGAATTAGAAGTGCTTAGGTCTGTAATGAGAATTTTTAAATTCGATTTCAACTCATATATACTTTACACATCTTATATGGCAGAGTCAATATATTTGAGTTGAAATTGAATATTGTACATTATTTTCAGATATAGAGATAATTCTAAACACTTGATGAAATGATGAATCGCATATTATAGAGTAGGTATTGGGCCTGTAAGAAAATTCTTTTCTAATACTTTACACTTATTTAAAAAGGAATTAAAAATTCTCATTACAGACCTGAATAAACATCTTGAAACTAAAGTATTTTGGCTACAAAAAAGTATGCATGTAAGCTGGAAAGTTTTTTTTAACTAAAACTCAGTTACTTTCACTATAGCCATTGCAAATTACCTTGTAATTTTAATTGTTTAATTAATTGTTTAATACCATAATTTTAAGAACAAATTAGCATGGCTACCTTGTGTACTATAATGATGGTATTATCTTCCTCGACGTTTATCTGACCATGCTTTTCACATGAAATTCCTCTTGAAGAAGGTAAAAGCATATGCAACATAAACAAAAGAAAATTATACTGCGGCTACTGCGGTATTACTAAAAGGTTGCGTAAAAAAAATGTTGCTATACAGGATGTAACGGCAATGTTGTAACAATATTTCATCGATTCTTCTCCTCGAAACAAACAAAGAAGCAAGAGTAATATTTTTTCTAAAAATACATAGTTACACAGTTACTAATCACTTATCCAAGAATAAGGTCTGAGGTTTTATGGGGATTTCCAAATGGCTTGAGAACAATATCATCTGCAACTAAAAATCTTATCACGTTTAAGTGATGCCATTATGATAATGGCAAGTATTTTGTTGTTAGTTAAATGTCGGAATTGGTATTCATTTTCAGGATAAAAATTTATTATCTCAAAATCCCGGTACTGAAATTCTATTCCGAAATCTTCTATTCAATAATAATTTATTCTTGTAAAATTTAAACAAAAAATAATAAGTGGTATTGGCAGTGATGTTAAAACGAATCTCTTTCAGGTTTAGATCTTTTTCACCATTACATACCTCTAATTGTTTAGAAGTTACAGGGAAAAAAATTGATTTTTGTTTTAGTTCTACTAATCGAAGGATCATCTCTTCTAGGAAAATATGTTACCTACTTTTTTTCTTCGTACAAGAGAAATCTGCTCTGATAGCTTGTTATAACATTGCTGTTACACACTATAGTTGACGAATCATAAACAAGTACCTTTATAACAGTGAATATGACATGAAATTGAAATGTAATGTTTTATTGAAAAGTTATATGTTTAACTATTTGTAGACCATAAGGGACTTTAAAATACATCCAACGACTTTTGATATTTATTTTCTTGATCGAATTTGTTTAAAAACATGTTTAAACAAAATTTGTTATAAGGTGGATGAGAGGACTCGCGCAGAGATGTTCAAGTTACGACAAACTTGGAATGATGTTTTCCCCCAGAAGAAATTATACGCTATCGATGTACAAATCAATCTCTTAGATCCAGCATGGCCTGTAACTGCTAAGCCGCCGTCCAATAGTATACATTTCAATCCAAAATTCCTTAAAACAACGGTAAGGCATATTAATAATTTTTTCAGTTATGTCCTAAATGAACAACTTTTCTAGACGACTACGTCAAAACCAAAAATAAACTCCAGTGATTCCACGCCAATTATAACGTCTACTACAGTACCAGGAAACGTCGATAAAGAAACTCTCCTGATGCAGGAGAAATTAATACAGAAACAAAAGGAATTGCTCGAGCTGCAACAGAAAAAATTGGAATTAGAAGTTCTTCAAACTCAAGTGAAGTTACAAGAACAGATAAAAAATAAAGGACCCGCCATATCTCTCCCTACTAGGCCTCAGGTAAGATTCAATTTTCTCGGAAATTAATATAATTTAATTAGTCTGCATTTAACTTACCACATTTTTGATTTTAGAACATTCTTTTGAAACCAGAAGTCGCCGAACAGCTGGTGCCGTCAGCTATAAAAAGTAAACCTATGGGAATTGTAAGTAGCAGATGTAACTTTGTCCATCGTATTCTGATCAAATTTGATTTGCAGAACTCCACTTTAATGCAACAGAAAATTCAAAGTAATGGTCCGAGGATCAATCCAGTCAGCACTGCTTTAGTGTCGGCAGTTCGGCCAATCAGAGATCCAAGACTTCTTAGGCAGCAGCAAAAAGCAGATAACAGTAATTCTAATAATCCTCTAGACCAACAAAAGACTACAGTGTTAGCAAATAATAAAATTGTTACAAATAAAATGGGCATTCGTAAAATTCGCAACGACCCCCGATTAATTAATAAAGATGATAACTTTCCCCAAAAAATTGATACCACTAAAACCAATAACCTTAGTAAATCCCGTAATTCCGATTTAGTGCAAAAATCACACAAAACACCCCGTTCCACCTCTAAAAGTAGTTCAGATTCAGTTTCCAGCAAATCTAGTTCTAGTAGTAGCTTAGATTCTCCCATCAAAAGTAAGGGTGAAAAAAAATCACCTGTAAAACACAAAAAGAGAGATAAAAGTGATGAGAAAAAAATTTTCAGTAAAGATGACAAACGTGATAAAGTGCAAAAAAGTGATAGTCCTACAACTACTTTTAAAGGTGTTAAAACTTCAACAAAAAACAGAAATTATGTTCGACGCAACTTGGCAGCCATCAGTCCCGAGCCACCACACGATGAGGATCTGCGGTCTTTAGGGCCACCTGAAAAGCAACCCCGTTTACAAGGTGACTCATCTGATGATCAAAGTAAGAAATAATTTCATATTTTCGAAATAATGTGCTTACTGGAAAAGTCACTGTTCCCAATAGTTTTTGTACTAAATGAATTAGATTAAAGTAAAACTCTTTGTATTTTCCAAAAAAACATCTGAAGGTGTTTATTTGCATTGACTTTTCCAGTTAGGCGTGTCATTATGTGGTTTTCATAGAGTTTACATACAAAATCTTCATTCTGTCCATAATGAGGAATTTAAATTTGACGTTGGTTTTTATTTATAACTTTGGAGATGTACAGGGTGTCCCGAAATTAATGCAGCTAAATTTGGTAACAGATTCTTAAGACAAATTTTAGGGGACCGGTATTTTTTATTTTTGCCAAGTGGCCCCTTCTTTTGTAGATACAGCCCCCTGAAATTCGCCCCTATGAATAATCTTTTTTTTTATATTTCAGAACCCTGTTGTACAAGAATTACTAAATTTGGCACACAGAGGTTTTATGACATGTGGAATCTGCTGGTGCTACACTTTTTGGTGGGGAACACCCTTAAAACAATTTTTCGTGAGCCCCCTTGTCTTTGGAGCCATAAAAATTTGGTCGCGTATTTAACTTTCTTCATATCGTGATTCACAATTTTCCTCAAAAACATTTCGTTTTACGAAAAAATATCAAGCAACAAAAAAGTTTCTAAATTCAATGGCTTTCTAGCTAACTAATAATTTTTAAGAAATTCAAATTTGCGATCAAATTCTTTTGGTTCCAAAGACGAGGGGGCCCAAGAAAAAGTGTCTTAAGGGGGTTCCCCGCCAAAAAGCGTAGCACTATCAGATAAACCCCTGCTTACCAAATTCAGTGATTATCGTACAACAGGGTCCTGAGATATAAAAAATATTATTCTTAGGGGCTTTCAGGGGGCTGTAACTCCGACAGATGGGGCCACTTGGCAAAAACAGAAAATACGGGTCTCCTAAGTTTGTCTTAAGAATCTATGACCAAATTTTGTTGCATTAATTTTGGAACACCCTTATAATAAAGGTGTTACTTAATTAATCCAAGGGAAGATAGTTCAAAGCATTTTTTAAATCGATTTTTATACAATTTTATTTTAATTCCATCCATTCTATAAAAAAAAACTGAAATTGAAGTCAAATTTAAGTGCGCCTTTTCCTAAACGTTAATATTGACATTTATTTTGTAAACTAGTTTATGTAAAACTAAAATATAAAGCACATTTTAATATGTGTACAGTCCGCAGGATATTTGTTGAGATTGAATTCCAGGAAGGCCCCTGCGTCACTTTCTTGGAATTAACCGCATTTGACACGCAAAGTAGAAAGACATTTGCGACATGGCGTTCGCCACACCTCTCTCTTGATAAATTGTTACAATAATTCCGATAACAGAACTTTATTGGCTTACTCTTTTCCTGAAATTCTATCTCAACAAATATTGTACGAACTGTATTACTTTTTAATGCAAGGGGTGTTTTTTTAATGGGGTACCTCCTATAACTTTTATGTGGGTTGTCTGATGACGGTAATTGCATTGTTGACAGAATGCCATTTTTTCAGATATAATGGGAAAGTTTATTTTTTTATACAAATAAGTTAAAATATACAAGGAGTTCCATTAAAAAATATAATTTCCTTTTGTATCTGAAAAAGTGGCGGTCTAATGACAATTCAATTGTTGGTATCAAATCGATCATGTCCTTTTATAGTCTTTTTGAAGTCAGTTGAACATGTAAAAAAACGCCTGGCAATACTTTCATAGGCGTCCCTAAAAAGGTAAAAAATTATAATAATTTGTATATAATGTGTAGAAAATTTCTATTATATGTTCATTTGGCTAACAACATATTTTAATAATTCATGTCCTCAAACAATTTTATTATATTAAATTTCGTTTTGTTCCGTTTCAAAAGGTCTCCAAAATGCTATGTTGTAATAATATTAGTAAACAAAATATCCTTATTTCTCCCTTTCGCAATTGTAATATGAATGATTAATAGAAGGTGCCTATAATAAATTAAAATTACCTGAATAACACCAAATTCCGCATTGCTGCACTGCACTGCTGGGCAATTTATCAACCACTAGTTCGACCAGACCTGTATATGGGTATGGCTAAATAAATATGGGAACAAGTTTTTTAAGTATTTCAATGTCGAGTTGCTGCGTCAGCGACCGAACCTGGTACATACTGTCAACCTCTTGGTTCTTCAATTGATATCGGAAAGACTATACCGTTGAATACCAAATTCAATATTGGACAAACATATATCAGTATTAAAGAAAACACCCTTTATACAAATTTGTTTAATTTGATTGAACGTTGTGTTAGTAGGTAATGTCGTTTCTACGACCAAGGGTATGGACACAGATTTACGTCTATTGCCAGCAGTTATTGGAAAGAAAAGATCGTCCATCGACTCCGATGATCAGAGTCCTGTGAAAAGGAGTAAGATAGAAGTATTTGATAAGTAAGTTCAGTGTGTACACGTGCGATTATGAACCGTTTGTAATTTTATACCATTTACAGATTATTTGGTGATGAAGATACAGATCTACGTCAACTATCGATTAATAACGATAGACCTCCCACTCCTCCGCCTCCAATTATTTCTTCGAGCGATTGCACTAAAGAAAAGAGCGAATCTCCTAAAAGTAATTTGGATGCCGTCCGGGCGAAGTTGGCGAACGCTACAAACAGGGATAAAATTATGGCAAAGTCATGTGAGTAGTGTTGTTAAATTTCCGATAATTTTTTTATTAGTGACCAAAAATTATTTTCATAGTTTAAAATTTTGTGGAGAAAAATATAATTTTTTTACATGTGAATAATATAAATAAATGATTCTGAATTTATTATTTGTATGTTAGTACTTATCAACTCATTTACTTACAGTTAATAAGAAGAGGATGGCTGTATTAAAAGACCAAGATTTACGGGTTGCGAAGGTATCATCAACCACCGATATGCCCAACAAAATAATAATCTCTCCTGAGGACGAGAGTAGCATTAAATCGGGTACTCTAACAAAAGAACAAGAGACCAATCTTCTTAACAAAATCATCATGCAAATAGAAAAGAACAAGCTTAAAGAGGCCCAGAAGAAGGACCACGAGGAATCCTTTAATATATCTCTTCAACCAATAAGTGACGACGAGTTGGTAGATAGCGACGAGGAGAAAAATGCTACCAAGGAAGCCGTAGAAGAAACGACTGAAGTAAACGACAGTAACGTAATACCGTTTAATGATAAAGACGAACGGGTTCGTCCACAACTGCAGCAGCAGTCTGACTTCGTCCACTCGTCGTTCCCTCCGAGGGATATAAGGAGGCCCCTTCCCCCGCCTAGCTGGCGGGGTGGAAATCGAGGCGGTAGGCGTTACTGGGACAACCATCCGGGCAATTACCCAAGGATGCCAGGCAGGCCATGGAACCATCCCAATTCGTGGAGGAATGCACAGTCTAATTTCCCCGGTCCCAGAGAGTTTCCTGTCCATGATAAGGAAGAAGAGATATCCGAAGGTCCCGATGCATCTGAGGATCAGCTCACCAATGGGGCAGTCAATCAAGACGAAATTAAAACGATCAATATTGACGGTGTTCCGAAGGACATCAGGTTTTACGATGAAACAGCCATAGCCTTCATAAGCTGGGACAATCCGAGGGAGATTTCTTTCCAAGACGGTACGAGGCGGGTCACTTTCAACAACACCGAATCATATCTACTAGGGTTCAATAAGCCTTACCAGGAGGTTCTCATAAATGGTTCGCCGCATCTCGTTAGGTTGGGTGCTCCGAGTAGAGAAATATATATAGATCACGTTCCGTACGAGTGTTATTTCGGCAGTGTGGGTATACGTATAGTGTTGAATGGTGCCAGCACGACAGTTAAGTTGGAAGGACCACCCCCTCAAGTAAAAATAGGTGAAAATATGAGGACTGACCTTGTGGCCGGTAAAATTAATCTTTTCATTAATGCTCAGATTGTTGTTCCTGTGTTCCTTGATGCTAAAGTTCAAAAATTTATTATTGAAGGTGAAACCAGTACATTAAAATTTGTAAATGCATTAGAAACTGTTTTAATAAATGATGTACCTCTTTCTGTTGAATATGGTGGTCTCCCTAAACCTGTATTTATCCATGGCAAAAAACAATATATCAGATTTTCAGTATTACCCAAAGGTATTAAGCCCGGCCACGTCGTCATTAAAGATATGGAAGGCCAGGGCAGTGATAATCTTAAGTTCGACGAAAGCAGCCAAGACAGTTTATCAGCGGTGGACCCCAACGAACCAGCGCTGCCCGTGGTTGCCAGGCCGAAGCAGCTTGTGGGTGGCGACTCTCCCGACAGGAATTCCAATTCTCCAAATTTCATACAAAACATGTTGCAACAGCAGAATCTAAGTAAGTACAAAACGTTTTACCTTTTTTTTTTTCTCATTTAAAACGATCTAATAAAATGTGCACAGCTATTATCGTGGTCGGTTGAGCATGCGGTACAAGCATTTCTCGGCTAGACTTCCTATTCTGGTCCGGATTCGATCCCTGGCCTCGGCACTGGCAATGTCGATGGATAATGGGTGTTTGTCCATGTTTTTTCAAGTGTAGCCCCCTTCCTCCTTCCGCACAGCCTTTGGCATTGGATTTGAAGTTTGTCTCATTTCTGTGGTGTTTTACATTATTTTTTTTTTATTAGGTAGGGATGTCGACGGGTGAATTTAGCACTCAAAAAAAATTTGGAAAGCAGATCATAATTTTAAGTACCAGATTAATTTCAATTACCCGTTACCTGTCATTTAGCCAATAACTCGTAGCTTTGTTCGGGTTCCCATGTAACCCGATTCTGAACCGTTCTAACAGGGTTCGTAGCAGCTTGGAAAACTGGGAAAACCGGGCCCTGGGAATACCGAGAAAAGTTGGGAAATTCATTATGCTTCATAAAAACCGGAATAGTCAGGGAATTTAAAAAGTATTCATGAAAGTCAGAGAATTTGAGGTTTGAAACTGGAAATTTTGTGAAAACCGGCCCTGGATTCTTGAAAGAGAAAACTATTTGTGGTTTTGAAACCTTTATAAAAAGTTCTTTGAGTATAAAAAAGATTACGGAGTCCAGTGTAAAAAAGTAATGTGTAAACACCAAATTAGTATGTAAAAGTAACTACAAGTGACTTGGATTTTTTTTTTATAATTCAGGGAAAACTTGGAAATATCAGGGAATTTTATATTACTTCTGAACTATGAACCCTGTCTAATAATGCGGAGTTTGAAAAATACGTCCGAGTTTTCCTTAAACGCTTCAGAATTTCCCAGATGTTTGTTTTGGTTTTAATGGAACCTGATTCAGAACCATTCTGAACCATCCGAATTAGTTCTTACTTCATGAATTATTTAGAACTGTATTATTTGGCGCATGAGTAGGGTTGCCAGATCTCGGGGTTTTGATGGTACATCTTTGGGCTCCGGGTTAACATGTCATTTCTACGGGTTTCCTGGAAAAATTGTGATTTCTTATATACATTTCCTGATTCTGTCGGTTTTTTTTTTAGCCATCAATTATTCTGTTTGTCACGAAGTAGATATTTCCTGACTACGTCCTTTTTTTTTTTTGAGCCATTGATTTCTTCGAAAAAATTTTACTCCCAGATTTTTTTTTCGAGTTTCTCAAGTTCAAGTTTTTCACTTGATTATTTCCAGCAAATTTTTATTATTTTTTCATTCCATGTTTTTCATTTAGCAAATGTAACTTTTGAGTATTTCTGTGTTAATTGAGTAAAATAATTAACGTCGTGAAAATTAACATATCTCCAATTTCATTACTTTCTAGTTCTAGTTCTGAAGAAATCGATGGAATTTTGGGGGGTTATATTCTCAGAATTGGAAAGTAGTCGTGTCAAAAACGACTACTTTTTTGTACATGCAGCTATTTACCGATAAAGAATACTTTAGCTACGACAGTTTTAATTTTTCTTTACGGCGAATAGAAATATTCACACATTCCTATCAAATACATACAATCATAAAATTGTAGCTGGTTATAAAAGGATTTCACCATAGAATATTATTTAAGGTTGTGGTATGCAGGACATAAAGCTACACTACGTTTCTTTGAGATATAGGGTTTAGTATAGCAATTAGCATATTGTCCCATATTATCGAAAACTGATGAAAATGGTTGGAATTTGGACCTATTAGTTCATTACTAAAAACAACAGATTTCGTTGCATGTATCACAGATTCTAATGCGTTTTGGTTTTCAAAAGATTCCTGATAGTTCTGAATTGTTTAGAATTTTGTCTAATGAATTTCTAAATAAAGCTAATATGTTGTATTGGTCATCTTTACGTCACTAAACAAGAGCATAAAAGTTTGAAGCGGTATAACTTTGTTTCCAAAGAAAAGCCTGCAATTTATACAAAAGAATAATTCTACAATGAGTCCACAACGGTCCGCAAGTTCCTGATAATACTTTTTTATCTTAATTAATAACACGGATCTACACATTGGAATAGTGGGAAGGTTTCCTGGAATCTAATAGTGTTTTCTGATGCACTGATGCTTCTCGTTGATGCCAAATCTGTCGCCTCAGGTTTTTAGGATATCCGAACATAAAAGTTTAAAAAATAATAATTTTAACATATTTTTTGGTGTTGTCGCACTTACAGATATTTGTTTTACTGTTATGTGGGCGTTTTTATGCGTAATTTTAAGTGAATGAGAGTTTTAGAAAATCTAAGCAAGTTAGAAACAATATCTCTTCACTATCCAGTCACACAAGTTTTCTCCAGGGTATAAAGCCTGTATCAGACAATGCAATTTTGTTGCAGGGATTTGATTGCCGCGATAGAATCCTTTAAATTTTTCTTATCAGACTATACAATTCTGTCCCGGCAACTGAATTGCATGAATTATAACATGCTCTATTCCGTGCAACAAAATTGCATGGATTCTAGTTACTTTTATGAAGATTTGTTTATTACAAACCTAGCTGTTGTCGACTGTTGATCATGGTTGTTGTCAGTAACACCGTTGAAGCTACTATTAAAGCTATACAGCAATTTACTTTTAAATTTTCATGCATTGCAATGTTTTGCTTGAAGTTGGTAACACTACTGCAAACAAAACAAATTGCAGCAATTTTGTCCCATTGTATGATATTAAGCATGCAATTTTATCGCTGCAACAAAATCCTACTATTTAATTTTTCTCAAAAGACCCTGTCTCTCGTAGTATTGAAAATAATTGAAGGAATACTATCTTGGAAAGAAAAAAAAAATCATTTACAACCTTAGTAGGAATTATTGTCGGTCCTGAAGACAAGAAAGACAATTTGAAAATATTTCTTAAATGAGTGGACGAACTATTTGAAGTATTTTATATTGTCAGTATCTCAGAACCAATAAATTCTCAAAAAAAGCAAAAATAGTCACATTTCATTGTACTTATATAGTTTGAAAATAAAAAGCTTTCCTATTGTATTTCAGACAGAACTTGTTTTTTATAATTTTTTTCTTTAAATTCCAAAATATACTTAGATGTTTGTCTTTGCACTAATTCATTTTTGTTTAACGAGGGCATTACTTAAATATACAGGGTGTTTCAGAAAACATGGGCCAACGCTCAGGGGCAGATTCCTAACCTAAAAACCAGATTATTTTTTAATATCTACCTGGGTCTGATTTCGCTTCCTTCCTTAGCTACAATTTAATCCTAAGGCATCTTAGGGTTCAATAATGGTTGATTACCTTTGTTATTTCAGCAAACATTTACAAAACCTTTACAAAAAATCTGATTTTAATCAACAAAATATGTTTTTATTTTGAGGTAGTGTTTGTTTTTTAAAGCCTTTCATTAAACTTTGATAGAGAGGAGTCTTATATTTATTATGTTTTTGCTATCCTGGTGCAAAATATGAAGAAACAAAAATAAGTAAATAAATAAAAATTATATTCCATCAAAATGAATAAAATTTTGTGGCTTCTAGTCTAATTAAAGTTAATTTCATTGTAGCTGTATTAAATATTTTTTATAGTTTAAACATACCTTTACAGAATTATCAACCGCTTCTGAATCTTATTCTGCAAAATATTTAGTCATATCTTTGTATTCAACCACTAACTAATTTGAAGCAGAATTAATTCTGCCAACATGTCTAAATATTCGATGTGAAATGAAATTTTTCTTATCAGTTTTTTATATTTCATTGCACTTAATCTATATTCTTTTTTATATTTTGTTTTAATGGAAAAAACAGAATCTGTTTTGTTTTTTCATCTATTTTAACAATTAGTGTTTATTTTTATTTTTAGATAACTTAGATCTGTTGTCAAATGTGATGACACCAACCTTGGGGCCTATTTCTACTGGAGGATATGAAATTGAGAACATTCCGCAAGAAAGCACTCAGTCGACAAATATACCGCAAGTCACTGCTCCTGTACTTCCCCCATCATTGAACATCAACGATTTATTCCAAAAATTAGTAGCGTCTGGTTTCGTTACATCCGGAAAGGAACAGAAATCCCTGGTAGCTCCTACTGTTATTCAGAAAGCAAATGGATCGGACACCAGGGAAACAAACAAAACCTTCGGGGAAACTTCTAGTAATTCTAACCAAGCGTTACCAGTTAAGCCATTGAAGAGAAATCTGCATGACAACCTTAAATTAATCACTTTTGCAAAACCAGAAACATTGAAAATACGGCAGGGTAATTTATATAGTATGCTATATTCCGGTATGCAGTGTAGCAGTTGCGGTATGAGATTCTCGCCAGAGGCGAGCATGCAATATAGCCAACATCTCGATTGGCATTTCAGACAGAACCGTAAAGGAAAGAGGAACACCCGAGTAGCCGCCAGTAGAAAATGGTACTATTCCTTATCCGACTGGAAAAACTACGAGGAATTTGAGGATTTGGAGGAAAGAGGTTGGTAGATTCAGTCTATTACAAGTGAAATCATTACTAATAGCACATAATTTCTTTCAGAGAAAAATTACTTCGATCAACAGCAACAAGCAGAGAACGGTGGTGAAGAAGGAGAAGAGGAGGTGGAAATACCAAGTGTTCCGGCTGATCCTGAAAGCACTGATGAATGTTGCGAAGTTTGCCACGAGAAGTTTGATCAGTTCTTCAATGAAGAAAAGGAAGAGTGGCATCTAAGGAATGCAGTAAGGGTAGATGATAAAACTTATCACCCTATTTGTTATGAAGACTTCCAAGTAAGTAAAATATCGTAGTTACATAAAATAATGAATTCATTCAAGATTCATATTAGTAGGGTTAATATTAACACGTTTTATTTAACAGCAATCGTTCGTTGAACAAAGCGCAGACGAAAGCAAACTGGAAGAATCCAAAGAGGAAAAAACGGAAGAACTGACTATTCCTGGACTGGAAATCGTTATTGATGACGATGAAGAAGAATCTCAGAACAATTCCGAAGAGCCTACAGAGGTTGTTTCAGTGGAGAGTGACGAATCTAAACTACAACCGGAAGAAGCCAAGGAAGAGAGCCAGGATGTACCAGAGGAAGACGATGATGACGTCATTCTAAATGAAGTCGCACCCATAAAAATTGTAGTGGACGATGACGACGATGATCTCAAAGACGAACCATCTACCAGTGAAGACGTCAAGGTCAAGGAAGAGAAGTTGGATGATGGATTCGTGGAAGTAGCGGGACTCGTCAGTTTACAGAATGGAGGGCAAATTAAAATAAAAGCAGAACCAGTTGATCCAGGTACGTATATTTTTGATTTTGGTGTAAGAGGATTGATTGTTTTAACTGATAGATTGGACACAGAGTTTTATATAAATTAGATCCAAAGATGAATGAAAAAAGTCGAGATTGACCAAAACTTTACTTAGACTTTCCAGTTTTAGTTACTTCTGAATGTTTTGGGCTTATGGTCGCCATTGGTCTTATAAAGGATAAAAAAACAAAATGAAATATACAGGGTGTTCAAAAAGTTTGGAACCCCCCTTCTATCTTAGAAAATACTGTTCAAACAAAAAAAATAATTAGGACAAAAGTTGCAGGGTTTTTAGTGAGCAATTCAACGTTGACCTTGACCTTGAAGGTCATTTAGAGGTCAAGTTGAAAATTTTAAATACAACCATATACTTTTGCAACTTTTGTCCTAATAATTATTTTGTTTGAGCAGTATTTTCTGAGATAGAGGGGGGTTCCAAACTTTTTGAACACCCTGTATGTATAAATTTTCATTTGTTCTCTTTTTGAATATTTATATTTTCTCCAATTCAATGAAATTTATGGAAAATACATTAAGTTTTTTAAATACAAACTTATTTTTTTACATGGAATAAATTTTTCAAAAATCATATTACAAAGCTCAGAGCCTCCATTTTAATTTTTCTCTCTTCTCTAATTTAGATGAATTAGCAATGAATTCCGAAAAGAATACATCAACCACAGACGTAGAAGAAAAAGAGCCCGACAAGCAACCCGTAGATGAGCAACCCTCCCAATTTTTGCCTAGCCATTCAGAAGTAATTACTTCAATAGACGGGAACATGGAGATTGTGAGTAGTACCCCTTCTGCGGTGCCCACCAGTGGTATGAGTGGTAATAAGATAAAAATAAACATTAGTAAACCGTTGCCTGTGATACCCGCTAAGGAAAAGGACAATAAGAGTGAAAGCGAATTCCCTACCGCCACTTATATCGATCCCTCCGAACCTTTCCCACCTGGCGAGGAGCCCGAACCTGTTTCCATAAAGCCAGCTCTTCAAGGCGTGAAACTTAAAAAATTGCCTGCCGTAAAAAGAGGTACGGAACTGTCTGGTTTATGCTCGATAATGTGATTTATTGGTATCGCTTTGTAAATAGTAGTGTTAAAAATGTACATATTACCAAAGACAGAATAATAATGTATATATTTTCCATAAAATATATTGTGTAATTTAATTGTTGTGTTTATCAACACATACTTTTTACTACATTGATTTTGTTTCAACTGGTTTTCTTTATTCTATAAAGAATTGTTGTTAATGATTTTGTTGGAAATAAATATTTTTTTAAAATCTGTGTGTATATTTTGTGAAATTCCAGTGGTTCATATTCATTTAGTGCAAATTATATATTTATGTAGCTATGGGAGTTATTGTTAATCAAGTTCTTTAGCCATTAATTGTACATATATAGCACAAAGGAAAATAAATTAATTTGAAAGGTATTTTGTGTTTCGTTTCAAACCTCTGCCTGTTATAAGAAAATGGGCCTTCAGTTATTCCGAAATAAATATCGTGTTCAATTTTGTGATAAAATAGTTTACTGAAGCTTTCAGTTTGTAACATCTAAGTAAGATAATCCAATATTGGCATACAGATCATTTATACAAAAACCTGGAATTATAAAATGAATTAAGGTTCTATCTTATTAGATAAAAAATTAATTTGTTAAATAATATGAATTAATCCATCAGGATCCTCCTACTGGAGGAAAAGAACATTGATTTTATAAGCTACGCTACCAAATCAGTAAGTAATCAAAGCGGAAATTTCAATTAACCAATATGAAAAAATTACAGTCCAGTGTCCAAAGAATTTTATAGATTTAGTTACGTGCCTGGAAGTAAATCAATTTAAAATTCAAACTAGTTTTCACTTGCTCTTAATTTATACACATTTACAATTATAAACACATTTTTATCCTTGACTCTTCTGTAATAAAAAAATAATCAATTACTGATTGATAAATGCCAAGTCCCCCTTTAAATTTTGTAATATGTAGTTTTTGTTTTCATTATAATTCTATGGAACAGTAGTAGTTTTACAGCTATGTGCTTATTCAATTCTGTAGAAGATGAAAAACATCCTTTCTGCTATCGACCATAAAAAATAATTTGAGAAATTATTAAAAAAATATGTAAATATGCACTTCTACTTTTTTGTGTAAATGGTAAACAAGTTATATAACTAAAACTGACACTTCTAACCTAACTTCTAGTCTACTCACCACTGACAAGTGACAAACCAAATTTATATTTCTGTCTATGATGGTCCATGACCACGCTCACTAGCTGCTTTCCAATTGTCTATTATCTACTTCTTCAGTGTTCTGCAACTGTTCTTCTCTTTATCTACTCCAAACTTAAATTGGAACACCCGCAAAAGGAACTAGGAAGTACTTCTTTTTATTATTGTGATCCAAAAACCAAAGCTTAATATGAATTTTACTATTAAAGCATAGTGGCATTAATAACCATAATGATAATCCATGGCAGTTATTCTTTATGAAAAATATTAAAAAATCTTAACATCACAGTTCGAGAGTATAAAGCTCCTTATGAACAGGTAGTGCGTGAATGGGCAGGGAAGACAAACAAGAACACTTTAGGAGTAAAGTGTTCTGGGTTATTGAAACTCAAAAATAGGACCTTGAAACTCCAAGTACTGATTTGATTTGAAATGGAAACAGCTGATTTTAGACAGGCAAACAAAAATAAAAATAGAAGAATAAATACATACGTCACAAAATAAAAACAGAAAAACAGCTGTTTATGAGCTGGAAGTTGGAAGTTTGCATTTACATAATTTTTTGAATTATGGAAACGTCCGATAGTGAATATTTTGAGAGTGCTGACGAGGACTTTGAATCTGAAGACGAATTTAATAAAAATAAAATATTAGTAAAGGACAATTCAGTACACACATCTAACTTCTCGAAAGACGTAAATAAGATTCACACTGTGTCAGACTTAAATCGAAATAAAAAAGAGAGTGTAGATACGCTAAACGTAAATCAGGACAATAAATTAAATTTACAAGGCTCGGACATTGGAAACAATCCCATAATTGAAGATCATAAAATAGAGACACCTGTTTTGCTCGCAAAGAGTGACAGACTACTAACTACTAATAAAAAGGATGATAAACAAATTAACCAAGCTGATCTCTCTAGTGATGCAGGCAGGAATTTACAGGACAATGCCGAAGATAATTTATGGAACGAAGGGGAAGGTTGGGGTGTAAGTGATGAAAGTGACACAGAAGGTGCTGCTCCTTGTTTACAAAAAGTTGATGTTGGCATTACCCTTCCTAATAATGATAAAAATTCTAATAAAAAAGAAGTATCAGGGGAAACATCTGTAGGAACAAGTAATATGTGGGATAATGAAGAATGGGAAAACTGGGAATCCATTAAAGAAGAAAAAATGCATCATAATAATATTAAGCCTGATGAAGACAATAATAGCTCTAATTCTAACCAGATATGGAAAGGTTGGGGTAATTGGGGTGTTACTTCAATCCTTTCTACTGCAACGCAAGGTGTTTCCTCATTAACTAACTCTGTATCTCAAGGTTTGAGTAGTGTGTTAGAAACAGGTATAGGTGCCCCAGATCCAGAGAAATTAGCAGTACTAAATAAAGAATTTAAAACAAAAGTGTCGGTATCTACAGAAACTTCATCCAATACTGGTGAAGAATTTGAAAACAAAAATGTACTTGGGTTTGGTTTAAGTAACATTGGGAATTTAGTATCTGGAGTATCAAAATTAGTAGAATCAACTGGCACAAAAGTAATATCGGGAGGGTTAGACACATTAGAGACTATTGGTAAAAAAACTATGGAAGTGATACAAGATGGAGATCCAGGTTTAAAGAGAAAACGAGCATTCCTTAATTTGGAAGGAGAAAAACCAGTTTTGTCACAGGTTTTGAGGGAAGCAAAAGAAAAAGCAGAACAAGAGAATAAAGCTCTTCAAGAGAAACATTTTGCAAGGAAAGTAAATTATGAAAGTATATTTGATGATCATCAAGGCCTCGTTCACTTAGAAGCATTAGAGATGCTGTCTAAACAATGCGATATGAAATTACAGTTGTTAATCGAATCCAATAGTGGAGACACCTTAATGGATATTCAGGAAACCGTGGATCAAGTTAAAGAATTATGTGAATTACCAGACGAAGAAGAAGATGAACAAATTTCGATAGAGGAACTTAAAGAGAGACTTAAGTCAGCTGTAGAAGAGATTGGTGTAAATATAAAATACGACAAGTTAATAACCATGTGGGAAGAAACCGAGTCTTGGCTAAGTAATTTAAATTTAAACATTTGCAATGAAAATGAAATCCATCAGCAAGCGGTCGAGACTCTAGCACAGCTGACGGCTATTGCGGTTGAACAGTTTCATAAAGCAGGAGAATTATTACTTATCAAGGATCATCACAGTACAGCAGATGAAGCCGATAGTTTAGTTCAGTAAGTACAAAAGAGGCTGCTCATACATGATGGTTGTAGTTTTACACCCAATTTTTACTCAGTTTTGAAAATTGCCAACAGAATTAGATTTTTTATGATTTATAAAAATCGGCTCATCCAAAGCACTGTTGTACGAGTAAATATGTTTTAGGTTAACAACAACATTAACATCTCTAATAGGTATAGTTGCAGCAAAGTTTTCTGATAAAATGAACACCAAATCACCAGAAAATTCAGACAAGGAAAATATTAATAGCCTTATCACCAATATATTTTTTGAGGTGAGTTTCCCAGATTCTTTTTGCAAAACGTATATCTGTTCTATTCCGTGATTCGATTCCGTTTTAATGAAAAATTACTTTTCAGGCTGCTAACAGTAGTTCATACATTCAGGATGCTTTCCAGTTACTAGTGCCTGTCCTTCAAATGGGAGCAGTGTAGTGCACACATATTTACTTTTAGAGTATTCGTCATTTGCTACTGTTTTATATTTTAGGTAGGTTGAAAGTCACTTTGTTTTAATTTTTTATCATATATTTTATTTGTCAATCATTTTATAAAAATTGGATAAGAATGAAATAAACCTTATTAATAGAAATTATTGTTTGCCACGTTTATATCCGGTGGGTGGTTTTTGTAACTGAAAATTTGCGGATGTATTTCCAAACGTGGTTTGACCAAATTGTGACCCAAATAATGAAGTGTTAGATGGCTGGGTACCTATTTGAGTTCCAAAGGTTAAAGTGTTTCCAAAACCTAGAAAAAGTCATTGACAAAAATGAATTATTCACAAGACATAATTTTGAAAAAGTTTATTTCAGTTAGTACTTGGATAGGTGCCCAATTCGGAACACTGTGTATCTTAGTCACATTTTTTTCTTAAAGGTATTTCATAATCATGCTGTTCCTAGGGCCTCCAAAAGTATGGCCCTGTTCCTACAAATTGGAGTTATTAAATATATGAGATATGAGAAAAAAATATGATTCTTTTTAAAACATTTCAAATAATAATGACAGTTATTGTTTCGTTACATTGATATTTTCTGATTTTCATACTTTTTTGTTACGCAATTAAATTCTAGGTAATATTTATTCACAGCTTTATAAAAAGTTGATGTAAACTAAGAAACACATAATTTAAAAAAATTTATTTTCTCTTTTAAATCATAAAATGTTTACTCGATTCTGTAACATACATGTTTGTTTTCCCAATGCTTATTACCTACCTGATGGTGCCACACTAGTTGTTGCCGAATATGTCGACTGATTTGGCTGTTGTACTAATGGATTCCCGTTAAGGAATGGCATGTGATTAAAAGGTGTCGGTCCGGACGCTACTTTCGGTGGAGAATATATTAGGGCAGTCTTTATACTACCCACAATTAAATCTGTCGATTTACTTATTTTATCAAACGGATTTGAAACATCATTATACAAATGACGCCGGATGTTTATATAAGTGTCTTTCTGGGATTCTACTTGATTATGAACAGACTGTAAACGTCCTGCTAAAGCCACAAATGTTTCGTGAAGCCTTCTCATTCCTAGAGATAAATCTGAAAGTAAAATTTATATATTATAATCATTATACAGGGCGTTTTTAAATGGAGTAGCAAAAATGGTACCAGTGAATGTAGAGCCAAAAACAAGAGGATTGAAGTAATAATACCTTATATGAAAGTTGCACCCATTTTTGCTACTTCATTTAAAAACACCCTGTATAACAGTAATAGTTGTTTCTTCACATTTTAACAAGCATACCTTGTGGAGTTAATGTATCTGGATTTCTGTGATTTTTCACATATTTGTCAGCGGCCTCTATTTGGGTCTTCAGAGCTTGCATTTCTCTTTCAAACTGATCGCCTAATTCCAAGAAGAATTTCAGTGGAGCTGAATTTTCATACTGCAAACCAGGAGGAGTGTCCTGCGTCCTTTGTGCCATTTCAACATTCTGTAAACTCTTGGCAGTATCATATTTCAGTTTCTCCGCCAGATACCTATTTTTCTGTAACTGGCATTCGACCTCGTTCAAAATGTTATTGAGCAGATCGATTTCCTGTTCGACCTTTTTAAAATCTCTTATAGAGCACCTGGCTATGTCTGAACTATAGAGCTTCTGATTTTTGACCATTTCTTTGAATTGTTCAACAGTCTGCAGGATCTCATTGGGCAATGGTTGTTCTTTCGGAGCAACTTCCTTCTGAGTTGTCACAACTGTGCCTGTTTTTATTTGAGAAGAGGCCTGACCACCCAATCCTACTAAAGACGATGCAGTACTTAAGGCATTGAGGTTTGTCGTAGCTGCTGATGTAATTGTTGCTCCACCCAGTCCTGAATATAAAGGTATAATCTATATCGCACATCAGCTTTAATTTTTGAAAATAATTTAAGAGGAAATATTAATATACAAAAAGTCTAACTTGAAATTGTATTAAGAAGTTCAAATTCAGGATATCATGCATAATTTTGTGAATTTTAAAAATATTTTAAACTATACAAACTTTAAAATTCGCCAAATGTGTAGTCACTATAAACATATCCACTTACCAAAATTTAAACCTGTTGATGTGGGAGCACCAACTCCAAAAGTTAAACCACCAACGACAGTTGTTGGGGGTTTCCCTAAAGTCGGTGCAGTAGTGGAAGATAATCCAAAACCAAATCCAGGAGTTGTAGTAGTACTAGCAGGAGTTGCGAAAAGATTACTGCCTACACCAGATGTTGTAGCTGGGAATAATGAAGTCGCGGTGGTGGCTGGGGTTCCGAGTCCGAATGAAAGAGGGGTAACTGTCGAAGTTACAGGAGTCCCAAAGAGTCCCGTGGAAGGAGTAACTGTCGTAGATGCACCTCCAAGAGAGAGTCCAACATTTACAACAGATGTTGTTGGTGTACCTTGAAATAATAAAAAACACGAATAATTACTTACATTTAACATATTTCATTGTTATCATGATGGTGTTTTAAAGATAGTTGCTAATTTTGATATTTGAGAGGGCAAAGAGAGAAAATTATATCTAGACAGAAAAAATTTATTACCGAAAGTTAATCCGGTAGGAGCAGTCGGTGTCGAGGTATTAAATAACCCAACATTTTGAGCTAGAGTTCCAAAGCCACTTGGTTTAAAGTTACTACCTGGGGTTCCAAATAAATTTGGAGTAGATGCAGATGTTGTTGGTGTTCCAAACTGGAAACCACTAGTAGATTGAACATTTGTGGTTGCAACACCAAATCCTGGTTGATTTTGAGTAATAGTAGTGGCAGGAGTACCGAACGTTATGCTTCCTGTGCCAAAACTGGGAACAGCTGTAGATCTAAAATATGATATATTAATATAATATTTACAGCAGTAATTTTATAACACATTTACTTAGAACCAAAACCAAATCCAGAAGACATTTCTTATTAAATTGATCACAAATGATTTAAACTGCTTGTTAGGCAGTTAAATAAAAACACCAGAAAAAAATAAATGGTTATTTTTAATTAACATTTAAAACAATTTATAATGAACGTATAAAACAAGAATCTATTTTTCTTTCTCTATCATAAGAATATCTACAAAATTTAAGTTAAATGCTATTCAACAACATAACCCTTTAATCATAGACATCGAACTGTAGATTTTTTAATTAGATTCTCTTATCTTCAAACAGTCTTCAATCTTTATTGAGCATAGAACTACAGAACATTTCTAAAAAAGGCTTTACTGAGACTGTGATCGAATTAACACGATTTATTAGATAAGTGATCTTGTTTGATCGGAGAGAGCATGGAGATTGGCTTATTGGTGGTTGACAAGATTGATATGAGCTTCGAGCATATACCTACTAGAGGCAGACTTCAATGCTAAATAAGTGAAACAGGCGTGCGAGAGAGAAAGCAAATAAAACTAGTAGCTATCTTTCTCACCCCAAAAATTTTATTGGTTAAGAATCAACCCCCCGTTATTCCCCTCCAAAACCTTGGTATATGCTCGAAGGGTGTGAGCGTCCAGCGATTCCACCGTCAAATTAATTATAAATCTATGGTCTATGGTCTAGTCATTGTCAATGTCAGTGGTTGGTTTTGGTTTGGTTATATTTAAATTTTGACGTGTTTGTATTGAATATTAATTTTGATATTTGTTTTTGAAACATATTTATAAACCTGTGATGGTAAATTTAAAACATGGATTTATGTGCGTAAAACGAAGAAAAAAATTGCTTGATAGATTTTGGAAAATTTATTATGTAATATAAATATTTCTTGCAAATTATCAATTATCCAGGTCTACATATTTAAGGTTAGGTAATTAAAAATATGTTTTTATTACATTACACCTTTTGGATATTTATATACATACATTGTGTATTAAGTCAACAACAATTAAGTGAGTCAGAAGCTGCTGAACAGCTATGTATCCTTTTCAAAATTTAATAGTGCACAAATTTATAAACGTCTCAAACCTTAACAGAATACAGATATAAAATTATTTAAGAGACAACGTGTAGAGCAGTTAGAGGCTATCAAAAATTTTAAGAAAATTTCTAGTTATGAAAAGCAATATTCAATGATTATGTTAATGGCAGAGAAAGTATTTACTGTTATTCAAGAAAGTCGTGCTACTATAGAAGCTTCACCATACATTCCTGGAGTATCTGATTTTCCATTAGATAATCAAATTAAGGAAGCTTTGTCAAACATTTTAGAAAACACAGCTTTATTTTCTGAAATAATATTAAGGTTTCCTGATATTGCCGTTTCAATCTTAAAAATTAACAATAATTGGGATGTGATACTACAGTGGGGAATTGCATTTTGCCATCAAGTAAAATATTTATTAGACAAAAATACTGTTAAACTTTTATATCTTGTTAATCAGGAATTGAACCATGTTGAGCGAGATCCTAATTATATAAATCCATACAGAAAAATGGATGAAAGGAGTAAAGTTGAAGGTGAAAAACAGTTAAAAAAGAAAAAAAAGAAAGAAATAAAGAAAGGCCCAAAATTATCAAGTCATTTTGAATTGTAAGGAAATTTTTATCAAGAATATGCTTATTGTATAATCAAATTAAACATTAATTTAATAATACCTGTTTATTTCATTTAATCTTTATTAATTTCTAAGTAATTACTACTGTAAAATGGTCTAAATGGAACAACTAAGTCATTAGTGCCTGGTAACTCTTTGGGTTTAAATATAAATTTGATAAAGGTAATATTAAGCGGTCTCAAAAGTTATTTTAATTTACATTTACATAAGATTAATATAAATGCAACAAATTCAATTCATTTAATTTACTTTAGATATAATTATACATATAGTAGGATCATATTTGATGCAAAGTAATAAATGATTGCCTGTCAAGGGATCCAGTGCAGTACGGTTTTAAGGGGTTTAGAAATTGAATAATTTCTTTATGCATTATGAAGGTATCAGTTCAGTCTGTCATCCCTTTCCTACAAAAATTCCTTTATTCTCATAAACTGTTTATTTTAAATATATGTGCCACTGTTTACTTGTCTTTTGGAGTCAGTCTCTGATTTACAACCAAGCTCGCTAGGTATTTGACATATAACCGACCGCTTCGTCCACTCGATGCACATGGGCGACAGATTTTACATTCAATTTCATTTTAAATTTGAAATGGTTCATCTTATGTGTCCTAAAAATGATGACACGAATTTACTTTGATAAAAGACTGACAATTTTTTGCTCTTTGTATCGAATATGATCCTACTATAGGTATTCTGTCGATGAATACGTTAATATATGAATTAATTTGATAATCTGGTAACAATTAAAAAATTTTATTTCAAAACAATTTGTTTTACACGACTTGTGAAGAATGATGTAAAATTCTAGAGAAAGTAGTGTATTTTTTAGTAAAAATGTACAGCATGTAACAATATAATTTGACTGCCTATTTTTCCATCATATGTTACACTTCATTAAATAATATGAAAGAAAATAATATTAGAATCCAATGTTATGGTTGATTTATTGATAGATATTTGTCTGTGGGTCTATTTACACATAAAATATTGTAACAATAATTTATTGATTTCATAATGTCGTACAAAACAATTATCTTATTTAGTAAAACCTATAAATAACAAAATTAACAATACTTAAGTTTCTAATTCAAAAATTTGGTTCAAAAATGTAACTGATAAGTAAACTTTATTACAGTTGTTTGTTCAACATAATCGTTGCAGAAAATATCTAACAAATTTATTTTTGGAAAAAATACCACCTATCAGTTACATTAATTATTTATTGCTACTATTTGATATTTATACCTATTATTTCCTTACATTGTCAGGAACATAATTGTCTTTACCTGGAATACCTGAACCAGTAGCATCACCTAACCAAGGGTATTGGTTCGGACATTCATTGCAGGTTTCTAAATATCTGGTGTCAGTTATATTTAATTCTGGTCTTTTAAAACTTAGAGCACATTTATTGGGGAGTTTGCAAGGTGTAGGAGGTAGGTTGTCTCTCTTCCTGCAGTCCCAAGGCTCGTAATTATTGAGTTGCTTGGCCGGTTTAGGATCGGTCATCCAGGTCAGAGCTTGTGTTGTTGTCACGAACCAAACATCTGGTCTGTAAAATAACATAAATTACATCAAATCAGTTTCTACTGACAAGCAGAAGTTGAGATGTGTAAAAATATCTTATAAATTGATTTTACTTAATAATTTTACAGTAATTATTTCTTGTTTTTATCATATCAAATAATTGTTTCACTTTGAAAAATGTAATATAACTTATAAAGGCAGTAGTGCATTAAAAAAATATATTAAGATATTTATTTTTTAACTACTGAGAAATTTATTGAGATTATTGGAGTTTATGTGTTTAAAATATTAAAAATCTAGCCACATTTTTTATTTAAATATTTTTATACAAAACAACTTTTATGAATTACGTTAATTTTGTTGCATTGTAAAATAAGACTTACAGTGTGATAACCCAGTTCAAAAATTTGTGGAGTCCTTGTTCCAATTCTTTTATGGAAAACCAGTTGGTATGAAAGGGCATCATATAAGGTGCCCTGTTCTGGTCGTAGTATCTAAGAAAATCTTCTTGTAACCATTCAAATACATCTTTTGCATCATGATTATGTAGCACACATTGATCCAGATAGGGGCAGTGCCCACCCTCAAATCCTTCTACATAGTGAGTATTTAGTGGAACTTCCCAAACACCTAGAAAGAACATTTAGATGTTTTTTTTTTCAGTATTAATGCTAATATGCTTTTATTCTTCAATGTTCAAATTTAAATGTTTTAGAGCTGTAGTTTTTCTTTATTTTTCTATATGCTAAATATGTCTAGCTAATAATTAGTCAAAAAAATTTACATTTATATAAAAGTGTGGGAAATACTTTTTAAAAGTTTAATTTTTCATAATACAATTTTCGTAATTAAAAAACAATAGAGTATATATTCTTCAAAGATTACTATCATTATTTCTCATGAAAAACATTTTAACCGAGTATGTATAAAAATATGCATGACAAAATGCCCAAATTAATAATATTTAAAAAAATCGTAATAACCTTTGGTTTAGTATATTAAGAGTCAGCTCGTTAATACTAAGAACAGGTTTATAATGAATAATATCAATCAAACAAAAAACGCGTTAGCATACTCTACCTGGGAATGATCTAGACGGGCAAGTTCCCGATTTACATTCATGAGGTATTTTATAGTCCAAAGTGTATGGCCAAACGGGTATAGGCAGAGCTGGCACTCCAATAGAACTATCATAGATGTATCCAAATTCCTCTAGTACCTGTTAACGGTTAATATGTATCAAACACCACTACAAATGAAGACGACGTGATTTTATTTTACCTTATACTGTGTATTGCGTCCTGGTTTTAAAAATGGCGCTCTCATTCCAACTACCTCACTCTTTGAAATATTGGATAGATGCTTCAAGATGTCTCGCATGCCTACCATTTCCCCGACCCATTCTTCATAGCCTTTGTCTTCCAGCCCACTTTGCAGCCTTTAAATAAAAGAACATATTAAGGGCATAAGAACTTTTCCAAAATTCAATTCGTGTAATTTTCACAACCTCCAGTTTTTTATGAAAATGGTGAAAGAAAAGCGAAATTTCTGATTTTTGCAGACTTCCTATTTAAATGTTAAATAGTCAATTGAATATTAATGTAGGTATGTACTTATTTAAATATATTTAAATACTTAATATAATATTGTTATTGATTATATTAATGGTGAGATAACTATGAAGTACCTATAATAATAATGTTTAATTAATCTCTTAATCTTATTTAGAAATAAATCCCTGCTGAAGGTTTGTTTTACGGTAATAATTATAGGTACTGCTATATTATAATGTAATAATACAGAAGCTGAAGTTAAGATGTTATTGGATAAGAATTATACCTTTTTCGCCATTATTTAATACTTGATACTACTTACGAAATAGTCTCGGTGGCAATTTCATGACCTTCGCTTGCTAGTTCTTGAATCATGTGGTAGTTGCTGTACTCGTGGGATATGAAAAACGTGCCTTTAATTTCACATCCATTGGGATTGAGCCGTTTGTGATTGAAAACTTTTCTGTAGTGATCGTAGTTGTTCAAGTTTACAGCTCCATCGAATGTAAGAAGTATCATTTGTGGAGTCTGGAAATGAGAGGTACACGTTAGGTATTAGATACTATTGAAACTACTAGAATGTTTTGGTAAGACTATAAAGAAATTCTCTTGTGCTGCCTTTATCCATAACTCGTAATACTTAAATGAAAAAAAATAATGGGGTAGCATGAGAAAAATTCTACCCCTAAAACCACAAGTAATTCTGGGATGATAGATCTTGCAAAAGCAATGGCAATTGGTAAAATAGTCTGTATGTACAAATTCAATGTATGGCACTGTGGATTATTATGTAGTTACCAATTATTGTTAATAAAATAAAAATTCACGTCATAACGTGAATGGTGAATGCCTTACCGCTTCAGGATCTAATCCACCAGGTACAAGTGTTCCATCTTTAGAGCAAAAGCAATATGGAAGTTGGCATTCTGCAGGATCACATCTTACTGCTAGATCTGTTGGTGGTTCAGTGATTGGAGCTGGAGCTAAAAACAATAATTTTAGTAGGTACCTAGATACTCTTTTTTTTATAATTTTGAGGAATGTTAAATATTTTAATTTTTTCTACCTTTTTCATGTCATCGAAAATGTATTCCTAAATTAAGATCTTTCATTTAGTGTTAGCTTTAAATGTTATATTATTTTATAGGTACCCACAAATACTCCACATCCCAATTACTTCACATCCATGTTTACTTGAAGTGAAGTAATTGAGTATGTGAAGTATTTGTGGACGTAAAATAATGTGAATTCTAAAAATTGATACTTTTTGGAAATTTTTGACTTAATATTTCATTTGCTGTTATATGTCTTCTGCATGGAATCTATTGTGACTGGCACAAATAAAACTAATCAAAACTGATATTCTAAAGATAAAAAATCTGCATATTGTATAAAGTTACATTCAAAAGCACTACACAAAGTTGCTTTTCGTAAATAAATATTCCTGTGGAAAATAGGCTTAATATGCCTAAATAAATAAATAAGATTATGATAGCACAGTCCTTTATACTTCCGATAAACATTGAGCATATATATATACATTTTTAAATTATACAGTGGAGAAAAAATGTATTTCATCTGGGTCGAGTATTCCCCTATTATTACTTTTGAGATATGAAAAAAGTCGAGACATTGACAAAATACTTACTAGTGGCAATTGGTCCACATCTAGCTTCGTTCTTGAAGGTACAGAATTTTGATATATCATCAAAATATAGCCCAGAAGGGCATCTGTTTACATATGGATAACCGTCAACACACTGAAAAAAATAATTTAATTTTAACCAAATCCTGAGGAGTACACAATCCTAAATATTTTTTGTGTTAACTATATGAAATAACCTGTAAATAATTTTTGGAAGAGTTAAAAAGGCTGGAAATTGTTTCCCACCTTAATTTTATCTCCCTATTAATTTTCTTATGAAATGTAGATAATCATAAATTTATTAATATTTGTAGGTATATGATCTTGTGAAAGGCGATATGTACCTAGAGATTTACCTGGTAAAATCGTTTACACGTGGCAGGATCCGCATAATTTCCGTTTCCTGTGCTCTGCGGGCATTCGAAATCTTCATTCTTCTTATCGTCTGCTTTGGCCTTTCTCTCGTTTTGGCTATTCACTGCAAAAAACTGTAGATAAAAATCATGTAGAAACTAACTCGTCACTATCGCTTATCTCTACTGAATAAAAGAATTGACAAACAACATATGTACTAAAAAAATGTACAAATTGGAATATGTTTCTTAAGATTCGAGCATACATATATCATGTCATGTACTTTTGATCACTATAATAATGAAAATCAATTGAAACAATGAAAATTTAATTCAAGTAAGTACCTAATCACGTTATTAACTAACAATATTATTGAAAGCAACTACTCTGCTCATTGAGGTCCTGCCTAGAATTGAATAACACGTCAATATCAAGTAAACAGTTAATGCTTTGTATCAGTAAGCAGTGAATAGCAAAATCGTCGAAGACGTAATATTTTGATTAATAGGTCGCTTTCTGCCAGTAGGCATAAAGGCAATTAAGTCATGACGTACGTTGTAGGTTATATCTCACCCATATTCAATTCGGCTCAAAAGTAAATGTATCTCTTCATTAATTTTGAATGCCTTCTATCATGAAAATGAAGCGTTTTTGGACCATATTTATAGAAATTTCCGTTGTTAAAGTTTGTATAGAAATAAATAAATGTTGTATTTATATAAGAAGAAGTTGTTCAGTGACAGTTATAATTATTATATCTAGGTAAATATAAGACTAACCATTTATAACATTCCATTATTCCACTATATCTACAGTTTATAGTGAGAGTGGTTTCGTCTAACTGATTAAACTTTCGACTAATAAAATTGAATTTATATCTAATATTGTACATTCACAAAGTTCTTTCCTGTGTCGTGAACTTGAACTCAAACAATTTAGGAAAGTTAGTTTGTCATTGTATACTCGCAGGTATATTATACTTATTAAAAATATATACTTCCATATGCGTGTCACCATTTTTCTTCTGTGAAAACTGTCGTGAACAATATTTACTCGAAGTGCATAGAAAGTGCTAATAAATACCTACTTTTCTTTGGAGTATCCGTAACAGGTTGAAAAGTTTATATTAAAGAAACTGTAGATATCTAAATGTATAATTTAAGAAATTGGTCAAGCTGAAAGGGTAAATATATTAGAATTAGAATGATATTACATAATAGTCCAGGGAAATTGTGTACATTTTTGTCATTATAATTTAATATTTGTTGCTATTCGGATGTATCCTTGCAGAAATAAGTTAATTAATTTGTTGGGGCTGAATTTTGTTTGGTCTTTGGTTGCAAGTTCCTTTCGAATTTTACTCAACTTTCGAATATAACCTATGAAGCCGTTTGTAGATCCCTATAAACGTGTGGAAAACCTAATCAAAAGAAGTTGTCGATGATCGAGAGAATCGAGCTGACTATCCCTGTGAAGCAGAAGATACCGAGCGGAAATCTAAATTTTTACCTATGTTCCGAATTCAACCGTCTAAACCATCCATCTAAACTATTCATATGGAAACCACTGCAAGCTGCAGCAGACGTCATCTGAAAAACCTGATGCTATTGGTACAATCTCTCAAATTTTTCCATAAAAATGCTAGGATTGCTACGAAACTTGAGTTAAAACGCGACACTCAGTTTCTTATATAAATCTTGATTAAGAGATAGATTTCATGATGGGGAAGTCGTCAATTATAAATCCTTCGAATTTGGAGAGGCCTGATATCAGCAATTCCCGAGAATTCGTGTGATTGAACGTCGACTTTGGTTTTTGGCAGTTTTATAACTGGAGCGGAAGTTTCTGACCGGTGTGAGAATACGACCCGAATTCAAACATTTTTGTTGCCTTTCGATATCCTGAAGCTGATTTAGAGGGAAGTACGTCCCAATGCAGGGTCTCACACACCAAGTCCAACAAACTTGAAAAACAAGAAACAGTTTTTTTCCGGATTGGTTGGTCGAATTCTAGCTTGAACTAAATAGTTGTATTGTATAAGCCTTTACATATGGTATACCAATATATTGTAAAAATTTTTGAAAACAAACTATTTCCAGTTCAGAACATTGTCAAAAATGTGTTGCGAGCGTACGCTCGAAACTTAGATTAACCATTTAGCATTCAATCCGTTTAGGACCTTCTTTGTCTGCTCCGAAGATTTTCAAGCTTAAAAAGTAGTACCAAAAAGGCTCTAAGACTAGACATAAAAGTAAATGAAAAAAATAACCATACTGTAAAAAAGTGCTCATGAATCTTGAGTATTGAAACAATCCAGTAGAAAACTATGTTGAAAGCTAACAAACCAGAGCATGGCAGAGCAACCAGATAAAATGGAAAAAGATCGACGTGCGCTTGGCCAAGTCTCCGTAGAAGATGGTGTAATTACCCAAATTTGTTAATAGAACAATATTATATGCAGTTTTATATAGTTACCTACCGAATTAGTTACAGAAATAATTTCAGTTAATCAAAAAGTAATTTTTTTTATAGTTAATTCACTTCAGTTCAGTTCAGGTAAGCATATATACAATAAGTAATGACGTCTCTTTTCTCATTAGCCAATATTTTGTCGTGAAGGACATCTGAGAAAGCTTAGATATATCAAGAATTTCTGAGAACAATTATTGTACAAGTCTTAAAAAATTTCTCTATACATAAAACTAACTGCAGTTAAGATTTACTAGAGAATATAAATACAAATATATACCTACTTGGGTACCTATATGTAATCAGCTTCTAAGAAATTTTATTCACGCGATTCTTGTTTACGCCGTTGTTGAATAATTAACGAATAAGTCTGTAAAGTAAAATATTTTCATAGGCTCGTATAATTAGATGCAAATATCTAATTGGAATATTTTGCAAACATGTCACATGCTTGTGTTAATTTTAATATCTTCATCCGCGGTTTCTAGTCGCTTCCATAGCGTGAATTGATAATGGCGAATGAGGGCATACTTACTTTGGATAGGTATCACTATTACTAACATGTTTACTTTAAAAATCATGTTGCAGCTGTGAAATATTCAGTGTGAAGATACATCAGTGGAGTGCTAGGTATATCCATTATTTTTAATGATGTATATAAAGATAATAAGATTCAGTAAGTTGTAGTTTAAAAATAAGTATCACTAGGTGGTCTTTTTATAGGTTTGTAAATGTAAATAGAACACAAGTCTAGACTGCAACTAATAACGATAACTAAAGGCAGCTATAGCTTGAAGTGTAGGTCGAAGTGTTATTTTACATTTTGTAATGTAGGTACCTCCAACAAAAAATCTTAGGACAAGTCATCGAAACAATGGTTCAGATTCACGGCAGACAAGATTTTATCTTCGTAACACAATACAGAAATTTGTGAGAACCCAAAACGGTAACTGTATTATAGTAGGTTTCTCACATCCCTGAGAATCTAGTACAGAGAAAAAATTTTAAATGCAATAGTTAATTGCATACTGCATTTATATTTCAGAATAATTGTATTTTAGGTATTTCTTATGAAATGAAATGTGGAATTATATATACAATTAATTTTTTGTAAAAATGTATTATGTAATCACTTTCTAGTTTCTAAGGAAGATTAAAATTTAATACAGAATTTATTTCACTTCAACTTGTAATTTGTAATTTTTCTAACGTATGTACATTGTTTGGCGTTGCTGGTAACATTTCCTTCCTGAAAAAAATTTTTCGAACTCAACCGACCTTGAAATAATATTAATTTAAGCCCAAACCAATCGAGGTTAAAGTAGAAAGTACCTATATGATGGCATGTGTGGAATCCCTATCACATAAAACTTTCGTCACAGTAATTTTTTTGAAAACCTTATTTTCTGAAACACAAATGTTAGTCTTCAACAATAGACAGATTTAATTTAGCTGTTTGTAATATTGCCTCAAGGTTAACCACTATGTTTTAGATTATTTAACAGCACAAACAATAATGCTCGATAAATTCTAGGATTGAATCTAATACGGCTACCGATTCCAGTAGATAAACTTTCGTTATATCTTTGAAATATATCTTTGACATATCCGTTTGTTTAAAATATGCAGGAGGGCAAATATTTTGTAAAATACATAATTGGAAGATGTCTTTGGGGATAAACTTTGCCCCAAATATGTACCAGGCCTAAGAATTATTACGTCCTCTAGGTACAAATTTTAATAGAAAGAAAAATATATATTTTTTTAATTACAAAAGGAGAATGACCTCCAAAATCACCAGAACCCAATCCTGCTGATATCTTTTTACGAGTTTATTTATATATAAGTATGAAAGAGATTCCAATATAATTGGAATCTATTTTGACTTTACTGCATTCCGTTTTTGAGTTTTCAATGAAAATATTTGATCCAGCGAATGATATAACTATACATTATAGAAAGCTATAATGAGTTTACAGCCGCATATTCCATCATTTTATTTAATAATGAATCGTTTTACTGATAGTGATAGATATTATTTTATTAGGTCTTCGAGGAATTATATAAGGCGATATAACATAACATCAGAATTTTAATTCGAATGCAATGGATGGCTGTCTAGTCCGTGTTGCATAAAATCTTTTTTTATATAGTAAAGAATTCAGTAATTACAGAATATGTTTTCAAATAATTATTTCATAAATTCTTTCATATGTAATAGTGAAGGTATACATAGAAAGTAAAAGTATCATTTCAAGACATAGGTACCTACTTAATCAACTAATAGGTAGAACACTTTTTTTTAAATAGCTGCAATGCACAATCTGCTTGGTATAATGTTATTAGTTTTATGTTAAGCGAATGAAGATGATTTAGTTCAAATAAGCTACTGAGAGTGAGTGGCAAGATAGTCAAATCGTATCAGAGCATCTGCTTTTAATATTGAAGAGGTTCTTCATTACTTTGAATTAAATAATCAGAGAGAGAAAGTGGTTTGGAGATTAGACGAGATCTTTGGGAAGTCTTTATTGCACACTTAAGTGCAGATTATATTTAACCGAGTTTATGTATTACATAACTGATGTACTGGTGAAGTTACGGAAAAAATAAATGAGGTATCTAGATCGGATAACGCCAAACATAATTCCATTTTCA